GAAACGACGAACATCTTAAGCATTTGCTATAACGGTTTCATTTTTGGAGGTTATGAGTTTTAATGAGTGTTATTTTTACCTCCCGTAGGTTAGTAATGCATTGGGGTAAAAAAATAACCCCCACTTCTTTACGGAAATACACGTTTTGAAGCATCAGGAATCCGAATTAAACAAAATTTCTATGATATCGGTCCGCCGGTCCGTCTGTACTCTCATTTCCGGCTAAACGGCTGAACCGCTTGGAAGCGAGCTTGGAACCAAATTTTGTACACATATTCTTAGACATAACAGGAAGATCTGAAACGCTTTTGGGCAGAATCGTGTGTCAAACTCCGCTTTCTAGCTAAACCGCTGAACCGATTGGAACCCAATACACATACATTCTTAGACATAAAAGGACAGAATCGCGCATGCACAGGTGGTACCCCTGCTAGCCACCACAAATTTTTTCCTGTATTTTTCATTAAACAAGAATCTATTGGTATTTTTATCCTAGTTTTTCTATTGCATATTTAAAAATAAATGATATGCAGGATGTAGAGACCATTAAAAAAATTAGTAGATACAATCTCCAGTTAAACCGGAAGATTGACATTATACTGAACAAAATTTTTGTGCTGTAGAGAGCACGTACTAAACTTGCAATAGATTGATTTTTATGGTTTATCAGTTGACACAATTGATCATTTAACACTTAGGACTGGTTTTGCGTCAGACAGGTAGTTTGCACTTCACGGAAACATTTTTTCACGTGGGATATTATCTATCAGATAAGTTTAAATGAGGCGATAATCGGCTCTTGGTCAATTCAGGGTTATAGTATAGCACTTCATACTGCGTCTTGGGATAAATAGTAAGAATTGTCACCCTTTTGAGAGAAGTAAGTTGTTGATTGACACTATATCAATTGACGCAGCAGTGTTATTTAAAACAAAATAAGTATGTTATCTTTACCTTCAACCCTCATGAAATTTTTTTGAAAGAGAATGAAGATACTTTTCAAACGACATATCACAAGCTCATACTTCCCATTAAAAAAATTGGGGACTGTAACTGTCACTCGAAGGGGGTTGAAGGTAGGGTTGAAGAATGTCAATTTATAATTTAAATTTGACGAGCTACAGGATTGGCTATAAATATGTACAGTAACTAAAACAATAAATTCATTCCATTTGGCTATTCCACACTATATCTACTATAAACTATGATACATATAATAAATTGTATGACCAAATATCTCCATGCCCATGGAATTCTTTTCAATTTAATTTTTGAAAATTCATTTTGGATTCGTTATTTTTTCATCTTGGAAGAATCTTCAAATACCAAATTCTGTCGCGATCAGAATTTGTTTGTAGTATGCACCCTTTTGGGCCACTGATAGTGTAATTTTTAGCGCATTTTTGAAAAATAATTCTATTATATTTGTTTTGGCTGGCGTCTATGGTTAAAAATTAGAGAGAACTTTATAAGTAAAAAAGTTGGCAATTTTCAGTCTGCGCACGCGCGCATTTGGTTTTTACTATGTGCGACGGGTTTGCCTTTACTAATGGTATTTGTCGAGAGTCGAGGTATTTGTAGTCTTCGATTTTTACTACATGTGATGTTTTCCTTTACTAGAAGCATCTATGGTTAAGATTTCAAAGAAATATATTCATAAATATGGAAGTTGGCACTGCGCATAGACTGCGCTAATGTTTACAATATGAGCTATGTTTTCCTCTAACAGAACCACCTGTGCTTAACATTTCAAAAAGATATCTCGCATGCGCACCTAAATCTGATATTTACAATATGCGATACGTTTGTTTTTACTAAAAGCATTATTGGTTAAAATTTCAAAGATTTTTACTATATGCGATTTTTTTTACCTTTACTAGAAGTGTCTGTGGCAGTGGCGGATCCAGAGATACTTTTCAAGGGGGGCACGTTGCGAATATAAAACTTTAAACTTCCCTCAGTCGCAAAGACCATCCCCCAATGGTTACGGAGAACAGATTGTACCATAGTGTAAGAATAGCTTCTACGTAGTGCACATATTTAGAAAGATAGAAAGTGGTGTAATGGAAATACTGTCAATTAAGTTATCTATAACACGCCCCCTGTTGAATCCGCCACTGGTCTGTGGTTAAAATTTGAACAAAATATATTAATAAATAAGAAAGTTGATTCATCATTTTCGTTTTCATCTGGTTTGGTAGTGTGTACTTTTTTACGGGCCATATAACAAACTAAAGTTGATGATGATTTCTTCGAAACGAAATGTTGTATTAAAATTCTCTCAACGGTTTCTTCTAGGGCTTCATACATACGTGGCAATGAGAAAGTATTCTTTATTTTTTGGTATCTGTTCAAATAACTTCCCCATGATAGAAATCCTTATCTTGGACACGGTGTGTAAACCATAATCATCTAATTCTTTCTGTGTTTTTGGTGATAATTCTCACTTTTTGGTTTTTTAGTCTTTTTGGATTGTTTTCTCAACAAAATTGTGGCATGAATGTTGGTTTTAGCTATAAAAAGTTTAAGGTCTTAGATGGGAATTTTATTCATTCGTTGCACGTTCAAGGTGTTAAATTTTAGAAAAGTCAAATTTCCAAACGATTGGGCCGTGGCCGCGTCCTAAATGAATTATTTCGCACACGGACGGATAGACGAACAATACAAACTTATAAGTATAAAATCCTAAATCAATATTAGGAGCATTTCCACATTGAAACTACAACACAGCAAAAGGATCAAGTTGGTGCAAGTCGAATGTTTCTAAACTTATACAGAAACTAACCAATCAAAGCACACTAAAATGTCAGGTTTGCCTTTTCAATATGGCGGACTGTTTCAATTCAATTAGTGTTAGAAATTTTAATGGACAATAAAACAGTGTCATTCAGTGGCGTAACTTCATTTTAGAGGCCCGTCTTCAAAATATTTGGGGGCCCTTTCCTTATATCAGCATTTTTTAAGCGATGTTAATCTGTATGATGTATAAAATAGTGTCTTGATTTAGCTTTGCTGATTTTGCATTTTGTAATTCATTGGTTCACAGGTCCATTGTAAAATTTAGCGTCACTGCTTTCTGCGTTCAATCAGAGTCCAGTTGATTTTGTTCGAACTTAATTGTCAAACAAAAAAAACTTCGTTTTATTGTATTGACTTCGGCTATTTGTAACTAGGGGTAGGTAACTCTTGATTTTGTTTGTTATTTAATTGTTTCACTTTAAAAGTTATCCTTATTTTGATTTGTTTAATATTGGCCAGTTCCTTCGATGTTTAAACTCGTTTAGTTTGATTAGTGACTTCATTCGAATCTGCCTTTTTAATGTCTTAAACTGTTTCGCCCGCGCAGAGGTAAATGCTGGAGTGTTAAAATTACTTAGCGGCATTCATCTCGAAATACAACTTCAGGCTAAGGTTACCGTATCCAGGACCTCCAGATACCTTCTAGATTGAAGAAGGTCCCGCTAATTAACAAAGTAATTCATTTACTTTATGTAAGAGACTTCGGAATATTTTTTTTGACAAATGAGAAAGGAGTGGGGTTGTTTTTAAATCTAATAGAGTTTCGACTTTTGAACATATCAAATCTTGTATTAGATTAAAGTCAGATTTAAATTATTCAAAATCAAGAATTACCTACCTACTTCCTCGGATTGTTAATTTTTGTATATTGCAGATATTGCTCCAGATTTTTCACCTATGTTTACTCTCCGTGAACAATGATTCAGAATTTTCTTCGGACTGTAATTGTAAACTGTAAAAAAAGCAGGTGCATGGCCCTTCGTAAATAAAACATTAGCCAGCATTTGCATTACACTTTTATACGTTTTATCTCTTCCTTCAAGAACGGAAAATATTTAAATAATTAATAGAAGCATACCATTGAAGGAGTTTGGGAAATTTTCAATTTTTTTTCAGAATTTTGTATAAACGAATTAAATTTGTTGTACATTTTTGCCGAGGCCCCTTTTAAGTCGGGGCCCGTCCTCATTGCGTACCTTTGAGGCATTGTAGTTACGCCACTGGTGTCATTCCTGGCGAAAACGCGTGACGTCAAATTCAAGATATGATATCGTACATTCATTTCATTGAACGGATGTTACAAGCTTTGGGTCAATGAGCTTGTATCTATTAAATGTGAAAATTTTGTATTTGGCCGTGATTTTGACTATATTTACATATCAACCCCCGTCCGCATGGTTCACGTCTAACTTTGAAACACGATGCCAAGGTTATAGTTATACATGGCGTTTTTTTCTGTTGATTACACCGCAGGAACGTTATTGATCTACAAACACTATGTGGTTTGAGCTAAAGAAAAACATTGTTCTATTTATTTGTTAACGATTACCATACATTTGTATGTGTTCATTCGATTCCTTTTGTTTTCTTTCAATAAACAACGAAGGGCCTTGAGGTGTATGTTTTAGTTTCAAATATTTGTTAGTGTTTTTAGAGCAGTTAGTAAATGTATGTCTGTCAGTCCGCCGTTGTCTGCATATAGAGCTAAGACGAAAACAGGTTTTTTGTTTTCTGGGGATGGTACGTAAATTTGTTTTCTGTAGCATCTTTATTCCACTATACCAATAATATGAGAATCTATGATTAATCATGGAATGATATATGGAGGTATTGACTTACGCCATTGGGCAAAATTATTTCTACTGTCATGTCCGTATATTAGTGTCAGGTAGGCGAGTCAAACTACTAATTGACAGGTAGATGCCAATATAAAAAGGTTTACTTATGACTCTTCTTCGGTTTCGTAAAGTACTATATGTTGTTACAGCACGTAACGATAGCGAGTGCTGCAACCACACGATTTATCAATCCATCTGTTTCTGTGTTACGTGTTCCTCTCATTCATGTACGATTGAAGAATAAATCTAGTCAGGTTAGATAATTCGAACACGGATGCGGCATAGTAAATAATGTTTGTAGTTAATTTTTTGATATTTGAACACTGTATTGTCGTTGCTATAGCCATGTTTTTTATGTTGCAGGTTCGTCTCACAGTGATAAAGAGGTGGACTCGAATACTCCAGAAAAATTACCAAGAACAGCACCTTCAGAAAGAAAAAGGAAACGGAAAGTTGACGATACAGGGGGGACGATTAAAGGCGTTAGACCTGTATCTACAGATAGTAAAAAATTTAACGATTATTTTAGTAATAAACATTCGGGCAATAGTCCTATTAGACACGGTGGAGCGAAAAGTCCGTCGCCGCAACAACCATACCCAATGGTAAGATTTATCTATGTAATGTAGATAGTTGCCAATACGTCACCCTAAATAATTTTCGCAACCTGATCGTAATTAAGATAATAATTTATACTGTAGTACCAGATTCCGATGGTTTTATAGTGCAATAAAAACGATTGCAAATCCAGCTTAAAATAAACTCATTCATTGAAAAAGTAACTGCATAACAGATTGTATAGAAATCCTATCATCATATAGAGGAAAAGAATTTTACTTGCAACTATTTTCTCCATTTATGTGATATGTATGTAGGACGCCTAAAATGTCGGTTCGTAATAATTATTAACATTTTAGTGAAAGTTACTTTATGTAGCAATTGTGTTAATTGGTATAAATTAATTTGTTTTCCACTATTAAAAATTTTATTCGTTAATAAGACAAGTACAGATCATAATGTACATAAGAGTCAAATTTTTCATTTTTTATTGGGCTTTTATTATTTTAAAAATTTGGGTTAACATGACGTCTGAGTAGCTTGGGTACAAACATCATGGCCCCATTTCGTGGCAGACCCCATAGGGTAGGAAGAGACATTTTTAAAATTACTTTTGGGTTCAAAATATTTTTTCCAAAATTATTAACGCAGAATTTTGATTTGGGATTAAAAAAATATGTTATTTGTGTTTCAGTTTCCACCGTCCCCCCAACAGGTGGGGTTACCATCACCACAGGTGCCGGTGACACCGACCCCATTTGAATTTTACAAACAGCAACCTCCTAGACCTCCTCTCCCCACAATGGTTAGTAAACTTGTACAGGTATGTATAATGACGAGGAAAGTCGACAAAAAAAATCTACAGCTTAATCGTGTTAATCAGACTGAATTGACGTGTCAAAGGATACAAGAGTTTGAGACGCAAGCGTCATCGGATCTGGAATTAAGAAATAATAAAATTGAAGAACTCACGCGAACGAATGAGGAGCTTCGACACCAAATATCAGCGCAACAAAAAACCATAGATCAGCACAAGCAACATATAAATAAGTGCATTGAAGTAGTAAAAAAGTTATTAATGGAAAAAAGTTCAATCGAAAAAAAGGAGGCGCGGCAAAAATGTATGCAAAATAGACTTAGGTTAGGACAATTTGTTACTCAACGGGTAGGGGCGACGTTTCAAGAGAACTGGACGGACGGACACGCGTTTCAGGAGCTCGCAAGGTAATGAGTTTGCCATTTTTAAGTCGTCTTTCAAACTTGAGCGTTTGATTTTGCAGGCGGCAGGAAGAAATCACGTCGGAGAGAGAAGAAATTGATAGACAAAAAAAATTATTAGGTAAAAAAAGGCCTTCGAATAGTGAAGGTGGTCGGAAAAGAAATAATTCTGCGATGCATAATGGCACAGATACAACGTTTCTAAAGCCAGATGCAGTACCTGGTTCCTTAACTTTACAGGAGTATTATGAGGCTGATGAAATATTAAAAGTAAGTGTCTTTTTATTTTTGTTCTTTAATGTTTGGAATGCAATACCTGAAGTTTGTCAAAAAAAATCAATGGGCAGAATTTAGAGGTCCTTTGTTACAGTTGGATATGTGCTTTTCCCTCTGAAGGTTTTTGAACATTCGCAAATATCAAATCCAAATTTTAAGTTTGAACATTTGAAAGAAAAGTTAACTGTATGCATAATTTTGAATTTCAAATACTCTAATTTTTTTCACATACTGCAAAGTGACCACTCTGTGTGTAAAGCTTAGTTGGGATTTTTAAAGGTTTTCTAATATTGATCAGGTGGGCTTTTGATCGCAATTTGGCTGTATTGCCGTGAGGATATTCAATATTCATGTCTGTTTTAGGAAATCCCACACCCCATTCCCGTTTTCCCTGTTCCAGTGGGAATTTTGGAAAGTATACTAACCTTTGCGGACTGACGTCTAACCATTCCCCAAAGTTTCATCGTGATCGGATAAACAGTTTAGACAGGTATAAGGGACAGACAAACCATTTTCTAATTGCCACTTTTTGAGCTCTACAAGACACTGTTGTGAGATTTTCAATACAGCGTTTCGTTTTTGAGTAATCATCATCAATTTTCTTGATTTATATGGCCCGTAAAAAAAGTACATACTGTATTGAATAGTATTTTTTATTACAAATACAACGATGTACGGCAAACAAAGAATAAACAAAAGTTGGAAACTATAGGTTTCAATAGGAAGGTGCACCTGTGCAGAATTCCCTAATTGTGCAAAGATGCCTATCGGGCAAATTTCCTAGAAAGTGGAAACGTTCTGTTGAAACCAACAGTTTCCAACTTTTGTTTTTTCCTTGTGTGCCGTACATTGTTGTATTGGTATAAAAAATGCTACTCAGTAGATAGATATTGCGTTTGAAATTTGCACTTTCACACGCGTCATTGTTGTGAATTGTACAATTTATACTAATTACATAATCGAATGAATACCTACATATACCATATACAGTATAATTACCCCTAACACAGCAATCACAATTGGTTATCACAGATGTAAGATATTATGATAGGCTATTTTATCACCCGACACTGAATTACAATTATACTAAAATTAAGATTTACTTTATTTATTTATACAGTAAGTATGTTTCTTTTAAGGGCCATAAGTATAAATAAATAAAGTTGATGATGATTTTCTGAAACGAAACTTTGTATTGAAAATCTCTCAACGGTATATTGTAGAGCGAAAAAAGCAATGAGAATGTTTTTCTTCTGTACCTGTTCAAATAACATCAGGAAAAAATTGCCAAATTTGGGTTTTTCTGGCATATCTTCAGAAGTAATAGGAATTTTCTGGTTTTCTTTATAATACGATAATTACACTTTAAGCCCAGTTTATGGTCACAAAAATAACAAATAAGAAATAAAAAATAACAATTAAGAAAAGTTCAAATCCTTGGTAGCAAGTGGCAGCGTTTATACTGCCATTACAGTGTGCACATTTCAAATCCTTTGTGATTTCACAGTTAAGAAATGCAGTTTCAGGGCATTGTGGTGAATTGTTACAAAATCACACTGTTCACATTTTAAATCCTCTGAAGACTTGTGTCTTAAGAGATGTGATTTCCAAATATGTTGCAAAAGTCTACCTAAATTTGATTTTTCGTTCGTTCTATAATCACACTGTGCACATTTTAAATGCTTTGAAGGCTGTTGTGCTTTGAGATGTTGTTTCAGAACATGTTGAAGATTTGTTGCAAAAATGCATGTTGTGCACTTTAAATCTTTTGAAGTATTGTGTATTTTTAAGCGGTAATCGGCATTTATTGGTCATTATTACACACTACATGATTTACAGCTAAACGAAATCGCAAATAACCTATACCTCTCACTTGTCCAATAACTATTCTCGCACGATCGCGTGGTATCTCTTCTCCGAAATGAAATGTTGTGGCACTGGGGAAGTGTTTTTATTTTTCTGTATCTAACACCAGACAAAAATTAAAACAAAACAGCAAATTTCAGTTTTTCTGGTATAGCGTAGGAAGTAATCGGAATTTTCTGGTGTTCTTTACAGCACGATAATACCTTATTAATTGGCGCCACTTTTCCCTAATTTGACCATCTTCGAATCTTCTATGGTTTCCAAGATCTCCCCATTATAGACATCGTTAATCTTGGACACTGTATATCTGTTGTGTGATTTTTATTAAACGGTAGGTTATACATATGTAGTTACTAAACTTGGATTTTAAAATGAGCTTTAGGAGTCTACAGACAATTTTACACTGTGTACGTTTTTTATTGATAATTTAGTTAACCAGTATGCTAACAATAAAAAATCTTTTATTCAACAACTAGCAGTCCCGTCGAACTTGGTAACGCTTTTGGGTAATCTCCTTTTTTTTCGTCCCCCATTTCCGTTTTTCCCCGGTGACGTGGAATCTTCGGGAAGTTCTTTTGGAGTACGCAATGGCATTTTTTAACACTGATAGACAAAGTTTTTATTTCTTATGTATCTTTCCCATATCTTCCCTAATGGCCAAAGTAACTTTTCTTGACATTTTCTTTACTTTCTAGTGGAGACTGTTATTGAAAAACTATCTTCTCCTATCTGTCCTTTGAATATCCCAATGCAGGGAATGTTGTAGGTAAATATGAAAGCGTTTCAGAGAAGGTTATACAAAGGTCTCCAAACGAATCTGGGATGCTAGAATATTTTCTTGATCTTTCCAAGAAAGAAGAAAGTTAAAAAAATTTTTTTAGACATTCAATTTTTGTTAAATGATTTTAAAAGTTAAAACTGAAACGGGGAGAAATAACTGCTTTTGTAACCGACTCTCTGACTACGGTAAAATTTTCAAACGAGTTTTAGGAAGATTACACATTTCCAGAAACCAATTCAAAAATTTTCATAAGATACAAATGAAATTTTCCAGAGATTCTGGGAAATTCCAGAAAGATTCCAGGGCAGTTTTCATAATATTTCTTGAAATTTAATTTAAAAAAACTGGATTTTTTTTTAAAATGTCAGCAAAAAGTGTGAATTGCAAAATTTGTAGAATTACAGAATTCCAGAAATTTATAGTGCCATTTTAATGTCTTTTGAACTAATTCAATCTATATAACTTTTGATTTTGTGTACATAACAAACCGCAGGAACAATAACACACCTAATATGTATTATTTGTATATTATATATAATTTTTTGAGGGTGGGGGGCACTCAATACATGAAAAAATTCTGTTTAATTAATACCAATAAATAAATTAGATGCATGTCAAAATCGAAAGATAGCTAATGTTAATTTTGTCCAATAAAAAAATAAATACATATAAATTATGGACAAGTAATATGATAAATTACAGCAAGTACTGGATTTATTCAAATTTAAAAAAAAATGGGATTTGATTTTCTTCACCAATTTCATCAATCTTGGTGCATCACATTTAAAAATGTTCTAAGGAATATTCTACTTTTTTTAAATATTTCTTTGCGCCCATTTTTTAAATTATTTTTTACAAACTTACCTGTTACACCCTGTATTACAATTCCGAAAAATACTAAATTGAGTAAAAATGTGTTTTTTACTTTCAGTTAAGGCAAAGCGCACTGAAAAAAGAAGATGCTGATCTTCAATTGGAAATGGAAAAGTTAGAAAGGGAAAGAAATTTGCATATTAGAGAATTAAAACGTATTCACAACGAAGATCAATCGCGATTTAATAACCATCCAGTGCTCAACGATCGGTATCTCCTGCTTATGCTGCTGGGCAAGGGAGGTTTTAGCGAGGTGCATAAGGCGTTCGATTTGAAGGAGCAGAGATACGTAGCGTGTAAAGTTCATCAGCTTAATAAGGATTGGAAGGAGGATAAAAAAGCGAATTACATTAAGCACGCGTTAAGGGAGTACAATATTCATAAGTCCTTGGATCATCCGAGAGTTGTTAAACTCTACGATGTCTTCGAGATAGACGCCAATTCTTTTTGTACCGTTTTGGAATACTGTGATGGTCACGACCTTGACTTTTACCTTAAGCAGCATAAGACAATACCGGAAAGAGAAGCGCGATCGATAGTGATGCAGGTTGTGTCTGCGTTAAAGTACCTGAATGAAATTAAACCTCCCGTGATACATTACGACCTAAAACCTGGAAATATTTTGCTCACCGAAGGCAATGTCTGTGGCGAAATTAAAATCACAGATTTTGGCCTTAGTAAAGTTATGGATGAAGAAAATTATAATCCGGATCAGGGTATGGACCTTACATCACAAGGAGCAGGCACGTATTGGTAAGTACTCCCCTTTTTTTAGTGTTTGCATTAATTATTCTAAATGATGATACACTAGTTCCCAGAATTAAATGTGTTGGCGAACATGTTTCAAGACGGGACTGAATAAAGTTTATCATCAATCATTTCATTTTACTGACACTGACACTGAATGTTAATCTCTTTTTAGGTATCTACCTCCTGAATGTTTTGTAGTCGGTAAAAATCCTCCAAAAATATCTTCTAAAGTAGATGTATGGAGTGTCGGGGTTATTTTTTATCAATGTTTATATGGTAAAAAGCCATTTGGACACAATCAATCACAAGCTACAATTTTAGAAGAAAATACTATTTTAAAAGCTACAGAAGTTCAATTTGCAAATAAACCTGCGGTTACAAATGAGGCCAAGGTATGTATTTATTTTTAAATTTTTAATTTCGACTTCAGCCAAAAAATCAGTACAGTAGGTGACTTCCGTCGAGTCAGATGAATAGTGAAATATGCAAATAGTAGTATTTTCTAATGACAATTCAACTCATGTATAAAAAATCGCATAAGCCGCAGTGCAATTGTCACTTTGACGGCGGCAAAAGTTACCTGCAACTTTTCCAGCAACAAATGCACTAGTGGTTTTTTCACTTATTGGACTCGAAATTGCTAGGCAACAGATTTTCATGACCTAAACAACCCAAATTTACTCGATAAAATACAAACGTTTTGTGCAATTATAAGTAAAAAATGCTTTGTACCTTTTTAACCTGTTATTTAGACTGCCCTAATTTCTAGGTGTTTTTAATTTACTTCCTTCTTACTTATGTACTATTTTATAGTAATACTAATTCCAGCATGTTTTTTTTTATTTTGCGGTCTTATTGCGTTGTTTTTCTGTCCTATTGTAACTTTTTAAATATAACCTGAACTGTTTAGTCATGTGTATCGTCGTCCAGTAAGTTGCATTGTTTCATTGTTTTTATTTTGTAATACAATACAAGATGACAGCTAATTTTTTTTAATTTTCTGCATTTGTGTGTACCCGTTGTTTAATAACTAGTAAATGGGTATTATTCCCTTATACTTTTCTAGGTTTTCTTACTCTATGTCCCTTTATGTTGCCAATATTGTAATAGCAATATTTCCTATTCCTATCTAAATTATTCATTATACTCTTAGTTTTCATCTTGTTCTGATTTTTTCTGTCTGTATTATAGACAAGCTATACAGGGTGTTACACATATGTATGTAAAAAAAATTTATGTAAAAAAAAATTGGGTGGGAGAGGGGATCAAAACAAGCACAAGTCACTTCCACAAGTGATTTTGCAATTTTTTTTTCAAAATTCCTACAACGAAAGGGTGCACCCCTAGATGGGGGTACGAAAAAAATTCTCATTCCGATGAAATTTGTTATCTATGCGATTTTGAACATGAAAATCACGAATAGGAAATTAGTTTTTGAAATTTTGAAAAAATAAATTCCACTGCAATTCTTGGTCGGAAAAAACAGGCTGACTGACCGTACAAATGGACACGCTCTTCAACCGTCACAAAATTGGCAGCCGCGTTTTCTTATCATTTCCAGTATTTTAAAGAAACACCACCTCTACCATAAAATAGTCTTCTTTACGAATTTTAAAAAAAAATCGCCAATCACGACGTAACACGCCAAGCGCTCCCGCTTCTCCAATATTAAACGCGTAGTTTTTTGAAACACCCCCGTCTTCGTTATCAGCACCAGAACACGTGCGTTAATTAATTTTCGCGTGATAATAAAACTCCCTATCGTAAACGATCGGATGTAACCTTACTACTAAATTGAGTAATTTACAAAAGCAATAAATTTTAAACGCATCTAATAAATTTCTAAGAGAAAACACAAACACTGAGATACAAATTCAAATGAAACGAACTAACTTTGTGCTTAATTCGTAATAGTCTCTTAAAGCCTCTTATCACGAGGCGTTTTTGAAGCGCTGCAGAGTGGCGCGACGGAGTAGCGCGGTACACGATTGTGTGGGTCGCGGGCACAACTGTCAAGTCGCTCAGCAGCGCTACCAGGTCGCATGCGACGTGTTTCGCCGGGCGCCGACAAGTGACACCCGCGAAACTGAAATAAAATAGCTGTGTATCGCGATGGGCCCAGTCGACCTTTTGCTTTTTGCGCCAATTTTGGGTTCATACCCATCCTCTATGTAGAGTAGAGAAAGGTTTTTCATCATACGTTGTAGGATGACCTTCGAGACTCTTAACAAATTTTATATGCATTTCCTCAGTGTCGATTTTGGAGATTTCACAAGTATGTATACAACAGAATTGAACATCCCGCAACGTTGCAGACGCGCTACAGCGCCGCTCCGTGTGAAGGCGTCGATATAAAGCAGCGTTTTCCTACCAGAGGCGCCACTCTACAGCGCTTTAAAAACGCCTCTTGAGAAGGGGCTCTAAGATTTACTTAATAAATTGAAATAATCTCTCATATACAGGATGTCCTGTCATTATTCTTGGTGTACAGGCCGAAGTAACGTCTAAATGGCATTGTTTACACAACAAATAAAAGCCTATATCAGGCTACTAAAAAGAGGAAAAAGTTACGGCTTGGGATATTTTCACCCATGAGCAACCAACCAGCGTTACGACCTACAGAATATTTCAGGAAATGCAACAGAGACAAAGTATTTGTCACCATTTGAACGGCCAAAAATGAAGAACTACTAGAAAGTATTAAATAAACATCAAAAGAGCACAAGTTAAAAAATAAAAGCGAAGTTCAAGGAATATGGCAAAATCAAAATGGAAGAAATAAAGGAACCATTAGAAGAAACGAATAACCCCTGTAGCTATCAAGAATGTTAGAACGGAATTGGCAAACAAAAAAGCGCTTTGAACAGTTGGCAACTAGAAATATGTAGAATGGGCGGAGAGAAAAAAATTAGGAGAAAAAAGAAAACAAAGCGAGTGGCTAGCGCATTTTCCATGAATTGATCAGTACTTCTCGAAATGTCATGTAATCACTATTTATGTGTACAAAGGAAAATAAGTTATGGCATAAATATTCTTATAAGAAAATTAGCATTATGCGTACGCCTGATGTTTAAAATATACGATATGTTTGCCTTTACTAGAAGAATCTTTGGTTAAATTAAAAAAAATATCTATTAATCAGAAAGTTGACTTTGCGCCGTTTGCGTATGCACACGTCTGATTTTTACAATATGCTTGTCTGCACTAGAAGTATATGTGGTTAAAATTACTACATGCACACATTAAATATCTTGAAAACGGTAGGCGTAGTTAAAGGCCTTGAACAAACGGACGGACGGAGAAAGTGCTCATAATAGATAGCACCTTCAAACATTAGTTGGAAAATGCGCTTAATATGCAAAGTATGTGGGGCAATTGTCAATTTAAATGTAGGAGCTGATATTATCTTCAGTTTTGATCATAAATCATATAAGCCACCTTGAAATGCCACTTCTTCAAGCATGAGAGAAGAGAATGTGGCAATTGAAAGTTCAAAAATATTAAGAAATATTGTGGTTCTCAGTTTGGCTTTGGGAATTTCTTCAGCGTGTATCGTTTATCTATGAACCGTTTTTTTTTTCTAAAGAGATAATTCATTGGTCATAATGGCAATTTTTTTCACTTTGGGTTTGACCGGAAACAAAAAATTTTTTAAATAGAACACCCTGTAAATTACCTTTTTTTTCATTTCTGATTTACTTCACGTATTTCGTCTTTCAGTTCTCTATTCTTTTTTATTTCTACTTCCTCAATATTTCATTATGATTTTTTCCTGACTTTTTATCCTATCAGAGAAGAAACTGTACCGATTAGAAAATTAACCAAAGTTGTAGCATTTTTAAGTTACTGTAATTGGTGACAAATGTAATGAGCATATTTTTGTAATGGCAGTAGTAGAGAGAACCACATCAACTCGTGGATATTGTAAAATACCATTTTCACTCATTGCGAAATGTCAGTAGCAAAAACGATCTATGTGTCACCACTGACTGAAATTTTTGTTAGGGTTGCTTTACTAGTTAATTTGTTGTCTTCCACTGTTCATTCGACTTATAGTCTAAGTACCTTTATTGTTTCAGAGTTTCATTCGTTCCTGTTTAGCGTATAGGAAAGAAGATCGTATAGATGTATTGTCATTGGCTAGGCATGAATATTTGCAACCCCCGATGCCGAAGCATTCAAGGCTCACCTCCAATCAGCAGCAGCAGCAGCAACAACAGCAGCAGCAGCAGCAACAACAAGTAGGTTCCTTCTCGACGGGCATTTTTGGTGGAGCCATGAATGCTTCATCATCGTCTTAGTGCTGTGCAGTGTTTCCTAAGTTATTTAAAAAGTGTATTTAATTTTAATTGCGTACAATCTGACTCTTAAAAGAAACAAAACTTTAGATAATTAATAATTTAAGTGGAACGTGATTTGAGAATGATCAGTCAACAGTGAACACTTTATAAATAAACAATCCTAAAAAATAAAGACACCAGAATTTTTCATCTTATATTATATATCTTATCTCTCTCTTTCCTCATACTGCTTATGCTTCCTGTCCTAAAGGAATAACGAAGATTGGGAATTTTATTCGTGGTAGTGAGCGCGCTTGGAAGTGAAGAAAATTTTCAAGCTTGGTTGAAATCCTGAAGTTGCAGTCCAGCAAACTGAAAAAACAAGTGCAAATTGGTAGTATCGTACGATTTAAGTTAATTTATAAAGTGACCTTGCTTTGTATCATAGTGTGTATTTCGTTCGCTACAGTCCCTATTTTCGATAATTATTATCATAAGTAGAATATGTACAGGAAACGTCGATCACTACGGTGATGATACGCTTATTAAATCTCTCAAATCAAATGGACTACGCTCAGCTTGAATGGGCTTAATGTTTCGCATGTTTTTATTTAATAAGCAATTTATTCTCTTTGCAGCATTGAGACATTTTTGTAACAGCACGTAGTTACAATTTTATTCGTTACAAGGAGATTCTTTTTTTATTTATTGCACGGTTATTACTTGGACAGTGGATGTTTAAGTTTATACATTATTACTTGTATATACTGTGGCAGTTGAGAGTATAAATTTTGTTAAAACTAAGTAGCAACTATGTATAGAGAAACCTCAGTTTGTTCGTACCAAATTTTTACATAGTTAATAAGTTATTTTTACTGTATATAAGCTAATTCTTCGATAGTCACAATGTACACATTCATGAAACAAAGTGAGGTTTTCCAAATTGAAACAAAACAAAACAAAATGTCTCAAACAAGATATTTGTAAATTTTTAGCTTGTTGAACTGAATCAAATGCCAAACAAACGTTGAAAATTATGCTCCGATTAGTATTGTGCGAAGCGGATTTTTTTCCGACGAGCGCAATACGTTGTAGAATAAACTTTAACAGTTTTAATCTTACTTATAAGGTTGTATCGTGTACAGTTGAAATAGTAACAATTAATAAACAATGTTGTAGTTAACGTTTTCAATATGTTTGGCAACATTCGGCTAACTTATTTTTAAGTATCTTGTACCAGCCTGTGCTGCAATCGAGTGGATGCCAAATGTCCAATATAAAACTCGCAAATAAATACATGTTAATTATTTATACTGTGCTGTTTGTGTGGGTGGTTCGCCACGGACATTGTGATAAGACGTAGTTAAGCAAGTCATGAGTAGAAAAACGAAAATGTATCGTTATTTTATTGTTTATTGTACTTGTATCTATACTTTTTGTTTTATACAATCGTTCACATTTTTTTTTTGGAATATACAAACCATTGTACATACAGTGTGTATGAATTACACAGTAAAAGTTTTAAAACCAAGTTTATTACTTGTCCACAAAGAAATATACTACTGTTTGATTCACATGCCACGACTAAATTAAACTTTTTTGTTACATTTGTTTTTATGGTTTGCTAGTACCTTTACATGCGCGTTGAAATGCTATTCATGACTATTTGCTATATAACGAAATAGTCATCGGCAAGGGCCTAAAGTGCCTTAACTGAACAACAAAAGAAAATGGAAAGGGAAGATATACGAGTTGATAAATCCATTAGACAAAAATCGTAAAAATTAAAATTTCCCATATGCACTTACTGTACCTTCGAATTCAAATATATAGTGCATAAAAAATGTCAAACAAATCAGAGTTGAATATGTAGAAAATTAAAAGCAAAAATATATAAATGAGTAATGTATATTAACTAAAACAAATGGTAAATGCACCCTATTTTTATTATCGGCTAAACGCTAAAGCATTTTTTTGATGTGTGAGTTCGCATATAATACTTATATCTACATTTTCGAGCATGTTAATTTACTCATGCGCGAACTTTTTAACCCTCCTGCCCCCCAATCGCTTCAAATCGACCAAAAATGTTGCAAAATATAATCAGATAACTGAATATTTACCCAAAATTTGAAAAAATCGATATTGAAAATATTCTGAAAGCAAAAAGGTTAAACTATGACGTTTATCAGTAGAGTTTTATTTAAATGGGATGCATAACATTATTTTGTACTAGGGGTGGTCCCAATCGGTTCCTGCATTGCGATCTTTTGGTCTATTTCGCTTCCTGGTATTGTATACCCTTCTGGTATCTCCAGGATTTTGATTGGGCGAACCTTTAATATTACTTCCTCTTGTGTAATTTTCTCATTTCTAAGTAGCCCTTCCTTTACCTTTGTATATCCCTCACAATGGCAAATGGGGTAGTGTGGTGTTCTTCATGCTCACCACTACCCTTGCATTAACGGGCTGTCAGTCAGTCCCATTTTGTGCAGGTGTTTATTAAACCGACAGTGGCCTATGACCAACTGTGTCATAAGTTATATCTTCATCCTACTTAGCTTTAAAATGGATGTGCTATTTCTCCGTTGGGGGTTTCCAGAAAGATTTTGGAGTGGTTCTGTCCTAGAATTTTTGACCTGAACCACTACAGAGTCGCGAGGTTGTTTTAGCATGGTATCCATCTACACATGGTAGAATGTAGGTACTCCCGTGCTTTCCATAGCAGTTTTAATTGATTCTAGAGTGGTGGGAGTGTGAGTCTCATCCAGGTTTCAATGTGAATACGACTTTTACTTACCTCCACGCTATAGTAGGTACCTATGTATCCCTGGGCAATACTTGCTCTTTATAGTAGACCTTGTAGTAGAGCAGGAAATATTCCATCCATCCTTGGGGATTTCTATGGGGGGAAAGCCTTCCACTGTCCATCTAAACTTTGGTTAGGTTTACTATCTGCCGAGCCAAAACTCAATCTCCTCTGTTCCCACTGAGAAGTGGTTCCAGAATAATGAGTTCAAAGTCTCCTTTGCGGTCTCTGTGTAATTCCCTCAATTTTCTTCAAGGAATCGATTCAACCCTCTGATCCTTTTTGTAGAGCTCTTTGGAGGCTTGGCACCTTCTGGAATTTGTTCAATTTCCTCACAGTACCTCCTACATGGGTCACATTTTACCTCCCTTATGGCCTTATGGTATTCGATGAGTGTAGTTCGGTATGAACCCCCTTCCCCCTTGTTTTTGCTTTATTAAAAAGCTTCCTTGTCAGTGCCAGAGCACTCGAAAGGGTCTCTCGTACCACCATGGCACTTTATTTGAGGTTCTCCCTTCTTTTGTGGGACAGCTCCATGACCTCCAGTTCTATCGAGTTATTGACTCCTGCTCAGTTAGTTCTTCTCAGATTTCTATATGCGGCTGCAGCCGCTTCGTTTGATCCAATGTCAAAACGAATATATCTATGGTCAAATAACGATGGCTCTTCTAACACATGCTATTTGTGTATTGAGCTATATTATATAGCTATGTATTATATGTGTTGGAGAAGAGTTGGAACGACATTCATGGTGAAGTTCACGTAGAGTCGATGGTTGCAAGTGGCCCTCATCTTGGGCAGGGAATATGTTGGGTCCGCAAGGACAATAAGAGTTTGTCTCTTGGGGTCCTTCCTGATGTCTACCTGCACACACGCCAATTATTGCTGTTTGTAACTCCAGCGTTTTGGATTTCGACCCTTTTCAGGATGTTCTCCGATTCTAGATGAGCTTCGGAGATCTAGACGTGTGCTCTTACTGGTTTTATTATACGTAAAATTGTAATTATAAGGACTACGTTTAAACCTCTGAAGGTGGCTATTACTTTGGATTTAAATTTTTCGCGTAAAATGGGATTTTTCTGGCCGTAAGAAACGTCAAGGTTCTGCAGTGTCTTCCCAGATAAATATTGTTCATGATAATGCAAAGAATTTATCTGGATGATTGGAGTAAGCGAAATATGTGTCATTTTTACGCAGTGCGGTTTTCAATGAGTTTGGTTCTGTAATTGTTTTGGCGTTAAGATGTAGCGTGCGTATTAATAGGTTTACATCTAATTTTAAGAAATATATTATTACATTTCTTTGCTCATCATGAAGATAAACTCACCGTGGAAATTGTTGAGTCGGCTTGCTCTGGGAAAGAGATGGAATTCATTTACAACGTGTAAAATCATCTAGGATTGGTAGTACAATAGATACTAACCAATGAGAATTTAGTCATCGTCATTTTGAAGTCATCAGTAATTAGGGACCGTGGGGATCAGTCCGATTAAAAAATTGAGAATTAATTAAGCTCGCGTAGTGGTGTAGTAGTCTGTATTTATAATTGTGATTAATTACTCCCCCCATGGGATACACCTTGTCGTGGTGGTGGGGCTCAGTAGCTACTATTTTCGGTGGTGGGTGAAGCTAAGTATCCTAGGCGGGTAAATGGCTTTTACCCAAAAAAGTTTGGTACGTACGCGCTACCAACCAGTAAATGTGGTTGAACGTTCTGCGCGTAAATGCATTCGGGTAACTTTTTGAGGAAATTGGCATTCCGGTCGTCATACCATTTCTAATCATTACCGGGATGACTTTATTTCCGTACTACTGTAGTGCGAAGTTGGCGTAGAATCCGGGGGTGATGTGCACTACAGTTTCCAAAAACTTTGCCAAGCAGCATTGAATTTATAACTATCCAGCAGCTTATGTCTGAACAACCTATATATTGATATACAGTGAGTTTTTTAAGACCCCATAGGATTTTACATGTTAATTTTTCAACCCCCTGTTACCTTTTATTTTTGTAAATATTACAAAGCCTAGGCGCTGTTCTTTTATTGCATAGTACCGTTTTTTAGTTATTCATTTTGTGATACCTAAATGGTTATAAAGCGATATTTTGGAATGAAAATAGCTTCCTTTCCTAATTTCCTTGGGATCAAAATTACAAATGACATGATTTTCGGCCTATTAACAATTTAAAATTGAAGCAAACGGAATTAGAAAATACTTTTTGTTGGGATTTTCTTTACTTGTTTATTTCTATATACAGTCAGTTGGTTCTGGTGAATGCAGCCATTTTAATGAGTATGGTGTGGTGTGAAAGTGCCTTAATTTATCCGCATAGTATCGATATTTGACAGTGTGCAGTGCACTTCACTCTGCAGTAAAGCAATGGTCTTTGGTATTGGTAGTGTAGTGAAAAATTTCTTTTAAGTTAAATCCTTTTTTAAGTATTTGTAATAATGTAAGTATAAACGCTTTTTGAAAACTATGTACAATACGGTACACACGCACATTGTAATTACCATCCCTAACCGTAGATCGTTGTTTATGTTGTTTTTGTTTCAGTAGATGAGATTTATGTCTGTGTCTGCATTTAAATCCCTGTTCCTTAAACGATTTAAAAGCATGAAGGAATGTGAGCGTCCGTACATCCCTCCTAGCATTAATTCATCATTAATCGTGTGGTTGCCTTTGCAGGCACCATTTCTCAACAAGCTCTCGCAATGCGCTATCTTAAAACTCTATGGACCAATTCGATATACTACATTCAAACGGAACTATTGATTTAAACGATGTTTTAAGTACCAATAAAAATGAAAAGAAAAAAGCCGCTCGTAAGCGTTGGGCAATTTTGGCAAAGGCTTTGAAGGTCTGTTTAAAAATAAAATAAATTGTCGATATTCATTCTAATTATTTTGTACAGAGTCCAAGTGGAAGTGAACCGTCAAGTCCCACCGACGAGATTTCTGTACGACGTATATCTTCCTTCATGCTCTTAACTACGCAACTGCTCGACCATTTTCCGCTCAGTTCAACAGACCATTGCATCACTGATCAGATAAGAAAACGTACTTGGTATAAATACTCGATGAAAGTAGATGACAGGGAATATTTCGTCAATGTCGGCCATAGAATTCGTGCGTTCTCGGCCGAGGACTTAATGGGTTTCAATAATACCGGAAATATTTGCGTATGGCCATCCGAGGAAACTTTGACTTACTTTATGGGTGCTAACTTGAATATTGTAGATGGTAAAACAGTATTAGAATTAGGCGGCGGAATGTCCTGCTTGGCGGGACTTATCTGCGCGAAATACGGTGCCGCCAAGCAGGTTACTTTGACCGATGGTAACAAAGTATCTATCGAAAATGTACAAACTAGCTTATATAATAACGAGTTCGCTTGTCCAGTTGCCTGTAACGTTCTGAAATGGGAGGAGTGCGTTGTCAAGGAGAAATTTGATGTAATTTTATGTGCAGATTGCTTGTTTTTTGATGAAGGGAGGATTCATTTAATTAAATGTTTATGGGACGTAATGTCATCCGATAGTTTAGCACTTGTTATGGCTCCACGACGGGGCAATACCTTAGCAAAGTTTATATCACATGCACAGAAAAAAGGTTTTACTTGTAGAGAAATATTAAAGTATAACAGTGTCGTATGGGAGAAGCATTTGGCTTTATTAGACAATTGCGAGTACGACGAAAACATTCATTATCCTATACTGATTGAAGTGACCAAAACCCAAGTGGCCTTAGATTCGTAGTTATACCAAGTACACTGATGAATACTCGAAACCAAATTTTGCACATTAGTCCTTAAAAGAAGATCTAGTCTAATAATTATTTGTGACCTACTTACCTTGTCTGTGATAAAAAATACCAATTTCCTTATTATATTAGTAGATAGAATGTGAAATTTGCAAATGCGCTCATAGATTATTAAAGTAAATGTATACAGGGTGTTCACAAAGTATTTTCAACACAGATGTTTCTCCGATCCACCAATTCGGATTCCAAAGTACTTCACTTTATTATAAATAGTAGTTACTAATACTTATATTCGGTATAATTATGCACACACTTAGCCTCTTTAAGCTATGAACATGCCACATAAATCAATTTTTCTGACGTAAATGGCTTCCATTATGCGTACTTGATTTTTGTGCTTACTTTTGAATTTTATTTTTTGTGTATTTAGATTCTATCGGCCAACTGCTAAAAAGTTCCTGAAAATCGCTCTGCAAAAGACCATACTATGGAAATAAAAAATAAGATAAAGTGAAACAACCGTACTTAATGAAAGAAGATGTTTGATATATTTCGATGTTCAGTGTTTTTTTTGTTGTTAATTTTTTTTTCTTTTGGCAACTCTGGTTGAAGTGTAAACCAATATAAACAGGTATTATGAGTTATTTGCAACTCAGTAGCGTAATCTGAGAACCCGGGGCATCAGTCAAGGCAACTGTCAGACCTCCCTCTGTATAGTAACATTGGAATATCTTACTAGTCACACAATTTACGGGTAAAAAAATTTTTATTTAGTAAAATTTCTATAGGTGCTTAGTATTTATTATCTTGGGGCGGAGTTGAGCAGAGACGAGACATGTTACGTGCGGAAGAGAAAGAGTGGGGTTATTAAATTGCTTCTAATTGTTTGCTCATTTTTATATCCTTTCTTGTTTTTGGGAAGAGTTTAAATCATCATAGCAAAGCTGTTATTATCAGCAAACAGATGACGGTTTACTTATTGTTACTTCAATGTTAGAATGAGTTACAGTGCCTACAGTTTAGAATGATATTAAATTAATTTTCTATTTCTCCCAACAACTGAGATATCAATGGTATCTTCATTTTATTTCGTGCTCCGCGTCCCATTTTTAATAAGAATCACAGAAAGCATAATCAATTGTTTCATTTTATCTACCTTTGCCGTTAAAGTGATCAGTTTATCTACCTGTCTGCTAAAGAGAGACTTGCTATACTCATTCAAACCTATTAAAATGTCAATTTTACAACTGCTGTAAAATTAAAGGTATAAAATAGTAGTTCCGTAGATCACAGGGCCTACAAAACTGCAGAATCTCAGGGCTTTCCATAAGACCTGGGTGGAGTTACGCCTCTGTTACAGCTTTATCGTTGTACAAACTACATTTTTGATCTACCAGTTTCCTATGATGTATTAGATGAATGGGAATGTTATGAACACAAAACTGTGTCCAAGATAGGGGTGTCTATGACGATGGTTAAATTAGAAAAAAGATGCGATTAAAGTGTTATTATCATGTTTTAAAAAATCCATGTGGCTACTTTCGAAGATATGCCAAAAAACCGAAATTTAGCGATTTCGTTTTTATTTTTTTCTGACGTTATTTAGAACAGATACAAAAAATAAAAAACACTTTCTCATTGCCACTTTTTGGGCTCTACAAGACACTGTTGAGAGATTTTCAATACAATGTTTCGTAAATTTGTCTGATAGGTATTCTCTTCTCGCATGATTAGGGCGTTGTGCGCGGGTGCACCATCCTGTTGAAACCAACAGTTTTCATCTTTTGTTTTCTTTTGTGGCGTATATCGTTGAATTCGTAATAAAAATGCTACTCAATACAGTGTGCATTTTTTTTGCTGGCCATATAAGAAAATAAAGTTCGTGACGATTTTTCCGAAATTGTTGTTGTATTGAAAATCTCTCAATGGTGTCTTGTAGAAGCTCAAAAAGTGGCAATGAGGAAGTGTTTTTTTAAATTTTTTTGTATATGTTCAAATAACGTCCGATTTTTGTGAAGTGGAGAAATGAAATAGTTTTACAACACTGGTTTCTATCCATTTTGGAAACGTTTCCAAATAGTGACCCTAACTGTATTTGCTACTAGAAAAGGAATACGTTCCTACGGAGTCGCTTTTCTAAACAGTTATGTTCAGAGGAGGATATGGCTAATTTTTGTGACAGCATATTTTTTCTTTCAGATTAAAGTAGTGTGCATAATTATTCCATTCCTTGTTATATTGATGTGCTTTAAAAAATCCAGTAATTAAGTTTACTAATTAATCTTAGAGAAGCTACTTAATGTGAATAGCAGCGCGTCGTGTGTTTGTATTAAAAAAATGTTATTTTTGTGAGATCTGAGATTAGCATTCCTTAATTGTGTATTACTGATCTTATGCCATAGTTAGATAGAAAAATAGTTCCTTCCTTTAACCAGTATTCTTTCATGTATCATAGGAGAAGTCTAGTCGTATTTAAAAATGTTCCAATATATTTCGTTTTAATTAAATGTAGTTCCTATACAATTGGATTGTTATTAATATTATATTTATTAAATATATAATCGTCTAATTTTTGATTTTCCATTTTATCCACGTAGGGCCGACTATTGGAAGTCTCAAGAGCGCAAGTATTGCGACTTTTGCAGATGTTGGATTGCCGATAATAAACCTGTAAGTATGAAGTTTTTTATATACTTATCACTATTTTCGACTTCCGGTTTAGTTTTCTCACAGTGCACAATACTCCGAAAGGCATCGCACATTGACAATATTGCAAATAGTCGTCCCTCTAGATAGTCGAGGAGCTCCCTATTGTTTTTCAAGGTTTCAATTAAACGAGTAATTTCTGCGAAGATCGATAAATTGAAGTTGAACGCCATGTTACTGACAAATTTTCAGAAACTAATCAAACAAAATCTGCATAGCAAACTATATCTATTTATTTCTTATTTCAATCAAGGTAATGGTTCGTATTTACAGTAGCTTAAGTGTATGCGTAACTATATTTTATTCAAACCAGTTCAAATGCAGTGTCTCTGTCTTTATTTAAACATGTCATTCTGACATTTCTATGGCGTTAGGCCGCCCAGCACACTTTGATGTGTACAAGGTTATTTTATAGAGCTGGTAGACATTTTTGGGGAGGTATTTGAGGTACGCTGTGCAATTGCCTCTTTTAATGGCCTATATTCTATACATTTTTGTGCAGGCTGAGGAAGACGTAAATGTGTCTAAAAACACGTATAAAGCTACCAAAATTTCAAAAATGTCCTGAGGGATCATCTTCCTCCTCTCGGGGAGGGGGGGGGGCTAACGCGGTGGGGGGGGCATAGATAAATAGCATTCACAAGTAGGCCACCAGTAAAAAAAGGTGGAGAAACACTGGACTAGGTGACTCCGCGCAAGTTACTTTCCACCACAAGTGGGAATTTGGAAATTTGCCTGCGCGTGCCATTAGAAATTCTTCAGGCGGCGGGCCACACACACGCGGGCATAGGGTTGAGCAGCCTGTTACAGTGCGTTTCCACATATCTAATTCTTCAAACCATTAAAGGGGAGTCCGTTCAGGCATCAGCACTTAGACACGCCCAAAGGTCTATTGTGCCTATCCCCTTGCTTTCGGAACTGGGTTTAGAGCCCGTTCCTTTCAATGAAGAATGGGACCCAGTTTAGCCCAAGTTGCATTACCCTATTAGACTCAGTGGTATTGGATCATCTAGTAGAAGGAGTTTCGAATCGCTGCTTGTGTGAAACGATCGACATCGCTAACGGTTTCTTACTTTGCCTTGTTTTTTGAGGACTTCCTAGAGGTTTCCTCGATTTAGAGATTTGTGAAATAGAAGTCGCTGTTCGCAGGCTAAAGGTACGCGTTCACTGAGGCGGAGCGGACGCAACTGACGTGCTGTAAAATACTAATCACATATAGATGCATAGTCTGTAACCGCCTTTAGTTAGTTTTTATAAATCGGAAAAATATCTCTTCTTTTATCAATAATTATACGTCTCCTAAATATGCAGCAAAATTCTCTGTACATGTTTATATATTTAGGTATGATTATTATAGAGCGTAGAATTTCACGAAAAAGGCAGACGACACCAAGAAAACGTAACCAAGCGTCTTAAGTTAATACACAGAAAAAGTAAAAGAGATGAAAAAGAAACTGTTAAAATCGACGCGGCTATTCAGCACATGGAAATGGCCGCTTTGGAGGCGTATAGAAAAGACATGGAGGCCAATCCTGATTTAAGCTCAGTTCGTCAAAAGGGCAAGGGAAGTAGTTCAACGATCAAGAGCGGAAAACAACTGTGGCACCAAGAAAAGTCGAGAAGCGGACAAATCACTTATCGCAATATCATGACAAATGGTAATAACTTTTTGTTAATATGTGCCATTTCTGAAGGTCACTTACAGAAACCGTCCAGACACCTCCGCCGGAGGGTTTCTTAACCCTAAAGGAAGTAAAGTTAGCCTCGCTGGATGCGACAAAAAAACAAATGGATGTCGTCCAAAGGCAGCAGCAAATCGAAGGGAGAATAAGATTTGACGAGCTATTGCAACAAGACGAAGAGGAGCGCGCGAGATTGGCGCGCGAAAAAATGAAGGAAAGAAGAGCCGAACCGTTACCAGAACCGGTTTACGCACCCCTTATACCGCCAGGACCGTCTACACCATACGGCCAGTGGCGGAAGGTTGAGAAAAAAGAGTAACATTCAATATTTTATCTGCACTTTAATATGGTTCATTTTAGGGCGAAGGAAGTCGATTGGCAACTACCTCAACAGCCAGAGTATCAGTACCCAGCTGTTGTTGAGCCAGAACCGGAACCTGCACCTAAAGAATTTAAAGAGAAAGTTGTTGAAAGTTTAGGAGATGGATCGGCAACATTTAAAAAGAGAAAGATTGGCTCGCGAAATACCAGACAACGAACGGATGATGATTAGCGTGATGGTGCATTTATTTTATTATAAAAAAGCATAGCCAATTATAGTATGGTATTGTATAATGTTTTATAATTTAGGTGTAATAAAAATGGATCCCAGGTGATGCATAATTTTTAGCGTATTTTCCTCACAGTGAAAAATCGCTATTGGCTGCACTTTGACGTCCGTCCGTCTGTCCGTCACATGTACCTACTCCTTCTAAACCACTCAACCGATTTTGGCGATATAGGACTCAATTGAAAGGGCTTAGTCCAAGGATTCCGTGCATACCCATATTTTTTTGGTTATGCGCAGTGTCAAAAATTTGGTTTAACGCATGTGCGATGCTAACTTTTATTTATGAAGATATTTAAATGAAACTTTAAATGTAAACACTACGAATATAAGTAAAATTAAGAACATTTTCAAAATGTTGTTTTGCGCATGCGCAATGCCAGCTTTCTTATTTATGAAGACATTTAAATGAAATTTTATACATAGGCATTTGGCATAAAGGCAAATCTAACACCAGTTGCAAAATTTGGTTTTGCGCATGCGCAATGGCAACTTTCTTATTTATGAACGCAGTTAAACGAAATATCATATGTAGGCACCTTGAATGAAACTAAAATTAATACCGATTTCAAAATTACTGGTAACGCATGCTGTATGTTTTATTTATGAAGGTAGTTAATGAAATTTCTCATGTAGACAATGCGCAATGCTATTTACGAAAGCATTTATGAAACGTTCCATATGTAGACACTTCGAATAAAAGTGACACTAATGCCCATTTCAAAATTTGTATGTATTTGTATACGCTCCACTATGTTTTATTAAACTGCATAGACTTCGACTATAGGCGGTCGCGGTTCATTTGAAAGAGAATGGGGTAAGGGTCTCGTGCCTACCGGTATTTTTTCCTGGTCCTAGCATTATTAGGAGGAAAATACGCTCTCGTCATTTATGTTTGCATAACGACTTTAAGCTTGGTTGAATATGTACCTACTTTGTGGAATCATTTTGGCACTGCTGATTAGGGCAATGTAGAATTTTTCAGGATTTATTTACAAAACCACACTATACAGGGTGTTATAAATTGAGTAGAATAACATGGCCATCTGATAGTATGTTTACTTCAAAATAGATTACTATTCGTTGAACCCCTAGAGGGTGCAACACTGCAACGACACCTTTCTGTAGGCGAGGCGCCTCAATGAATCATATAAAACAATTGAGGTGACATATTTCATGTACCTACATACTTTCACTATTAGAATTTCCCACTATTGTTTAAGTATTCTAATTGAATCTAAGAATACCCATTGTTGCTACTTTATCTTTCAATAAAAAACAAATTTCTATGTGAATCGAAGGTTGAATTTTTCTCCATTCGTTTTATTTATGAATCATTACTTCATTGCGTAAGAAATTACGCGACGCGACGCCCCTGGACCTCAGTTCAACTGTTATGTTTGCTCCGGTTAGTTCAGTCGAGTTCAGCGAATTCATTATCATTTGAGTGCGTGGTGTTGGACGAGTGCGGGTGTTTCCTTAATTGAAATATTCGTTTTTACGAAATAAGAAATGACTTTTTAAAGTTTTCTTTTGACTATGGCTTCGTTATCGTTGCCCCGCGTTTTACAACCGAGAAAAACGAGTTTGGAAGTAGAACGAGAAAACTTCGAAAAATCTCAAGTAAGTCGCGTTTGTTATTTAGGTTATGGCAATTTGGAACCGAAAAAGCATTTGTTTTCATTTTTGTGTTGTGCTTAAAACACGTGACTGTAGTGGGTATAAGTGGTATAAGGTATGCCATTTGTTTGTCTAAAACACACCCCAAACAAAAACCAACAAATTCATTGCAGCAGTAGGTAGGTGCTTGGATGTAAATTTTTCAAGGCAATTACCTTATTATTATTGATATTATGCTAATTTTTATGCATAAGGAGACAACAGCGTCAGTTTTATTAAATTCCACAAACGCCCAAAATACCTTCTCGGTTTGGTCGTTACACAGTGGCGCGCCTTTATTTCTTCATTAAGGGTTGTTTGTTTAGGTGGAAAATTCATTACCTCTAATGGCCAAATGACATTAATTTCATTTCTTTACAGGCTTAAGGCATTAAAAGTCAAATATGAATTTGCCGTATTCAAATTTGCGATTGCATTCATTTTTTTTACAAAATTATGGAATGCACGTATTAAAAAGCGTTTGCAAGATTGATCCAGTTGTATAAATCTGCAATGCCGGCTAATGAAAACGGTAAATTGTCCGGTCTCGGGCTCTTCGATTAGTGTCTGACCGTTTTTTGCATTAAAAATGTCCTCCATCATACAGGGTGTCTCAAGGCATGCAGGTACTTAAGTGAGAAATTTTCCAGGTATGACGCATTAGTGTAATACAAACACGCGACAAACTTATTTATGCTCAATTTCTTTTACTTCAAGGCATTTTTGGAGTACTTAAATTACCAATTGGTTCAGTTAGGTACGAGGTTAGGTACCTGTTCACGGATAAGCTTTCCTTCATGATATATCTTTTAGGGAAACCGTCGACTTGAGGCGAGTACCGATTTCGACACTTCTTTCTAGAGGGATTCACATTTGAAGTTTTTACTCCATTAACAGATGCGTTTTGTAGACTTTTATTTTTCTTTTTGTGAGTACCTACTTTCGACATTCCGTTTTCGAGATATTCGCATTTGAAGCCCGACACTACCGACTATCGTCCATGATATCTATTTGATTAAAAGCCTTGAAGGACATAATATCAAAATGTCATGAAAATCGTTCCTTTATAATAAAACGATAGTTCTCTTCTTTATAAACAAAAAAGTATGAATGCGCTTGCGCTGAAACGGAAACTTATTCGACAGAAATTTATTAAATGTAAAAATACCGCTTTCTACGAGGTCTGAGATCTCAAACCCTGAGACGGACGGACGGAATTCACGCCATTATAAGCTGTATTTTTCATTTTTCACGACGCACTAAACCTTCTTAAAGCTATTAGTTCGGCTCCTTTAGTAGTTCTATACGACATCCGGTTTTGCTGGAAATGATTAATATATTTCAAAAACCTTGTACTTACTCCGCTAACTATATCAGAAATTTTAAAAAACCTATTTTGGACCAATAAACGATATCTCTATTTCGACTAAAATATAGAAATCAGTTTGCTTTTGATCTCGTTTATACCAATTTGATATAACTTGGTTTATTCCTAATAGTTGGAGCCAGTCCTACCAGCTGTCTCAAGCAAACGTTTTTCCTCGATGCTTAAATACGTTTGTAGTTTATGTCACCAACTTGGGTTCCATTCTTAATGATTCGCCCTGTAGATTGGAGGTTGTTCACATTAAATTGTGAATGTCATCTAGAAGTGCTTGATAACTTTATCAGGAAATCTAATTATGTGCTTAACTTAAATGTGGACGGGCCAATATAAAACCAAACGGCTTTATGAATTAACGCTGTACAATGGAAAAATTGTAAGGTGGGTGTTTTTATCTACAGTAAACGAGGAGATAATTTAGATTAATTTTACTTCAGTCTAGTGTGGTTCTCTGGCAAGTATCTTTTTTTATAATTTATCATGTTACGGGAGCATTCCCTGTGTCTTGCGCTTTTACATAAATAATTTTGACGAGTAACAAATTGAAGTATTGAAAGCTTTGGTAGATGGTTTAATTTGAAACCGTCACTTTTAATCAGTGTCCTTGTTTTCCTAAGCTAAGGTATGATTTTTAAAAGCCCATCGCGTTAATTCATTCATTATAGGATTCCTAGGAATTTATGTTCAGCTTATTGGATCAATCAGTTCTTCGAGTTTGAACGACCATCGCCATTATTATTGCTGCATATTTAAGGTAGCCATTTGTCTTGTATTTCAAACAGTAATAAACCGATACCTTTAACCGAGCCTTTAACCTTCGCGTGACCCAAGACAAAATTTTCGCGGACCCCATTAAAAATTTTTGTTTTATGGTTTTATGACCCGTAGATTGGTGTACATTATTGTTTATGAAATAAAAGCACATGTAGTAGAACAGTTTACGTTGCCAACAAAAGTAGCATACCTATTATTATTATTATTTACTTTATAACTGTACTCTGACATATTAGCCAGGTTGCGGACAGCATTTTCCGTTATGTTAGACGGCCATTTTTCCTTATAATATAAGTTTATAAGTATAAAACATTTTTATAGCAAAGTTAAGTTGCGGTGTGTGCTGGGTGTGTTCAATTTTGCTTATAAGTTTGAAGGAGTCTTAACCTCACTTTTACATTGTGTTAAAATGTCCAAAGTTCACTACTATGCTCTTAGACAAAAAGAAAAGAACTACCGCCAACATAAACACTGCACAATTGTAGGTTAGCAGGAAAATGTTATTTATGAGTGATTACTGCGCAGCAGAGTTGGACTGGGTCAAGCATAGAGTGACCCAGTGACCCGGTGACCCAGTTAGTTTACTGACCCGGTGACCCGGTGACCCAGTTGACCCGGTGACCCAGTTTGACCCGGTGACCCAGCTTGACCCGGTGACCCAGTTTGACCCAGTGACCCAGCTTGACCCGGTGACCCAGTTTGACCCAGTGACCCAGCTTGATCCGGTGACCCAGCTTGACCCGGTGACCCAGCTTGACCCGGTGACCCAGCTTGACCCAGTGACCCATCTTGACCCAGCTTTACTCAGTGACCCGTCTTGACCCGGTGGCCCAGTAATTAAATTATTGTTAGGTATCATCCAAAACAATTTCAAGTAACTTTTAATTTAAAAAAAAAATTCCTCAATAATATTCGGCAACAAGCACGTAGCCCAATTTCATTCAAGAGAACTAATACCTAAAAAAATCAAATGCATTTGTTTATAGTTTGTAGTCAAGTAGTCAATGAAAGTATTTAGAGAAAAGATTTATTTGGATTAAGCTAACTAGTAGAAAAAATTAAATGTGAATGAACACCTGTAAGCAAACTGGTAAGCCCTGAAGCAAAGAAATAACATTATTCTAATACAATTCGGGACATGGAAAGTTTTTTACGGCAGTATTAAAGCAAACATCACAGAAATGGCAGTTGTCAAGCAATCGAGTATTTTTGATGTACGTCTCCATTACTAAACTTCATTATATTTTACTCCAATCGAGTATTATTTTCAACAAACCAGCATTTCATTTATTGTATAATCTGTACACTTGAACCGAGGGCACTGACTTAACTGCGTTATTCGATCAAACTAGGTGACTGGGTCGAATTGGGTCCCCGGGTGAAATTGCGTCGCTGGGTCAAACTGGGCCAAACTGGGTCAAGTTGGGTCACTGGGTCAAACTGGGACACTGGGTCAACTGGGTCACTGGGTCTAACTGAAAAGAGTATGACGTGACCCAGTGACCCAGTTTAATTTAGTGACCCAGTTGACCCAGTGACCCAGTCCAACTCTGCTGCGCAGTGACACATTATAAGAACTTCATTTTCATTGGTTCCGCTATTTATAAATATATCGTACAAAAAGCCCTCATACCGTAAATTATTTCTACAAAAATTTATATTTCTTATGTTATAAGAAAAAATGGCCGTCTAACATAACGGAAAATGCTGTCCGCAACCTGGCTATTAAAGACAGGTATAAATTGTGCACAACCGTTGTGCAGATAAAGCACATTTTTTTAGACCGAAATAGCTTATTAAAGGCCGCGATTTTTAAACGATTAATTTTAAGTTTTTTATTTCTACAGAGTACAGGGAAGACTCAAAAAATAATATGAAAATGAAAATCAAAATGGCGTTTGTTGACAACTACTACCTATTAAACACTTTTTTTTAATTAAATGAGTGTCATATGACTAGTGGCTATTATTGTCAAAAAAGAGCACAACCTATTGTAGGAAAAAATACTTCGAATAATTAATTTTTGACACTAGGAGAAGCCTTTTGGAAATCATTGAATTAACAAAATTAGCGCAATTTATTTGAAATGTATGGTAATAAAGGACAAAAATTAATAAGGAAGAATATTTTCAAAATTTGTGTACTGGTACCGAGACTGGTACCGTAGCCCTGTGAATCTTAAATGTTACTAAAACAATAGGTGGAAATCGTAACGCCTATTAATGACTGTATTTTGTATTGTATAATGTTAGATTTATTTTTATCTAAGTATGTCACATTTGTTTATTCTTGGAGGAGTGTACTAAGATTTCCCACATACGCAACATATTGCAAAAAATAATTACTTCAAGCAATTATAAACAAGATTTGCATTTGCGAGACATTATTATGATTTTACTGGAGTTGGGGATATACCGGATTCTCGACCGGATTATCAAAACGTTATTTTGTTAATACTCTAATTCTACACGACAATTAATTCGAGTACTTATATAAGTACCTAAATAACTTCTTTTTGCTTTATTTTTGTGATATTTTAAGAAATAGGTGAGATATCTTGCAAAAACGAATTATGCCATTTGCAGAAATTACGCGTTGCCAGGTTTCTATTTCACATAGGTCAAAACAGCAAAGCGTAATCAAAGTCTCTTGGAAAACCGGATATGGATAAGTTATTCTTATGGACGCCATATCGAATTTTTACGGAATAAGACTGAGAAATGAAAACGAAATTTTACATTTTCAGTTTTTCGGTTCAGTTATTTTCAAAGATTTTTCAAACATTTTACAAGCGGGGAGCCACGAATTGGAACCACGCTGTGCAGTATATACAGTATGTCAGCAATCATGATGGACCGTTTTCCCAACGAAATTGATGACTTAAGTTTTTGCACTGAGGGCAAGATTTTTCTTACATTAATATACAATGGTTTGCTTGCGCACCACCATAGTGTACTTACACTATGGCACCTAGCATCATTTAAATAATTGATTTGATATTCTGGGATACGAGATATAGACTAATACACGATTTCCAGATTGCCGCACAAAATAAATCAAATAAAAATTTTCAGCGAATATTCGCGAACCCGTTCGTATCATCGATCGATGCCAAAAACTATACCATAATCTATAGGGGGTTCCAATTAAAGTAAGTCGGTATAACTGGAAATATCGCCAATTGGAAAATATTTTAGAATTATTGATGTTAATTAGTAATAATATATTGACAAATTTTTTAAATAATCCGAGGTCTCCTTTTGGAGCAATAGATCCGACATTCATCGTGGGGACACCATATACACTTTCCGTTAATTTCTGAATTCTAGTGAACTAAAGTAAATGTGATCAGTAATCATCGAGGTATATAAATAGTAATTAGATGATTAATTGTACAATTGTACATGATTTCGTTTCTACTAGAAAATGAGTAAGAGGATATTGTCTCTGATATCGCCTGTTTCCTGCGCGAAGTCGGCTATAATATCCAAGGTTAAGCGATTTGCACAAAGCGTAGTGCGATTAGATCTTATTCCCCATATACTTAAGTCATATTGTTCTAAAGAAATCGTACGTGTAGCATATTGAATCAGTACAAAAGAAAAGCAAATATGCCTCCTAATAAGTTACAAATTCAATTTTTATACACCAATTTAATACATTGCGACGTTTTCCCAAACTGTAATTTGTAAACTGGTGCATAAATAACGACCTTGATACCTGTATTAAAATTGTTCACTACTACCTTTTTCTCCACCCTTAGGAAATTACTGTGCTGTAGTGTAGGGGATCATGGCATAATGGACATTGGACAACGCGCACTTTTTCAAATTTCAATTTCGCTAAAAATCGTGATCGCATGTAGAACTAAATAACCAATTTCATTTCTGCTAATCCAATCGCAAGCTAATTTACATTTTTTAGCCATTGTTCCGGCTTTTCTCGCTATTTGTGCTTATAACCGCTTTTAGTTGATAATTAAAGTAATGGCTGTAGCTTTATATTTTATTTTGCACGTTTCAGATTGCATGAGCTGAATTTGTTAAATTGTTAATCCAACTACTAACCACGAAATGTCCAGTGTACTTCAAACGGATATAGGAACTTATAGATACGTAAGTATTAGTTGTCTTTAGTTTTATTTGAGAAATTGTTTTCTTGGAAATTACTGTAATAATTACAGCAGCTGAGTCAACTTTTTAATTTCATAAAACGGTGTAGTTAGATGAAGTAAAACGTGACTTCACCAATCGTTTAAGAAAGTATATAAATATTTTATATTGCAGTTTGCAGCTGTTATGATTTCTTAATGGGTATCCGTCGCCACTTAATCATGAAGCCTCACCCAATCACCGCTATACGCACGGGGTGGCTAAATAAGCATGGCAGAGGAATGTATAAAAAAAATACTTTTTGGGATATAAATTGGTGAGAACGTCAGAATAAAACGTGCTTAATATTATTTGCATACGGTGCCGTAGTATGTAATAAAAAAAACTTCAAAAAACTTTTCGTCAACAGAACACAGAATCTAAAAAGCCAAACATAATATTTTCGTTGAAAAAGTGTTCAGATTCTGTGGATTGTTTTTTCTTTAATTTTGCCTGGTTATAGTACATGCTTTATATTCTGTCACTAAAAAGGTAAAAAGAATTTTCTCGTTCGTGGCCGTAGGCCTAGAGGGCTAAATCTAAGGGCGTCCCTAGGTACAGGGACGGACCTAGACAAAAAAATTGGGGGGGCAAACATGACATTTTGCCAACTCAACTGTAAAAATTTCCAACTCAAAGGGGTAGTAGTATCTATTAAGTATTAAGTAGTATTTCCAAGTCTAATCAATCATGTAGAAAATGTAGGATATTAGTATTCGGTCTACTACTACTAAAATATTTTATTTTGCTTCATTTTTCTCGGAAAGAAGAAATACTGGAATCGCAATTTTCGAGCACAAAACAGCACTAACGTAGCACTAAATAGCCACATGTGATTTCATTTAATTAAACATATATGGGCGGGGCTCATTTCACACTTGAGTTTTTTAGGAACAGCGAAAGAGTTTGAGATGCTGATTGTCTCGCATTTAACAGCACTAACGCCGTGTGTGTATACCTATATTTCGATAAAAGATGAGCATGCAGTTGGCCCCGCCCCATTTTTTATTTGTGACATCCTGACCTGAATTTGCAGAGCTTTGGAAATGGGACGGCGACTACGGCCCGTTTGCATTTTTCATGTCATGGGGATCGATTTTGACTTAACCATAGGTTTCATTTCTTTACATTTAGAGTCTGCAGGTTAAGTTTGAAATTGTGTTAGCGGAGCGTGATGAATAATTCTATTTGAAGATCAGCGGTTTATGAATACAGTGTGTGAACATTAACATATGGTCCACATTAACTCGGAACAGAGCATAATGAACCCCACAAGCCAACTAAGAAGGAAGTCAAATCAGATAGATGTTTAAATACGTACTTCCTGCCATTTCGATTAAAAAAACGGCGGTTCGAAGGAACCGTTAATATGTATCAAATTCAAATCTAGTGAACGAATTAAAGTAGTCAGAGTTAAGTGACACGTTATTCATAGGAATTTGCAATACACTTCCGCGACTGTGCAAGGCTAGAATTAATTAGATTTTTAATTTTCGGTGATTTACTACGATAATTAAGCCTTGGCGAAAGAGTTGTAAGAAAAACCGCTGGAATGTATCGGACCATAACAGAGCAATAATGAAAAAAATTGCTATCAGTGTTAAATAACATTCACGGTTATTCAACTTTTCTCCAAGCTCTGAACGCAATTATTTCGCTTTTTCATGAAACTGTTATGACTCGTGCCGAGATACAGTGTTGTCTAAATTCAGTGCAAGCTTTTAATAAACCACCAGGTCTTTGATTTTGAAATTGGCGAACCAAACGTAATTAAAGTAACATAACGAGCCGATCAAAAATTGGTTGCTGTCGAGTCGCCTTTGGAAGTTAAGTACGATTTCACATGGAAACAAAAATTCCAAAGGTCACTCGAAAGCAACTCATTTTTGATCCCATTGTACAGAGTGTCAATTTTAAAACTTGCAGTCGGCCATAATTTTCAAACCAAGGAAGATATTGAAAATCGCGCAAAACCGTTTCGGGGGAATCGAGGGGGAACCAGAATGACGTTATGAGTGACAACCCCCCCCCCCTTAACCTCCCAGCCCTCCTCTTCAAAAATCCTAAATGGCAACCCCATTGATACTTGTGATACATCGAGGCCTTGCGTTTAATGGCTGTCATTTGAGACACCAACATTTCATCTTGATGAAGGTCTTGTCGTGGATGTGGTGCCTCATTGTGGGATGCAAACATTTTCTAAAAATTACCACTTGATTTGTCCAGTATCTCGCATTAAATTTTCCCAATGGCTACGCGAAAATTAGAAAATTAGATCACCGGAAGAAAAGTAAATTGAAATCACATGTCAAAAAATAGATGCGCATGCGCAGACAGAACTTTTTTATTTGTGGATCAATTTTTCTGAAATTTTAACTGCACGCCCAGCGCACTTTTCTGGTAGTATGGAGGTTGCATTACATGAAATTGTGTAGTGGACTATGAGAAACGTTTTTATCCTCAGGCGCGTAGAAATTTTTTAATCCTTCCCCGTGATGTGTATATTGATATTAACTGTAATTAAGTTAAACTTACCTGAAATTGAATAAAATCCTGCATTTTTTGTCATAGTGAGCAATTATAATTACATAAACGGATGTTTATCGTTACCATGTTTTTCAAATCTTTAGTAATTGAATTTTATGGGAAAATAACATATATTTAAAATGACAATAGCTAATGTTGAACGTCTGTAATGCGCCATCGCTAAACTTAAGCGCAGATCAGTAACCTTCGAAATAGGGATTGCACTCTCTCATTGTCTCTCTTGTGTGTGAGATGATGCCTTTGGACGTCTTTTTAACAAAATTAAATGTATAAATAACATCCAAAATGCACGAAATTCACTTCTTGGGCACTGTGATAATTTTTTCATATGTGAACAGTTTTAGCACAATGCCAAAATACTTTTAAATTAAGAGAGTCATAGTTACTCCTCCCCGATGGGGCCGCATCGAATTACGGAGGCTATGCTCAAACTTACGACGGATCTTACCGTGTCGGTCAATTACTGCACTTACGGGAGAACTCCGTAGTTTCGTCCACTCTAGTACTCTTGTAAATAAGGGCCCCTTTGAAGTCTCGAGTTCGATCACTCGGAACTCCTATAGCAAAGCTCACGCCTATTGACCCAGACAATCCTGGTATAGGTATAGGGTAGCATGCAGCTACGGTCCACGCATCTTGGAGATATACTGCTATAATATCCTCTTTCGATGCCAGTGTAAATCATTCGTCGAGTTGTTAAGCGAAACGCTTATGCTTTCTCCCACTCGTCTGATCGCTCGCTTGACGGAATATGGGTATGGTAATGCCCAGTGCCCACGTCATCCATTGAAACGAATGTGACCTTCGGTTCTGAAAATATTTTTGCAATAAAAGTAGTCTGTAATGAGAGGGCGACTTTGAGGCTTACACTTTATCAACTGTAGATATTCCGTACTTTTCTGAAATCAATCAATCAAAGTAGAATCCTCAAAAATTTGGTATGTCCTTCAATGACGGTTAATTATTATTTATCACTTACTTGTACACAAATTTATAAAATGTAAATTGATAGCATACGAGCGCGAATTTCATTATTATTACTTCGCTATCGATGTTAAATCTTACAACTAACCGCAATTCAATTCGATTATATAGCAAATAAAAATCTTCTAGTGAGCCTCGAACAAGCACATCATCTTTCCCGAAAAGAATACGTCACATCCATCTTAATTCCATATCGCATGTGACTAATTCTTTATCAACTTGATCGTGACCTGATGGCGCTCCGATGTCGCTCTAGATTTCCAGAATATTCGCTAGAGCATTTTAATTAAATAAATGATAAGGTTCAGTTAGTACGTCTCAAAACAGGGATAAAATATTTCGTTTGGAAAAGTTTCACAAATTGCGTTCCTTCTTTAATTTGTTTCTCAGGAACCATACCATTTGATATGCCTGCAACTGCGGAAAAAAAATTCTGATCTGCATGAAATTTGGTTTCTGGGGATCTTGTAAAAAATGAACAATTGTTTTTTTAACCACAGATGCTTCTAGTAATGACAAGCATATCGCATATTTTAAACATCAGGTCTGCGCCATTGCGTAATGTTAAGTTTCTTATTTATCAAAATATTTATGCCTTAATTTATTTTTCTTTGTTGTTTTTCTTTCTTGATTTCCAGGAGAAATTGAATATGTACACTTTTAGGAGTTTAAAAACAAAATTCCCACTTCTTCAGTATAATCTTTCATCATGAAATAATATTGCATCTCCATGGGCCGCCCTGTACAAAACCCTAGGTTTGAAAATACTGATAGGCATTTATGTCAAACTTCTATTGACATTGAAAGTACCTCCAAAATGTTCATTAAATTATCGTCATTTGTAAAATCGATTTATGAAATTAATCCCCAAGTAAGTAGGAGGTACAATTATTGCTATACACCTACAACGACATCAGCCAATTCTAATCGAGAATTCTTTTATAGATTACAGCAATTAACAAAGCAATCAACAACTTGGAGATACCGGTGAAACAGAAACATGTCCGTTTGGCGATCATCGGAACCTTCCACGAGCAAGGAGCGCAAACCTTTTGGATGGCGGCGCTCCGATTGCCTTTCATGGATGATCGTATAGTCGCCTGGAAGTTGTGCCATGTGGTTCATAAAGTGTTACGCGAAGGCCATCCTTTGTGCCTCGTGCATAGTCAACGACATAGGAAAGAGCTTGACGAGACGGGCAAATTATGGGTATGTTATTGGTTCTGTAAACATTTTCACTAATTCCAATTTGCAGTGCCATTTAAAAGAAGGTTACGGAAAAATGATTCGTTTATACACAACTCTCCTTATGACAAAATTGGATTTTCACAAGCGGAACCCCAGATTTCCAGGTCACTTAGGCGTTACTAACGAAGAACTGGAATCCATCGGCGCGAACGACATAAACAATTAGTGAGTGCGCTTAGCTAACCTACAGTGGACTAATAACTTGTTATAGTTTTCAGTTGTCCGTAGAGATGTTTGACTACTTGGATAACATTCTGGAGTTGCAAACTGCAAGTAATACTACAAAATGTTAGCCAAAATCCGCATATTTACCGCTTAAATGTTTCAGTTTTTGGTTCACTCGATATGTCGCGATCGAATTCGATGACTAGCGCCGGACAATGCAGATTGGCACCATTGATAATGTGTATTCAAGACGCGTCGCGTCTCTACGATTATTGTGTCAAGATCCTATTTCGTTTGCATTCTTCCTTACCTTCCGACATACTAATCGGCCACAGAGATCGTTTTTTTAAACAGTTTAAGGAGCTCAAACAGTTCTACCAAAACACCAATGCCTTGCAGTACTTTAGAAACCTAATCACAGTACCACCTTTACCAGAGGTATAAGTGAAAGTATACTACATTAAGATGTACAGTTGATTCAGCGATTTACAGAGAGTGTTTGCAGAGACCGCCCAACTTCCTTATGCAGGCGGAGTTGAGGACCTACGTGACGCAAGAGGTGGTTGTACCTTTAGAAGAAGACGATCCGTCCGAGGGTAATCTAGTCGATACTACGGATAACGCGACGGATCATTCGGATATACCTAGCCAAAGATCATTGTCGCCCGCGCAGTTTCAGCAGCCACAACAGGTGCACATCGACGCGATCGCGGAGAGAGATAATTTAATTAAACATTTACAATATGAACTGGAACGCCTTAGGTAATTTGTTGTAGAAAAAAAAGGAAAGGCATGTGATGTTAAGGTTCTTTTAGAAATGACAATAATAGGTTAGCCAGAGACAACGTGGACGCGGTGAATAAGTTGCAGGAGCAGGTGATATCGTTGGAGACGACATTGGCCACAAAGGATAGCGAGTTGGTGCAAGAGAGACAGATAAAAGAGGATTTATTTCATCAGGCGTCTGCGGTTGCGCAGTCCCAGGATTCAGAACGTAATTAATTTTGGGATAGCCATTTTGCAATTTTAAGCATCTTTACCGGGTCGGTTGTACCATAACCTGGGCTCAGATGATTAACAAATAATTTCGTTTTTGAATTTTAACCAATCATATTTCTTCATTTGGCCAATCAACTGAATTGATGTTGAACTACCCTTAATGGCAAGAGCAAAGAATTTGAGAAAATAATCATAATCTAGGCGTCACAATGTTCATTTTTTATTCATAAAAAAAATTGATAGCTTTGTCACCCCGATTTGCTAAAATGGTGTTAACAATTTGGTCAATATTAGATTTTTTCTCAACTTGCTCCGCCAAGTTTAGTCGTAGGGAGCTTGATAAAAATGTGGCGATGCTTTCAGAAAAAATCAAAGATGAAAAATTCACCAAACTCTTGGGCGTGTACAAAAGTTTGCGGAACGAGCACATAGATTTGTTACGGCAGGTACACAATTTCAATTTGTGTCGGTTTTGTATATTTAACGCCTTTTGTAGAAGCCAGAGATTGAGAAAAAAGTCAAAGATCTTACTGCAAAATCGGATGATGCGCAACAGCAAATCGCAGATCTTGAAAGTAAAATTCGACAAATGGAGTTGGATAATTCAGTCAGAGTGGAGGAGTTGCAGAAAGCTTCCAGTGATCATACGGATGAGTTGGAGGGTTTAAGAAGAGATAAGGATTTGTTTAATATGGAGACTGAGGTTTGTGCAGTGCTTCTTTGAGTTGGGCTTGTGAGGTTTGCGTTTGTAGATTTTAAAGAAGAGTCTTGAAGATGCCACTAAAGCCGGTGCTGAGTACAGTATCAAGTTAGAAGCTGTGATGCTTGAAAAAGAAAACTTAGTGAAGGATGCGGACGAACTTACAAACAAAATAGTTAGTTTACAAGGAGAAATAGAACAAGGTAAGAAGTGATATGCGACTCAACATGAGGGACAAATTTTCTGTAGTTCAGCAAAGCACTTTAAATGAGGAGTTTGCGTTCAAAATGATAAGAACTCCTACTTTCACCTTTCCCTTATGTAGTTAATTTTATTTCACTTGTAGTCCAGTTTAAATTACGGTTAGGGGTGGATGTTGTCATTTCACTCAACGAAACTTTTTCGCATTTGACTGCGGATATCGTGTTAACTATTGCTTGGCGGGAAAAAAATGAGTAATAAAAAAAAAACTTAATCTCAAAACTTAACAATTTGTTATTGCTAGGAAGTTCATCTGATCTTTTTGAAAGTCTGTATTGGGTAACTTCTTTTGATAACAAAACAATATTCTACTCTCTATCACTGTAGGTTTTATAGTTATTGCATAAGTAATAAAATAAACAAATTAAAAAAACCATGCTTTGTCGCTTAAGTCGCTAGGAGACATGTGTTGCTTGTCAGAGTGAGGATCAAGTAAGGTACTCAAGTAAAACGAGCACATGCTTTTAAAATGGAAATTTAATCAAAATAAATTACATTGCAAGAATAATTTTTGAAAATAGTAGTTCACCAAGTGAAAATAGGGCGGGAAAAAAAGAACTGACCAAGGAAAAACCAGCCAACAAATTACTATTAAGACAAATCATGACATAGCAAAACAGAATAACCATTAATATACTTGTATACGTACACAAACATTAAAAAAACCTATAGCATCGGTAGGCTTCGACAGTTGACATTTGCACCGGCTTAATATGAGATTTATATAAAACTAATATTCAGTCGCTACATGTCAAGATTTCAACTAAAAGAATCGTTTAGCAATATCAGCAAGGTGACCCTTTTCTAAGACACATAAAAACAACTACATATAAATATAGGGTTGTCATAAAATAAGGGATGTATTTTAAATTATTATAACTTTTTAACAAATTAAGTTAATAACAAAAATTAAACGAAATCTAGTTGCTTAAGGAATGGGATTTTATCTTAGACCATATAGTACATGGACTGCTAATTGTAACTAAAATATGGTCAAGGACATCGCCTGGGTATGTGAGTTTCAGGGTAAACGAGCCTGTCCGAAGTTGTCCGATGAGACACGATTTGAGATTGTCAACCTATAAATTAACAAACGTCAATTGATTAATCGCCTAGATATCCCAAAAAAAGCAAACTTATTCTTATTTGTGGACGTATAGCAAATAATGAAGAGCATTTAAAGCTTCCCGTACTACGCGGTTACTATAAGGCTGGATCCCCATGTACGGAAAAGCGGAAACACGTATTCCGCGTATTTTTTACGGAACGTCCCTTATGAACTCTGCTTTATTTTAAAAGCGCAATAATAAACACATTACACAGCTTGACATAACCTATGTTTGTTTTCTTATTTTTATCCGTTGTATGAAATAGTGATAAAAAATGAATACTTTCAATAGCAACACTTTGTTGTCAGTAATTGGTGCAGTTGTTGCCAAACAAAGAAAGTCTCCTTTATTCTATAAAAATGATAAAAATCGCAAAAAGTTACTGTATTTATATGTACTATACATCGAAAGGCAACAGGATGAGAAAGTCACTAGGAGATTTTGGGTTAGAGACTTTTTGAAAGAAGAACAAAGATATTTGCAAGGAGCTAGTGACAACTTAGTAAAGGAAATGTACAGCCATGATCCTGAAAAGTTTTTTAACTTCTTTCGGATGACACGAGAAACATTTGATGAATTGTTAAGATTAGTTGGTCCAAAAATTGAAAAACAAAATGTCATACGTGAATCTGTTCACCCTTTAATCCGTTTACAAATCACCTTACGTTATCTAGCTTCAGGAGATAGCATGATGTCTATGCATTATATGTTTCGTGTTGGGAAAAATACTGTATCACAAATAATAGCAGAGACTTGTCAGGTGATATGGGATACCCTTAAACCAATTGTATTTGTTGAACCTTGTGCCGAAAACTGGAAGAAGATTGCTAGAGAATTTGAGGTGAAATGGAATTTTAAAAATTGTATAGGGGCAATTGATGGGAAACACGTAGTTATGCAGGTAAACTATATTTTTGGCTTTGTCAGCATCCATAATATATATATATTTTATTATAGGCTTTACCAAATTCCGGGTCCACGTACTACAATTACAAAGGCAGTCATTCGTACAATTTATTAGCAATAGCAGATGCTAATTACCAGTTTGTCATGGTGGATATTGGTGGTGAAGGAAGACAAAGTGATAGTGGTATTTTTAAATGTAGTGCAATGGGACAAGGTTTTGACCAAAAAATATTCAATTTACCAGATCCAGATGAAGTACCGTACGTTTTAGTGGCCGATGAAGCCTTTCCTTTAACGGAGTGCATGATGCGACCTTATCCACGTAGAGGCCAATTAGATATGCGTAAAAAAGTGTTTCACTATAGGTTAAGTCGCGCTCGTAGGGTTGTGGAAAGTTCTTTTGGATTACTGGCAGGTAGATGGAGAATATTTCGCACACCAATTATAGCAAGTTCTACAACAATAAAAAAGATTATACAGTCGACTGTCTGTTTGCATAATTTCATTTTAATGAAAAATGAGGCAGATTATAATATTCGTGTGACAGAAAATACGGGAGACATTGTAATGGGTAATTTATGCGAGATTAACAGCACTGGCAGTAATACTTATAGTCGAAATGCTTCAACAATCAGAGAAAAATTTGCAGATTATTTTTCTGGTTTGGGAGCAGTGGAGTGGCAATGGGAAAAAGCATTGCAAAATGATTTTTAAATAACAAGGCACATTTATGTTCGTCTTATTTAGAAATATACTTAACTAAATATGTAACTTATTACTATAAATTTAATTCACACTCTCTGTCATAAATCATTTGAAGTATATCTATTTCTAGTTTTGTTCTATCTCTATAAGGAAATCTCCTCAAGCTGTCACCTATCCGAATCAATATTCCATCCACACCATCATTTGTTGTTGGCGTTGTCAACGCTTCCAATATACCCCTTTGTAGATCTTCTGACTTTTTTCCTAAATAGCACAGTAAATTATAACTTTTGCATTAGAGATTAAATATATGTTTACTTTTTGCTGGTATAGAATCCAGACTGGGCGAATGTCGAGGGGTCGAAACTGTGCTCTGTAAACTAGTTGATTGAGGACTTGCTGGCAAAGAACTGACAGTCCTGTAGCATCACTAATTATTTATAATTTATTATTACAATTATACAATTACTTACGGTTGCCGATCACTGGAATCATCTAAAAATTTCATCAAGGAAAAATGCCTGAATCGAGGATCGGGAATACCAGCTGCAGCCGATCCGCTTGGTTTGTATTGATTCATTTTTCTTTTTGCTTTTAAGTAACAATCTCTCAGGTATTTCCATTTGGCTTTTATTTCATCTACACTTTTAGCTCCTCCTAGCAAATTGTGAATTTCAACCCATAACATGTTTTTCTTTGCTGCCGTTCTTTCCTGCAGTGGCAACCGACAGTCATATAATGCTTTCCTATCTTGAACATGGTTTATTAGTAACTCTTCCCAAGAAGCGTTTGATGATACTTCAATACTTGTACAAGGTATAACACTTTTTGATATTTTATCAACTAAAATGTGAATGTTCAAGAAGAAGGATAGATTTTTCAAATGGTTCCAACCTACCTACGGTTAAGATATTGTTTTCGTCGCTTAACAGATCATGGTCCTCCTCATACATAGAAAAACATACATGTTCTAAATAATTATTGCAATAAAGATCAATAAGGAAACCACAATATCCACATTTATACTGCTGTAAAAATTTATAGGTAATTTATATTTTATAACACAATATATATTCTTACTTGGCTCATTTTAGAGGAAAAACATGTAAACAATTAGGTAATATAACCTCAATCTTTTTCACGGATTCCGCATAAAGTTGAACAAAGTTGAAGTTTTAGCGGAACGAAAGCGCAATACACAAACGTTGCATATGGCGGACTTCCAACCAATCACAACGTTTAATTTCATTCCGCTTTTCCGCGCATGGGGATCCAGCCTAAAGCTGCTCTTTAAGCGATCCTAGTGGTGTTTACACGACTTTAGTTTACCCTGAGATTCACATACCCACGACTACAGTGCCCTCTATTCGTGACCACCCATTTTGTATTGAAAGCATAGGGCGAATAGCAGTCCATGTACTATATGGTCTAAGGATTTTATTGCATCTATAGGAAACAAAATCGTTGTTATTCTAATTGTTGACACGAGTGTCAAAACGAAATCATTGAATTTGGAGTTTTAGTTTGAAATTAAAACTCAAGTAAATGTAGAGTTCAAATGAAAGCGTACCGCAATTTGATACAAAAATTTGAAAGAACAGGGTCTGTAATTGACCTACCAAGATCAGGAAGACCAAGAATTAGTGATGTCCAAGTTGCAGAGGTTCTTCATGAAAATGTTACGGAATGCTGTGTACAATTTGGAGGAAAGGTTGGTAATCTTACAACAGCAAAATGGAGGTCATATTGAGCAATTGCAGTAACTGGTTTTGGGCATACTAAATCCCATTTCTTAAGCAATTAGATTTCATTTATTTTTTTTTATTAACTTAATTTGTTAAAAAGTTATAATAATTTAAAATATATCCCTTATCTTATGATAACCCTGTATATCTGACGTATGATGGGCGGCTTATTTGCACTTTTATGGTTTAACCTACGGCGCTCAGAGCGAGATTTGGTATTGAAATCAAATAGGTATAATACATATTTGAAATAAGTCACTCTGCTAAATATTAATATTCATATTTACCCGGTTTCGATAAACAGTGTAAGGAACATTAAATTAATCCATATTACAATGAATCAAAGGAAAGTGTCGTGGCAGAAAATCACTATAATGTAATTAATTCTCAATCCAAGAACAATATGAACAATCTTGAATGCAGGTCACCCCCAGATGAAACACCCTGGAAACAAACAGCAACATATTGGACCTGCAAAAGAAATGAATATGCTGCACGAAATTTAATTATACATAAACAATTTAGTGTCGATGCCCCAAACTGCAGCAACCATCAGTGAATTGTTAGAAAATTAATTATATCGTTTAATTCTGCACAGTCATTTCGAATATCTTCCATAAGCGAACATAGTCTATCTAAAGATAAATAAAAACACATAAATTTGTCAAGTGAAAGCGAGTCTACATCATTAAGGAATTTTTATCAAAGGCTGTGCGGAACAAAGAAAACAAGTTGTTACGTACAAATGGAGCAGTCCTCGTACACTTAAACAATAACTGTATAGGGTCTATTAGTGGTTACGTCATAATAGCCCGCGAAATTCGAATTGCAGGATTTGATTGTTTTACTGTCGGAAAAGATTGACTTCTATCGCCCTATCCATTAAGGATCACTTTTAAATAGGCATTCTTTATAGGCTTATCGCTACTGACCTTATGCGAATTAAATAAGCACATCGGCCCCCATATATGGAAGCACTGATTACTTACGTTTAAAATAGAGCCATAAGCAGGGTTGCCAGATTGCGTATGGCCGTCTGCCGGACATAGGCTGCATGAGAAACATAAATCTACATTGCGAACAACCCCCTCCCCAAACATTTTTTGTATTTTAAATTGGTATAAGTAAACAAATAAAACAAACTATACATTCTTGCAATATAAGTAATATAAGGGTAAATACAGTGCACTTAATAAAAACATGAACATCAACATCGTTGTTTACACACAAATAGTCAAAACAAGAAAGTTAAACATATTTTTCTGATTTTCTTGCAAGTGTTAGTAGTTTTTTGTTTTTTAATACAAAATCATAGAAATCCTATTTGTGATTTTGTCATATTTAAAAATTAAGGTGTTATTAGGTGCTTAAAAAGGAATCGTTTGACCTATTTGAAAAGTATTAAATTGAAATTTATTATTCTGCCGGAGTTATAGTCGCGCCTGCCGGGGGCCGGAGAGCACGATGTAAAACCTGAGACTCCGGCTGAATGCCTGACATCTGGCAACCCTGGCCATAAGCGTTAAATAAAATCCATTAATTGCGTTATAATTAAAAATTAAAGATATGTCTACCATATTTACACTTTACGGTTGGAAATATGACATGATCATGAGACCTTGTTCTTTTGGTTACATTTTCCCACTTGCTACACTACCGGCCGGTTGCAGGAAGGCGAATTATAATCAAAATTCTACATTATTTGGCAAATCTGAGTTTAAACAAGAACTTTGACATTTGATTGGCTGCCTACTGCAATATAAAGCCAATCAAATGTCTTAATACCGGATTAAACAATAATCCTGGATTATTTTTTTTTGTGCAACTGGCCGTTAGTTGTTTACTTGCCTTGAAAGTGTATTTTTTGAATTTGCTTTAAGTAGTTTTCAATAGTCCTAGGTGTTTTTTTAATTATATGTTTACATTAGAAAATACATAATGAATAGGGAATAAGATAGGTTATGATCATTCCTTACTGCCAACCGTAAATTGTAAATATGGTAGGCATATTTTTAATTTTTAATTATAACGCAATTAATGGATTTTATCTAGCGATTATGGCTCTCTTTTAAAGTTAAGTAATCAGTGTTTCGGTATAAGAGAGTCGATATGCTTATTTGATGTGCATAAGGACAGTGTAAGCTCGTAAAGAGCACCTATTTAAAAGTGATACTTAATGTATGGGGCGATAGGGGTCAATATCTTCGACAGTAAAACGGCCAAGTCCTGCATTTCAAATTTCCCGCTCAAATTTTAGGTCACACTAATAGTCTATTGGGAAGCCAACTTATTTATGTAGAAAAGTACAATAGAATCTTGCTGTATGTCTGCGTGACTATCCCAGTCAATATATTACCAAAATCGCCAAATAAAAAAAACTTTTCCTTTTTAAATTTGGCCAAAAATCCCATATGTGGGAGGTGAGCAACATGCCGCCTTTTTGAATTTTAGGTCCTTTTGTCCTCATGCTGGAAGGGGCTATTATGGCCACTTTCTCCATTTGTCCGTCCGAGACCTTAACAACTCCTACAGTTTTCAAGCTTTTTAGTTCGGTCTTTTTGCTTTCGGTAGCTCTGGCACCTCAACCAACAAAAATCTCAACAATTAATGTGCGCATGCGCAGACCAGGTGTGACGTGGGGTATCATGCTCGGTCGCCTGCTTATACTACGCGTTCAAGAGTCAAGAATGAGTTCCTGTCAAGTTATCTTTGACGACTCGACCGCCACTCATTTTTCATCGCCGCCACGCAGGGCAAGACAAGTTTGTTGCGTCTAGTTTGAGGAGATTGCTTATCTCTATGCACTGAAAGTGACAGTTATTTTATTTCAATTTCGCGGGTGCCACCTGCGGACATTTGGCGAAACACGTCACACGCACAGTAGCGCTGCAAATACGCCTCACACAATCGCGTACCCTACTACTCCGCCCGTCGCTCTGCGGCGCTTCAAAAACGCTACGTGAGAAGGGGCTCTCACATCGGCTGCTATATATACTTTTAATGAAAGAGATATTTCTGGACCTTACTGGCAGTTTACTGCATTGGTTTTTAGGTGGTGGTAGGTTTTCACAGCATAGTTATTATGTCTTTTTCCATTTGTCACGTGTAATTATAGGGCGGTTTGTGAGGTGTGTCTGGTGAAAGTCTCTTAGTGTAAAGGGAAGTGTAGCAGCTGTAGATTTGTGTGTGAAGGTTCAATTTTTTCACTACTTGAGCTTCTCACTATTACATTTACAGTTTACAAAGACTTTCTGTTGGCTAAAAAGATCAATCATGTCCTTAACTACGCTCTGATTGAACACGGTTTTCAAGAAATTGCCTCTCAATGATGGTAGCTCACATGTTTATAGAACTGAGGTGTTTAGATACTAAATTAAGTCTTTCTCATGGAAGTGCCTGTTTCCAGCGGTGCTGGCTGTAGAGGGTTGACCAACCGCTTTTATGGTGTTCCATTCACTCATATTTTGTTACTATCTTAACCAACCATAAGAAGTAGTTAAGTTTATGAATTAAAAAAATTGTAGGGTAATTTCGTATTTCAGCACGGACGGAAAATGCCGCTTCCATAGAGCAAATCATCACGCAATCGCTACAAGAATGCGAAATTGTTCTGCAGCATTCTGTGCACGAGTTAGACAACCCAGCGCTCTCCGCAGTGACCTGTAGTCCTGACTATTTCCGAAGCTTGACACAAGACTGCATAGGAGCACTAAACGGCAGCATCGAAGCCAATCACAGCAATCCAGCTGTGGTTATTAAAGTGGCCATCAAAATAGCCCACCAATTGTCCACGTACACCTTACAGGGTCGTGCAACGTCCAACACCAGCCCTGACATAACCTTTGGTGAAAGTATGTCTTTGATCTTCTCTTGTACAGATTTTATGCCGTTTGACTTCTAGGAATGACTGACGCCTGTAAAGAATTAGGAGATAGCGTTTTGACAGTATTAGGTAAATTACGTATGAATCTACCCGTAGATGATTCGGTGCGAGAGGCAGTTGAAAAGGTGAAAGCGGTAGCTTCTCTCGCCGAAACAATTAGCGGCTCACTACGCGGCGAGAACGCTGATAAATTGGCGGACATGATCGACGACGAACTGTCAGATATGGATAAGGCAATAGAAGAGGCAGCGAGACGAATACAGGTGCGCGATTTCGGTTTTTGTTCTGACTTTTATGTGAACCGTATTACAGGAAATGTTGAGCGCTTCCAGAGCTGCGGATTCCGGTATAAAATTGGAAGTTAACGAAAAGATATTAGATTCGTGTACGACACTCATGCAAGCGATTAAAATATTAGTTCAAAAGGCGCGGTTACTGCAAGCCGAAATTGTTTCACAGGGAAAAGGCACCGCAAGCGCCAAGGAATTTTATAAACGCAATCATCGTTGGACTGACGGTTTCATTTCAGCAGCTAAGGCGGTAGCTGCCGCTGCTAAATACTTTTTGTAAGCCAACATGTAGTAAATCTAAAGAGATTCAACGTGTGCATATTGAAGCGAACATATTTGTATAGAGTTGAATCTGTTTATTTCAGTACTGTTTAGTGAACATATTTGGGATGGTATGTTTCTATGGTGTTTTTAGGAGTGCCGCTGATAAAGTAGTGAACGGACAAGGGAAATTAGAGCAGCTTGTAGTCGCATCACAGGAAATAGCAGCTTCAACCGCACAATTAGTGGTAGCTAGTAGAGTTAAAGCAGAACGCAAAAGCAACAACTTGCAGCAGCTCAGTCAAGCATCTAAGGGGGTTACGACTGCTACCGGCGGCGTGGTTGCCACAGTGAAAGATTGCAGTCAATTAATGGACGAAGCAGGTGGGGAGGGGGGGGGGTTGCCTAGGTCATGTAGAATTTTAACTAAATTCTTTTATAGAAGAGTTAGACACTTCCAATATGACCCTTCATCAAGCGAAACGTCTAGAAATGGATAGCCAAGTTCGTGTTTTGGAATTGGAGAAGGAATTGGAACAGGAGAGGTTACGTTTATCCGCCCTACGCCGCCATCACTATCAACTTGCAGGAGAAAACGAATGATCAGTATACTATTTTTATGTTTAAACTATTTATAGGTGGTTTTGTAAGATATTCTTCACTTTACAAATTAGACAGACCATAAATAATCTAGAAAGGTGTAATCCAAAGATAGGACGTTATAATTGTATTGATTAATTTTTAAAGTTATGGTCTTACATTAATTTTACCATATATTTTATATGCTAACTTTACAACAAATACCTACTTATTAATTTATTAATAAATATTGAACTAAAAAAGTACCTAGGTATATGTAAACAAAAAAATTGTTAATATTGGAAATCCGTAACCACTGTACAGGAAGAAGTGTCGTAAGCCGCAAATAGACAGAGAAGCAAGTGTACGAAGAGATTTTGTTCGTACAAATGCGAAAGAAAGTGATTCAAAACATCAGACACGGTATGGTGACAGAAGGAACTTTGTTCTATGGATACAAACCACATCTCAGGCCCGAGCTTTATTTGATTCTTTTAACTGGAAGATTTTTCATCACCACCTTCCTATAGCCTACACATAACCTCAATGGTAAGCTCTACAAAGATGACAAAGAAGTGAAAGTGGGTGGCCGCTTGGTTAACGGAGCAGGCGGTAAGTCTCTATGAAGATGATATTCAAAAAATAGTTTTAAGCTATGAAAAATGTTTAAACAAACTTGGCAACTATGCCAAAAATAAAGAAAAATACGTAACATTTGAAAATTATCTTTTTGTTTTGTCTCAAAAACCACCATTTTGAAAAATTTTTCTACGTCCATTGAATTTATCCCAACGAATCTTTCAACTGTTATTTGAAACTTTTTTGGATAGCTTTCTTTGTTACTAAAATATTTGAACTGTTTAAAAATGGCGATTTTCACATTCTTCCAATTATGTACGAAACAATACATTTTTTTCAAAATATCGCATCGGAATATCCATCAGCATAAAAAAATTCACAACTTTGTCAATTTAACCGAATCTGTAAGTATAATGATATCAAAGATAGCCATGTTATTCTACTCAGTTTAAGATATGCTGTATAAAACCTATGATGATGCACACATTTTTGGGAGCTGGAAAGCCCCCACTTTTTACAGAATAGCTGTCTGCGCCGTTTGGAGAGCACCAACACTTGTTACGTTTTGCATCTTTTTAATGGTAGTCACGAAAGCATTGCTCTGTGAATGTTTGTTGTTGTGTGTTATTTAATGCAGGTGGTAGTAATCTTTGCATTTCTTTATGATTTATTTGTGTTTTGTACGCGACTTTATATTTTTTAAAAATAATTTTCCATCTTTGTTTTTGAAATTGACTTGATCAATGTAGAATCATGTACTTGATACCGTTAACCTTTTGTTTGATATCATTTGTTTTTGGTGTAATGTTTATGTTTTGATTATATGGGCTTGACAGGAAGTATAATATTCATATAAATCATTATCATTCTTTTAATATGTGGAAGTTATCAAATTGTTTGATGTGACTTGTTTGTAAACTAACATTTTCTCTATGAATGAGGCGGTCACGGGTGTGCCAAAAACGGTAACCAAATGAGTTACAACACCTAATGCTGTGATGGACCTCGACTCTCAACTGTATGCTTGGATACTCCGACGACGGGCGAGTTACCTATCTCAGGGGCGATATTCGGCTAATAAAAACTATTCATTTTGGAATCTATGCGTGATATTTGATATATGAGTTGCGATTCACAGATTCCACATATTTTGTTGAAACATATTGAATTTGCCATACAAGGCCATGTCATTTTTGCATGCGCATCTAATGATCTAAAGCTTGCTTTTAACAAAAGGAATTAGAATTTTTGCTACTTGCTTAGGTAAACTTGTTTTTAACTTTGACTGCAACCAATTTGGATTTATAAATCAAAGGTCAAGATTGTTGAATATTTGCACTTGACGTTGTATTACTTGATACTAATATTTTGCCATGACATGTTTTATTGTTTTGTTGTGTTTATTAATAGTATATTATATACCGCGGGACTGAAGTAGTACTTTTAATCCCGAAGGTAAAGTTTATGGCCCGACCGAAGGGAGGGCCATAATTTACCTGAGGGATTAAGACCACTACTTCAGTCGCAAGGTATATACGATATTTTTCGTACTTCCGAAACTGAAACACTTAATATGTATGGAGTTAGGAGAACGCGTTCTTTCAAAAAATCGCTGCTCAACAAGTTACCATAGGAACTGTCATTGCTAGTGTCATAATTTGGTGGTAGGTGACAAAGGTGTATTTGATATTGATAAAAAGCAGCCAAAGTAGGTAAAGAATTGATACCGAAATCCAAAAAACTACCTATATGAACAGCAGTACACGATGCGTTTAAGAAATAATGCCGCATACAAGATGTGGAACAACCTATTGAAATTGCTTTGCTAGTAATTTCATCCTTCCGGGATTTTCGTAAAATTTAATCCCGGCGGGACAAAAAGTGACACTTCAGTACTTGTCATAATGGAGTGAAGTTGTCACTTTAGTCTCGGAAGTACGAAAAATTATTTATTTATACCTTTATTTTTGAGTGGGCGGGGTTTCAGTCAAGGCTGCTCTATCAACCCAACCCACTATACATTTACAAATACCCATGCCCAAACACGGATTTGAACCAGGGACCCTTAGTACCGCAGTCCAGCTTCAACTGAACAGTGCCACATGGACACTTGCACTATTCGAACCGGGTAATAATGAATTTTAATAGTTAGCAGCGGACTTATTTCGGATTATGTGATATATCTACCTCCTCGTTTTGAAATCTTCACTTGTGCGTTGCAGGTAAAAGTGCAAATAAGCCACCTGACGCCAGAGATATACAGCGTGTTTCAAAATGAATAGAGGGGTTTCAACATGTTATAATATTTGATAGATGAAACTTACAGCCACAAGTGATATATCAAATGAAAGAGAAACTCAAAACAGTTTTTGTTTGTTGGCATCAGTGCGTATGTTTCCGCCGCAATCCGCTAGAAAGCGCTAATAGCAAAGATGGCGACTAAAGAAAGCGTTTTGTGTTTTACAGTTTGCAAAGACGGAATCTGTTGTTACTGTGCAACGTGCGTTCCGGATTAAGTTCGGTTGTGCTCCTCCAGGTGATAACAACATTCGTAGATGGTATCATCAGTTTCAAGACACTGGCTGCCTAATGACAGGGCTTGTTTCGCATGGCCTCCACGGTCACCCGACCTAACCCCGTGTGATTTTTATCTTTGGGGGTTTATTAAGGACCGTGTGTATGTGCCTCCACTGCCAGCCGACCTTCCCGATTTAAGAAACAGGATTGAAACAGCTGTTGCAGCAATTACTAATGAGACACTCATCAAAGTTTGGGAAGAACTAGCATACCGTCTTGACGTATGCCAAGTGACGAATGGTGCTCACATTGAACACTTGTAGGCTGTTATGTAAAACTGTTTGAGTTTCTCTTTCATTTGATATAACAATTGTGGCTGTAAGTTTGATGTATTAAATATTATAACATGTTAAAACCCCTCTATTCATTTTGAAACACGCTGTACATACTGTGTGTGTATTTTTTTCTGTGCTCTTGCTCATGTTTCTAATCGATTCTTTTAATTAACCCTTGACATATAATGGGCCGTATGAATAAAAGTAAGCAAATGCTTATACTTGCAAAATTCAAAGTAAATACTCGTAAGTGCTCCTTCGCACTGGGCGACTTAGCAGCGCTTCTAAGCAGAAGGAAAGGACGCAGTACAGCGCTGCTAAACAATGCTAAACAGACCAATATGAAGGGGCAGTTACGAGTATTTACTTTGAATTTTGGAAGTATAAGCATTTGCTTACTTTTATTTATACGGGCCAACCTTTTGCCAAGTCGTTATCGTTCCTTGCGCATCTAAAGCTTTCGCCATGCTATAGCGCGCGACCTGTACCTATATTTTGTTGATATTGTTATAATTTGATCGTTGTGCCAACAATTAGTTTTGGTTCTGGTCGGACAGAATCAACCCCTTAAGCCGTAAGGTGTGTTGCAAAAATGATTGATGCGAGAGGATCTCCAGGATCGTAATTCCGTATTCAGTTGTATCGGATTTTTGGGTTTATAAATTCTATTACGCTAAAAGATGCTTATCTTATAAAATCAAATTTAAATGTCAAATGGATTATGCATGCGCAGTGCCTGACTTTAATGGTAATAATCTTCACTTCCCTTCTGTAAGGTTTATATCTTTAGGGGGGGGGGGGGGGTCTTATGTAATTTTAGGGTATCTATAGCGCTAAGGGGTAAGACTTATTCTAAAAATGCCTTCCTTTAAAGCTGCTGAGATTTAAAAAAGTAATGGATTGAATGCTTCTAGAAGTTTTTAATGTGACTGACCTCAAAGCGCCTAGTCAGCAGCGAGTTTGCAAAAAGGTGTCACATTTCTTTAAGGCGTTGGTATGGCTATAATGGTAAAAGGTCGCGCAGAAGTCGAAGTGTTTGGTACAATAGTGGTGCGGTAGCGGTTTATGTAGCGTCGTTGATATGATAAATGCGGAGGGAATGATAATAGCACAGACAAAATAAGTATTTTAATCTGTGATAATAGCCTGAAGTAAGACTAAATTAAGACTTGTTCAAATATCCAACCGTTACAAGTTACGTATATTACGTACTCGGTTTGTATAGAACAAAAGTTGCTTAGAATTAGTTACTCTAGCACCTCACCAGGTAAATATACCACACGTATAATATTGCTTTTTTAACATCGTCTTTTGTTGAAAGGGATCTGCGCCATACATTGATATGAGCAAATACAATTTCCTAAGAACTTTACATGCATTATATATTTTTATCATCATAATTATTTGGAGAAGTCCCACGATCCGTTTTGGTGGGACGGAATGTTATGGACTTAGGAACATGAGACTCCACGTTAACGCGTATCGTATAGGATATTTTATTTATTGTAAGAAGCTAACCGTTTTAATAATGTTTCCGCTTCAATTTAAATAAATATCTAATTTTTTGTTTTATTTTTTTTCGATCCACACCTATTATCATTGAATTTATAACTATAATTCAATGCTATTATGGTTACGATCGTATGAATGTACTGGTGGTATTCTTCTGAGGTGAATAAATTGCCTAATTTAAATTATATTAGTGTATGTAGATATTGAACAAACTTACGAAATGGTTTTTTTCTGAAACTATAATTCAAATTGAAAAATCATCGTATCCAATAATGAAGTTAGACACATAAATTGAATAAAAAATATAATTTATTCAATATGACACAATAGCAATCTCTTTATTATATACCATAATAGATACGCGTATGTTTCAATTTGAAATGTCATAAGATTAACGCAGCAATTGTTTTTTACTTTCCTCACTAGAGAGGAAAATCACATTTTCTTCACTCTTTTTAGTGACGAAAGTAGTTGTTTCTAAAGTAGTTTCGGAAAAAAATTTGGATGCCTTTGAATTAATATCGGGTAAACAATTTAGCACATTTTTTAGCAATTTTGATTTAAAAAATTTTATTTAACGAAGGGCGGTGTTTCTGGATTTTTTAAAAGTAAGTTTCTGAACCTTCGTATATGTACGTGCTTTAAGAGAGCCTTTTAAGAAATTTTTCGATTATTAGCAAATGGTGGTTTTTATAAGGGTTGAAACTTATACATACATGATAAAAATAGAGAAATCTTAAGTTAAATACCAAGTGATCCAAAATTATTGCGGACAGTTTGAATTTCCCGCAAAACTAAACATTTATAAAGTAATTGGTAACACATCAAATGCCATTTATTTGAAAGCAGTTGTGGATAAATTTAACTGATCACTAAACAATAATCACAATTTAATTAAAGAAAATTAATTTATCAAGCATAGTTACATGCTCCGGTTCATATAACGTTGCCCGGGGGATAGTAATGCTAATTAAAGGATCACAGTAAAGCCCTTTTCAGTTGCCACTACTTCCAATAGTTTGGACTAAAGGAGGGATTCGCGGACGTTTGCCACGAGTTGTTGGAACACGGAGCGATGGTCGATCACAGAGATACCTATCATATCAACCTATTCTCATAAATGAACCCTATGCTTCACGTCTTCAAAATTATATGAAACATTAGTGATATCTTCAGGGGGGGGGGCTTCAAAATGAATGCAACAAAAGCCATCCACCTTAAAGCCTTTAAACTCAAAAAGTAAGGTTACATGATCCTTATACATTCTCTATCTTTGAAAAGAATTGTTTGCTAAAACACATGGCTCGATCAAGAAAATCGAAATTCATATAACAAAAACATCCCCAATGGATGGCAATTACTGCATAAATAAACCCACCTTCCGAACATGTTAGCCAATGTCTTAACTAAAAAACACTAAAACTTTTAGCACCAAATTTAAACTGTCCTGCATCAGTTATTTTTGATCACCTGTCATATAATGAAGTGGATGATCCATATTCTTTTATTTGGGATGTAGTAGGTATAAATAAGAATCACTGTTTTTCCCAAATTTATTTTGAATTCTTAGATGTTATATCAACATAAAAAAATTTTTAATGTGGCTATGTTGTGAATGTTTTTCAACATCGTTTTTGCAGATTTATTTGTAAAAAGGTATTTTTTAATCTCATTTTGGCCGGCTGGCTGGCTGGCAGCAAATGCGAGTCTATAGAAGAACGTTTATAGAAAGACAAGGAGTGTCCATGTACTACCTATACTGGGGGCGTGTATAATTAACATAAGTTTAAGGACAGGGCTACATGATATGGGGTCGGCGACATCCTCGAGCGTGTTATATTAAGGTGGTGAGTTTCCATTTTTTCCATATCTTCGTTTACAGTTTTGGTTAGATTGTTTTTAAATTTGTATCGTTGGAAATATCTTGTAAACGCGCACAACTCTTGCGTGACGGAATGTTGTTTTTTTTTCCTAGGAACGAAATTAACTACTTTTTGAAAGGCACGCGTCTTTGAGGAGTATGTAGTCACCCTTGGGCGCTCAAAAGTTTCTTAAAGCTCAAATCGCGGTCTCTTTCTTGTGTAGAAGCTTGAGCTATGACAACTGTCCCAAAAATAGAGTACTATTTTGTGAAGGGTTTTTAGTGAAATCAGTGTATTTAAAGATGATATCAATCAATTACAGGCTCGAATCTAGAATTCAAAAATTATTTTCGAATAGGGGTAATTTTCATTCCTAAAACGCAACCCCCCAGGATTTACTTTTAATGACTGGGCTATAACGAGAATGACAGGAAATGCAGCTCAAGAGGTATTCCAATATTTATTGTTGTAATTTCATACTAAATATTTCTAGTATTAGAAATTTGGTTCTTGTAACAAATATGCTTATAAAGCTAAATTATAAAAATACATTTTTACATATCAATTAAAACTCTTATAAGACAACTTCCTCTGCAACCACCATATTCGGACTATGATGCCTTCTTATGTGTTTCATTAAATTTGCTTTACTCGAATACTTCCTGGGACAACCGTAACAGGGAATCAGCTCAATTTTTCCTTGATGTTTGGCGTCAACGTGTCGTTTAAGACTTGATTTATCTTTGTATTGCATGGGGCACTGACTGCAACTAAATCCTTTCTCGCCGTTTTCCCGCTTTTGATGGCGGATTATATGCTTATTCAAGGTAGATTTGAGGGGAAAACTCAAATTGCAAATGACACAATGAAAGTTGCGCTCTCGAATGTGAATTAGCAGCTTGTGGGTTTTCAAAGTGCTGCTGTTTGTAAATGCTCGGCCGCACACTTCGCAAACGTAATGATTGGGATGGGTATGCACACGTTTGTGCGCTCGCAGCACTGTTCTTCGACGGAATGCTTTGCCGCAAAATTTGCATACATGCTTCTTTTCTGTACTGTGACCCTCCTTGTGATCGTCCAGGTAAGTTTTTCTGATAAAACGGGCACCACACACTTCACACACGTATTTCTTGTTGACATCATGCAGCTTCAAATGTTGTTGCAATTGTGTCACGTACGAAAACTGTTTGCTACAAAATTTACAGATCAAATCCGAATCAGCACACTCCAGTTTCACTTCAGGAGTTTGTGTCTCAGCTTTTGGCTCCGATTGGTACACTTTGACGCGTACTTTACTGGCGTAGCTTTCGCAATCAATGTCAGTCATTTGATGTTTGACCCTCATGTGCTGTTGAAATGGTGTGGCATACAGGTGCTCCTCCCCGCAGATCGTACATTCGTACTTGACCACATCTTCAAAAACTGTCTGCATTTCATTTTCTGTGTGATCGTTCTCAGTCTTAATAAATTCTGTCAACTCCTCGGACTCTTTTGCAGAGGGGCTTTCTAATTCGGCAATAAGATCATCGTCTTGACTTTCATCGACCAGAAAATCATTTGAACTGCTATCTTTGGATTCGGCATCTTCATCCTCGTCTTCTTCCTCATGATTTGGTGTTTCAAATTCACTTTCTTGCTCTTGCTTGTAACTGTTAAGCTCAACCTCAACTGGAGACTGTAACAATTCGATCTCTTTCGTGCACAATGATCGCAGATGACGATCGGACTCTTCGTAAATGACCGTGAAATTGTAGAATTGCGTGACTATGAGTATGCAACTGTCGCATATGTAAGGTGGGAGCCCGTCGTCTTCCGAAATCTATAATTCAAAATAAAAGGAGAGGAACATTAAGTACAAATTACTTACCTGAATATTACTAATGCAGTTTGTCAGAATCATCGCCAAAGTTAGATCATGCTCGTACACTTCGAACAAGGACAGCATTGGCTCGCCCTCAGTTAAACACGCACGACATTTGTTGCTGCAATTTTCTTCCATTTCGTTAGTTTAAATTTGTTTTTGAAGGTGTAATGGCTATGTGACCGTTCGCTACCGTTACTTTTGCCACCAATTTGCGTTTTACAAGACCAACTTCCACTCGTGCTTTCTTACAAATGGCGGCTTTAAAACAAAAGTCCCTAAACAATTTGAACACCAACAAAAAACTTATTTCCTTTATTTTGAATTTTGTACCAGAAGCAAAGAGAAAAATTGGCGAATTGCAGATTTTTTGAAACTTCTAAATGTACATACTTATGTAGTTTAGTTCGATTTATTACGCTTTATTTTCATATGCTACATCATACAGAGCGTTTCAAAATAATACACTCGCAGCATACTGCTTTCTCATGTCTTTCAACTTAATTATTAGGGTCGTAAGGTGTGTCAAAAGTCTGTCCGATCTTTGGGGGGCATTGTGTGTTGGCCACCTTAAGCACTTTGCAATAGCATATTTTGAAAAAAACCTTTTATTTCAAATTGCGCGCCATTAATATCGAATGTGGCGTGGCTCTGTAGCCCACGTACGAAATAATAGACACTGTTTTTAGTGATTCCCTTCTCCAAACCCTTTGATTTCCTGGTGCAAAATTTTGTTCAGTTATAATTATTTTTAAATTTGTATTTGAATAATGAGTGAATTCGAAACTGACGATACTTTTGTCGTAATAAAAAACATTGCAAATGTGTGCAGAATATGTTTGGAAGAGAGCGCCCACATGATAAGTATTCACAACACCGAAAACGAACTCCAGAAGTCGGTAACCGAAATGATCACCATCTGCATGACGATTAAGGTAAATGATACTTTGTTTGCAAAAGTTTAGAATTCATTTCAGCTGGAGGAACGTGAACTATTTCCAGAATTGGTGTGCAACATTTGTAGGGATGAAATAATTCTCGCAACCAAACTTCACATGAAGTTTACCAAGTCACAATCGTTCTTATATGAGCATGTTGCCAATTTGCAAGTCGCGGAAATGAAGGTGGATGAAATTGTTATAATAAATACAATATCCGAGATTAAGAAGGAACCTGGTGAACCATTTATTGTAGAAAATAGTGAGAAATCTGAAAAAAGTGGCACGACTTTGGAGAAAGTAGATCATATAAAAGGGCCAATTGGTGGTTTTAAACAAGCTGACAAAACTGTTCTTTGTACTGTATGTAACGTGAGAGTTCCACCTGCGAATATCAAAGCTCATCTTTCAAAGCACTCAAAAGTGCTTGAGTGCCCCATGTGCTGTCGAACCTTTGCAAATAACTTTAATTTACGTCGTCATATGTACACTCATACAAATCAAACACCGTTCGAGTGTGGTTTATGTGGCATACAATTCTCCCGAAAAGATAATTTAGTGAAGCACATACAATATCATTCACTAGTAGGCAATGTGTGTACAAATTGTGGGCAAAAGTTCGAAAGTCTTGTAACACTTCAGCAACATGTTAGTGACAAATCAAATTGCCAAGTGACAAAATTCAAACGTCTCTTGTCTTGTGATGTATGCTTTAAAACATTTGGTTTAGTGAGTAGTCTAAATACGCACAAATTGTTACACACACCTAATACCGTCATCTGCCAACATTGTGGGAATCCATATCCCAACGAAAAAAAGTTAAAGTCTCACATAGAGAAAGTGCATCAGAAAGAAAATGAAAGACTATTTCTCTGTAATGTTTGTGCTAAGCAATATAAAAGTAAAGTCGCTTTAGATACGCATATGGCAACTCATGAAGATGCTGACAAAAAATATGAGTGTAAAGTTTGTGAAAAACGTTTCGCGCAAGCTAGCTCACTAAGTGTTCATCATATTATTCACACAGACGAAAAACCATATGTTTGCCACATTTGTTCCAGGGGGTTTAATAAATCCTGCAATTTATACAGGCACATACGAACTCACAGTGATAATCGACCACATCAATGTAACTATTGCAAAAAAACATTTCGATTTCTAGAATCACTTACTATTCACATTAGGACGCATACCGGTGAGAAACCGTTTGCCTGCCTAAAATGTGATAAACGATTTGCAGATAGGAGCACACTATGCAAACATAAAAAACTGCACCTAAAGACGGATGAATTAGATTCATAAGGTTCAAAATTATTCATTTTTGTTGTTAATTTTGGTAATTTAATATATTTGCATTTAAGTTCACTTTAATGTTGGTAAATATATTTTTTGCTATATTATTGATTGTGTTTAATTGCTGTGGTTTCAGCGGAGGCTTTACCAACAGGTATCCAAATCTAACAAATTCTGGTGTGTTTTAAGAAAATTAGTATTACTGTACATCGATACACAACCTTGTATCACTCTCTTAATTTGTGCTAAGGATTTCCATTCTTCCCAACATTTCTTTCTCCTCCGAGTCATTGCAGGTGTCCCTAGCACTTCGGTTGTTTTTGTTCTGTAATATTCCATACTCCAATATTCGACAATAACATGAAAGTCCATTGATAATCTACCCCTATGGTTAGGCAACATACCTTTACATCTGAAACAAAAATACGATACGCTCTGTATACATCAATCGTGCTGCGTTGTCGAATTCGACAGTTCTACCCAGATACCGAAAGCCGGGGGATTTTCATAACGAAAATAGGGGAGAAAGTCAGCGTCAAACATGGGATTTCGAATGTGCAGCTGGGTTGGAGCATTTTGTTTGTTGTGTTTAAAAAGTGTATTTTATACATTTATTCTTCCTTGTATAGTAACTATTAACTATTAAACTTCAAGCCCTACCATGGGGTACATCTTGTCTTGGTGGTAGGGCTCAGTAGTCACATTATAACTTACTAATGCATTTATACTAGGCGGTACTGAGTGGAAAGTAAATAAGAATTTATCTTCAGCACATATTGTAGTTGACCGGGCATTTGGACGCGGACATTAGGACGCAGAAGTTAGAACACAGACATTAGAACGCATACATTAGGATGCAGACGCTGGGAGGCAGACATTAGGACAGATATCCTAGGCTAGGCTAGGACGTTAGAGCGCATACACAGATGAAATAACATTGGATACCTTTTATTTTCCTAACTGCGACCCAATCTCTGCTTTGTAAGGTGACCTACATGATGCTTGCGTCTGCGTCCTAATGTCCGTGCCCAATGTCTGCGTCCACGGCCTATTCCCTTTGGGGTCCAATGCCCGCGTCCTAATGTGTTGCGTCCCAATGCCATGGCGCCATATTGTATGTGACATAAATTTTGATGTTCACTGTAGTAAATCTGTTTTCACAACATTGCTATTTTTAACAAAAGAAGTGGCACCACTGTGCTAACATAACCTAACATGTCCGCTGTTTTCAAGTTAGCCAAATTCTGTAGAAATGGTACAAAAACAGAAAATCTCATATTGTTTACTTACACTTCGTTTTTAGTGGGGCTGGTATCGAATATAGCAAAACGAACACTCTCCACCACACAAACAAGTATTACCCGAAATCCACCACCCTGCACCTTCCATCCCCTGTTGCAAAATGACTGGGTCTGTCCAAAACCCGATCCCGTGAAGCTTCCCATAAGAATAACCCCTGAAATCAAATCCCCACATGACATTCTGTGGATACCGCCGCTGACGGAACCACCCACCGATAGAGAAATGATTGATCCCATCTCAATAAATGAAGAACGAAAAGAAGCGGTAAGACTTATAGTTATCAGAAGAAAGAAAATGAAGAAACACAAGCTGAAGAAACTTAGAAAAAAGTTAAAATACGAACGTGCCAAGGTATTATACAGTTACAAATTTACATTATCCTAACCACCTTTTTATCTTGCAGGTAAGACAAAGGAGAGAGCTTAAGAAGGAGAAGGAGTTTCAGGCCATATTAATTGCGCAGTGTAAGGAGGCCGAAGCTTTCAGTGCCGAAAAGTATGTCGCTGATAAACTCAAGGCTTACACTGAGAAACCGCCAGTTCCGTTTCACTTGACGGACGAGTACAAAGAACTCTTGAGGTTGAAAGATTTACGATTGAATGTAAATTTTTATAAAAAGTAGTTCAGTTAGTACATGCAGTAAATAATCTGATTAAACTCGGATGTTTTTTAAAGATGGTAAGCATCGATTTTGCTCGATGCTGTATGAAATCTTCTGGTGCTTGAGTGTGTACCTCCAAATCTCTATCACCTATGATTTTATTGGTTGATTCGGTTCTTTGTTCTTGGGGTTCATCTAAAATGGTATTGTATAAATGCTTATATACGTGGGTGTTTTCTCCTACCTTTTGTTTTGTATCCATATGTCAACCAAGGCGAGTCAGTGGCAGTTAAATTTTTTACCGTGTTGCCATCTTGCTTTTTGGGTTTGTCGTATAGCGTCAACACTTCAAAGTGCGACACTTTAACAGCTTTAGACTCATTTAAGCTGAAATCGTGGTCGGATTCGATTTCAATTTCAAAGCTTTCATTGGACTCTGATGGTTTACTCCTCGAAAGCATGGATTGAGATCTTAATAATTCCAAGGAATTTTTGCTAACTGACAGCTTTGATACCTTTGGACTCATTTTTGATTTATCAGCGTGCTTGGTTTCTTGAACTTGAAACAGTTTTGAATCAAAAATTTGTGGTGCAGGTGGGGCAAAAGCTACAAGGTTACATGAGTTTCCACACTTGAATCAATGTGCACAATCAATGATTGAATGAAAGATCACTTTCCATTTGTAAAAAATGCAATCAGATAGCATATTTGTCCCCGGCCACAAGTTATATTTATATATGACCATTTGTTTTTAATCCTCATCCTGATCACATAGGTTTTTGGGTCCTGTGAACTTGAATGAAGAAGGAAAATTAATCATAAATCAACTAGATTGGAAGAGTCATTGTAAAAACAAGTGTTCCAATTTCAGTGATACATTGGAACACTTTCATCCCCCCCCTTTTCCTGACTTTCTCACTTGCCAAAATTAAAACCACCCCCCTCAAGTGGAAGAAAATATGATATTAGGTATTCATTGATTATGAAAAACTGGACTGGCACATTCCGACTGGGCTGTAATAGCCTTGTCGCCTTTCCGTCATGACGGCCCTCAAAATTGGAAATTGAGATTAGTGCCTCGAGACTGAACTAATAAGGCTATGGGTGAGTTTTTATTTTTGCTTAATAAGAATGCCTGTAACCTTACTAAACCTCAAAAATTAGATCTTTTGTCGTATGGGAAAAGAAAATTATGAGAAAACACTCTGTTGCGTCCCCAAAATAGAATTGTTACCTTTAATTATTCCATCAAAATTCCTTCAAAGGAAGTATCCTTAGCACTGTCCCTGCCACTTATGTGCGGCGCATGAGCCGTCTAATAGCAATCGAAGACAAGATCGTCAACAATGAACATCGCCGTGAAAGCAGGGACCCGGACCGAACTCGGTATTTTTTCAGGACCGAAAACTGAACCAAAACTGTTATTCCTTCAGAAATGGAAACTTATTGAGAACCGGAACCCTTCTTTCTTTTTTCGGTTCTTTTGGGTTTTTTGCGGTTCTTAACAGTTTACTGGAAGTTGAAGGACGCGCCGGCAAACACGTTCCGAAAATTGATAAAATATTACTCTATATATGATTGCTATCCGCGGATTTAAAATTTTTAAGATGTCTGCACAATAACTTTCCGCGGGAAAAGTAATATCAAATTAAGTAAGTACCTACGCAGAAAAAATATATACATAGCTTACCTTGTGATGTCTCATCATCACGGGGCAGACTGCATTCACTATTTGGAGTACTTAATCGTTTTACCGCAATTGAATGTTTATTAATTAAATAAGAATCTCGAGCCAAACTTAATCTAGAGATCTCAATCCTTTCGTCCTCATCCTTTTCAATACTCGTACGATATTTGATGAGAGACTCACGGTAAGGTATTTGCAGGGTACTACTTAAAGCTTCACTGATTCTTTTTTGCACTTTTTCTGCGAGTGCAGTTCTATTAGTTTCAATGTATGTTTGGGTACAACGCGAGCAGCACGTTTTCTGCACGTCTTCAAACATACTTTGTTGCTTATAAACGGTAACCTTTGAAAGTTCCTCTAATTGTAATGTGGCATCCTCCAATATATCTGTAGGTAGCTCGTCATATACGGGACAAATGAGGTCTTCACTTTCGTGTGCTTTATGCTCGCTAAACAGGATACTGGATTTTTTCGGTATTTTTTTCATTGTAGTTGAGTTTCTGAAATGGAAACCTACCATTTTATCTACAAGATGCTTATTTCATATAAAACAAAAGGCTCATAGGTATTTTGCGGTCGTTTTAGTGAAGCTATTCAAGACAACCATCCTCGCAGCGTCTGTTAGTACCTACCTACCTATAACCATTGAATAAAAAATTAAATGCTATAGCCCACTTAGGTGCGAGAGGCTCTTTGTTTGAGAGAGGTTTATCCATTACTTATCTAATAAGTAAGTACTTACGTAACTTCATCTTGGATGCTAGCTATCGACTCTTGTTCTTGCGATTGTTGTGTATCATGCCCAGCATCGTCCTTTTCATTTTCTGTACATTCACCATTTTGAATTTCACAAGCCGCCACGTCTTCAAATCCTTCTCTAATGTATGTGTGTTTATTGTAATGCAATGTAGGCAAAGATTCTACGGGTTTGGGTTTCTCTTCGTGAGGTATCACACTTCCATTTGTTTCACAAGCTTCGCTCGTAAATTCCCCGTTTACTTCTGTGGATGGTGAATTTTCGCTTCGTTCACCATCCGATTTCCAAGTGTCGGACTCTTTATAGCCATCTTTGTCTGTCACATTACCTTCTAACGCAAATAGCGACAACTTTTCAACATCTAGTAAAAATTCGGCCTGCGTTGGAGGAGAACGCAAGGCAAAATTGATGAATTTCTGAAACTGGCGCAGAATTTCCTTTAAACACTCTTCTCGTTGTGTCAGTTGGTCAGCTTTTTTTTCTCTATCCTTCATCAATTCAGTATACGCTTCGTCTTGGTTTGTAATTACGCTTTGTAAATATCCTATTTCCGTTTGGTACTTATCTTCTATGGCCATACGCTCAGTTTGGCACTTTTGCCGTTCAGCACATAAGATGTACATGATATTGGCAATGTTTTTGCACTCCAGCTGGTGTTTTAATTGGGCGAACGACTCTTGGCACCCTTTTCGTACATCGTGTAATTCAAACTGGTGCTTGAGCTTTTCCTTTCTAAAATACCAAATTTGTAAAATGGTGCCCCGATTTAACATGTAAAACATACTTTATTTCTAATTGGAACTTTCTATACAATAAGTTTCCTTCTAACTCCAGTTCCTTTAAAAAGTTTGCAGTTAACTCTTTGACCGAATCCGCAACTGCTCGCTCCATTTTATCTTGCCACTCTTCGTTTAGGTCTCGCTGCCGAATCCTAAGCGTATGCTCGTGTTCTGTCTTCAGAGTCCTCTGCAAACGATCTAATTCTCGCTCTAAATGACGAGAAAATTGAATGGTTAACTGATCTTTTTCAAACTTCAGCCGTTCCTCCTGCAATTCCAACGCCTTGTCAACTGCCTTCTTCTGTTGTAACTCAGCCATAAACTTTAAAATCTCTTCTTGCTCTCTCAGCTCTTTCTTCTTATCCAATTCGGCCTCGTTCCAAAACTTCATCTCGATATCTTGACCAATTACTAAAGATCCACAGATACCATCACGATAATAAGCAAATGTGACTTACCTAAAATCCCCTGGTGAGTTAAAGCCTTCATACATTTTCCAGTGAGAGGCGGTTTTAAACACACCTTCCCCAACAGTATATCACTGGGAGATGTCCATAAGTCATCACCCGGACCTTTCAAGGGGGGCGCAAGACCTAATACCGGTTGTACAGATTTGGGGCAAGTTGAAAAGATCATTTCTGCCAAATCGTTTCCCAATTCATTTTTCACCTGGCTAATTGTGGGCGCAAGTGATTGCTGTAGACACATCTTTCGCCTACGGTAATGATCAGTTTTCTCTGCAAATTAAACTATAATTTCTTGAAACGATTTTTAGACCATGAGTACCCATTTTAGATTTGGATGGGACTGTAATTTGGAATTGGCGCCAGTTGAGTCTGGCAGACAGATGACACTTTGAGAAGTGAACAAAATCGGTGAATACCAATGTGATCCATATGCGTACGTTTTCTCTTTTGGCTCTTAGAAGTGTCTAAAATCTGTAAATTACGTTTTCACGCAAAATTTCCTAGATCTTTTGAAAATATTACAATATTTCCTTTGAATTTAAGGTGGAGACTTTTTGCAAATTCTTAGGAGAGTTTTTTGGAATCGTCTTACAATAGTAAAATATGTTCAAAATTTCCTTTTTTTGAATGATTTTGAAAATCGTTTTGAAATTTGATTGCACTCTCATCAAGAAAACCTCTAACTCGCGTATTTATTTTAAATGTTCGTATAATCTTTGAATCCTACCCCAAAAGTTCTGCTGGAACTTCAACGAATTGCGCTGATTTAGCAGAGAACCCAAAGTCTGTGCAGCAGCCTGTGTCGAGACCCAACGGCGAGGAATGGCGGCGAATGGGGATCTGCTAAATGTTGCATATCGGCAATTGATCGGAACTTTCATGTATTGGCCGTCATGACACGTTCAGATATTGCATACTCCGTGAGCTCTAATCCAGTTCAATTTGGGTTATGGAACACACTGGAAGTGTGCAAAGTGCTTTGGTCCCTGGAAGGTAGGTACCAATAAGGATGGTAATTGCTGTTCAAGAAAGGCGAGAACACGCTCACTGCCTATACTGAGGTTTGGGCGAGCGATGGCATCAACAGGATTCTGTTTCCGGCTTGGCAATTTGACGATTTTCTGGGAGACCTTGAATAAGTTTTCAGTAATTTATGTTCAGTCTTTCTTGAATTGAAATTTGCTTGTTTACGCCAGAAAATACAATACCATACGGCATACCATTTACCAGAGGATATTAGGTATTCTCATTTTTATACAAAACGTTTAATTGATATTTAATTGATACGTAGTCTTTGTTTGAACAGAATTACGCTTAATCATACCCATCTTAACGTATAATATTTTATCGTTAACAATAATAACCTAAAAAAAGTTAATTAGAGGACCCTCTTTCTCGTATTACTAAGACACAATAGCAGTCCACATGTAATGAAAAAGAAACATAAGTAGGCTGTATGCGGTTTCTCCACGAAAGAAACGATTAATAAAAAAAACATTCAGGCCAACATCACAATGATAATTTACTTTAACGTGAACACATAAAATAATACTATGCGTTGCTGTCGAGTTACCTTTGGAATTTTTGTTTACATGGGAAATCGTACTTAACTTGAACTTCCAAAAGCGACTCGACAGCAACTCATTTTTGATCGCCCGTTATAACTGTTCAGCATAACAAACAAACATTATTATTATTATTAAAAGATATTAAAAGAACATGCATATATAAATGGCCCTTCTTTAAATAATTCTTTAAATTCTTTAAGAAACAATAAATAATATACCCTTCTTATAATTATTTGATCCGCCACTGAAGTCCGTTATCGGCTACCGTTGTCCGTAACGGAATCACAACAACTTAACCCCCCTTTTCAAGAATTGATTTATATACTTTATTTTTGCTTATTTACATTCCATAACAGTAAGTTTCGTAAAGGGTGTATATTAAACGGTGTAATAAAATTAATAAATTATGAAAAAACCGACATAAGCCAAAAGTTAGTGTATTTGTTATTAAATTTGCCTTATTAATGAAAAGGGCCACTAACCACTATAATAATTTATGGCGAGTGCATTGTTTGCTTTCTTTACAATCCCATTGGATTTCTTAAAATATTTTCTCATTTTTCTTGCAGAAAGCAGGTGGATATGGACCGTCACGAAGGAGTGAGCTGTGACTCTTGCTTGAAAGGAAATTTTCACGGTCGTAGATTCAAATGTCTAATTTGTTACGATTACGATTTGTGTTCCACATGCTACGAAGCAGGAACGACAACATCCAGGCACAGTGCAAACCACGCAATGCAGTGTATTTTGACTAAGGCCGATTTTAGTCTATATTATAGTGGTGAAACGTTGGCGAATACAGATCAACCACAATCATATACTTGCCCCTTGTGTGGACGGATGGGATTCACAGAGAGCACATTGCAAGAGCATGTGGCAGCGGATCATGCAGACACATCCTTAGAGGTTGTATGTCCAATCTGCGCCGTTACTCCGGGTGGTGATCCAAATCTAATGACTGATGATTTTGCGGGCCATTTAACGTTAGAGCATCGGACAGGTCCCAGAGAATTAATCTCGTATCTCGATGAATCATTCACTGCCCGTGCCAGACGCCCTCCAGGCCGCGGTGGTCTCAGAGGTCGATCTGCACAAAGTTCATCTCGTCGACCTTTCAGCAGCAGCAACGCCTTGTCATCCTTATCACTCTCATCGTGGGACTCGATAGATCCAATTGCAGAGCTGTTATCCCAATTATCCAGCGTGCGGCGTACAGCGAACAATGCGACCACTGCCAACAACAGCACGTCCTCGCAACTTCAGCAGCTCGAAATGCAACTGCAATTAGAACGTCAGCAAGCTTACACAACCATGCTTCAACGAGGTCGAGCTTCTCGTCGACAGCTCCAAAATCATACAACCGTAAAGATGTCAACCAATCCGGAATCATCTGAGTTGACATTAAAGCCTTCACTGATTTTGCCTGCACCGGCCGCTCAATTGACTTCATCCTCACCCTCAAGCTTTATACTGCCAAAACTGCTCGAGGAGCACTCTTCTCAGAATGTGTCTGAAACTGTCCGAGCAGAACGTAGCCGGTTTGTTCAGCAGATGATCTTATCCACTATACTACCCTAATGTGGTAAATCTCATGTTACTTATTTCTTGTATTTCCAATTCAGCATTATCTCAGTTAGTTATTTTAATAAACATACTTTCTAAGTATTTATTTTTGGTACTGAATCTAGCAGTATTTGGGCTGGTATAATCAGTAGAGTAGAGCCATTTTTTAAAATAAGCACCAGTAATAGTACGTCACACTCGCGCCAGTGGATGATCAGTATTTTCAAATGTGCTATTTTGCAACCAATTATGTAGGACGTAGGTTATTAAGATTGGTAAAAGGTAATTACTTTTGGTTCAAGTTGTAATCACGAATGCTATTTTTAATTGTATGTGCAAAACCACTTTAAAAGGACCTCTGAATTTATTAATTATTTTTGGCTGTACACAAAATTTCTGCTAGATAAATTTTTTTCACCTAAAATGGTATGCAAACATTAATAAATTCACACAAAGTCATAAGTATAGCACGAACATGCGTTTAGTGCTCTCTACCTCAGGAGTTGACCTCCAAAGTTCATCACTTCTTTCCTGTCATGGCCTCTATCTATGTCAATGAATAAGTACTCTATATTCATTGATCTGTGTAATAAATTTGAGCTTTGTATGTCAAAAATATTGTGATTATAATGTGAGAGTGAGATACTTGCCCATTTTTACTAAAAATGTGATATAATGGGATATAATTCATAAATAGATAATACATCTAATGGATGCATACCTACCAAGTATGTCTTTACTGTTTCTCTCCAGGACTATGATTTTCGGTTCTACCAGTTATCGCTATAAATTTCTGGTGCTCTTATTGTAACTCCTATATTTAATACGTATTTTCTATGGTTTCATTTGGCTTACCACCTTAATGCCTACTGGACTAGGACTTCCCCCCATCTTCACCACCTTACATATATTATCAGTACCTAGTGCTGAGAGGGATATTTTCTATGGTTTTCATCTAGGTATAGGTATATGATGGATTTTTCTATTCTGCTATGTATTTCTGCAGTGTATTCATGCATGTTTTATATGTTAGTTATAGCAAAGAGTATACGTTATATAATCTTTGGTTATAGTTAAGGCATCCGCTACACAGATGATATAGGTAAGATAAGATATGTCTGTTTCCCCTGCTATATTCTTTACCATGTAAACCGATTATGTCTGGAATCTCCGCGACCCTTTTTCCACTCACCCGGATTTTTCAATCTCCCGCCCTTTTTCATGTTGTCGATTGCTATTGAAATTTTTCCCCAAAATTCTCCCGCCCTTTTTACTTTTACTTTAATTTTTGGTGGATCTAGTAAGCAGCCCAGGAAAAGGAAGTTTTAAATATTTGTTGACCCTTTCTAGAGCTTAATTCTATGCCCCTGACAGGGTAATTCTAAAAAGCACTGGAAAGAAGTGTAAAGCTTAGTGTTTTGGAAATACGTAACTTAGAAGACTTGTTCAAGATCACCATTGCTCTAAAATGCATTGAAACGCGTTCAAAAAAATTTCAAGGCCCTTTTCCCGATCTTTTAAGGCTTTTTCACGAAGGAAAAGGACTAGAGCTCCCTGATTAATGTCTAGAACGTATACCTATGGAAAGCCAATCGAAAGCTCTGGTGATTCCTTCCTAAGGCGGCTCCATACGCAACGGAAAAACCGAAGGCATGCCTCGAGGCGGTCTAGGACATTTCATTGCCGCCACTTCATTGCCGCCATTTCTAGACCGCCACATCATTGCCGAGCCAACTCTCTGCAGACCCATCTTATTGCCGATCCAACTAATTGCCAACCATATCATTGCCGTGCCAACTCATAGCCAGTAAGAATTGGTTATAGAATGAAATTTGAGACCTGTTGTGCAGCCCTGTTCTAGCAGAATGGGACGTTTCAGCGCCGCCGGTTCAACGCCGCCGTTTCAGCGCCTGACCCAGTTCACCACCGGCCGATTCATCGCCGGCCAGTTCGTCGCCAGTTACATGAAATCGGCAGTTATCGTCGTGTATGTATTAATATTGTAGCGCACTGGATAAAAGTTTTTATTGCTCTAGATACAGCCAGTTAATTTGTCAAGAAACACTATGGAGAGCGGGAAGGATGACTTAAAAGAGAGAATTTGCCCCTTGTTTCACCCACAGCAGAAAAAGTCGAGATTTCGAGGTTTTTGCGAGGGGTTGGTCACGACTTATTTTAGGGGAATTGACTTTGTAAACAATAAACGCGAATTTACCGCGGAAACCATTACCTATTGGATTCTTTACCTAAGATTATGTGCCTTCACCTAAACCAGGACTATAACCAATTCTTACTGGCTATGAGTTGGCACGGCAATGATATGGTCGGCAATTAGTTGGATCGGCAATGAGATGGGTCTGCAAAGAGTTGGCCCGGCAATGAAGTGGCGGCAATGAAATGTCCCATTCCGGCCTCGAGGCGACGGGCTTTGAGGTGAACCTAAATTATAGGGGGTCCCCACACTACGGAATATACGAAGGCATAGAGTATGATACTCTATGACGAAGGTCAGCCTTAAGGCACGTCAGTTTCACGCAAAAATGGCGTCGACAGATGACGTTCTTGCTGTTGTTGGATTATCGTTAGCTGTCGGCGAAAGTAATAAAAAAGAGTGAAGCGAAAGTTCTGGACTAAAAGACTACTGGTTACAGAAAAGGAAATGTTACTCCCATGTAATTTTATTAAAAGAACTGAAGTTCAGTCCGAAAGATTGGCACAATTATTTGCGGAAATGGACACCATAATGAGGACCGCAATTACACCTCATGAAATTGAGAATTGAGTAAAAACTGAAGAAAGTCCGAAAATTTCATGGTTTTTTGGATATACCGCCGATCGCACAGCACTTTGGAAATTGCAAATCTGGTTTTTTATTGTTGGTTTAGGTCCTAATGACATAGGTATAACAAATTCAGAACGACCGGACCGTTTGCAAGCACGACCCCCTTTTCATGTTTAAATTTACAGGATTATGAACAAAGCAACTGCCGTTGCAGATGCTTAAACATATACTTAGAGGCCTAGTTGACCTAATCACAGGTGGTGTAATTCGGTCAGTCACTAGGTAACTATAGGTAGTTTCAATATACATAAATCTTTTTGGGAGGGGGTCGGTAATTATTAGGTACGGTGAATATGTAGAAATATTGACGATGAAACGTAGTAAAACAGATAACAAAATTTCTAAACAAACTGACAAATTGTTTTGGTATCACACACTTGTCGATCTGCAGAAAAGGGGCATGGACAAAGTTGCAGTAAGACACGATCTAGTAATGTCACAGCAAATGACAATTAAATCTTGTTATTTCAGCTAGCTGCCTCCGGACCTATTTGTAAACTGTGCTACATTAAGGTTCCACAGTGTCCATTGCATGTAAAAGAAAATCAACTGAATAGTGAGGAGTACAATGAGATTGTGAAATTAAATAGCTGGAGATCAAAATCCATTCCAAAAAATCAGGTTAAACGTTCAATTGGTGATATGGACCGGACCATGTCTTTACCTCGGGAGACAAGTCAGGAACTGCTACTACGCGGTAGTAAATCATGCACATCAAACAAAGAAGATCTGCCTGATACGACACAAGAAAGAGAAACAGAGCAAAAAAATGTTGAGTCTCCTTTTTTAAATCCACAGATGTATTTTTTACTTTTTAGATGGACATTTCCATCCCACCTATTTCGGAAGTTACCACTACTTCGTCAAAAGGGAGTATCAGCCTTCTCACTACTACTGATAATGGTAAGTAAAGCGTTGTGTTACATCACAGACTGAGGGTCGAAATAAAGGAGCACTTCTTCTCGCACACATTTCACCATTTCTAGATACAAACTCATTCTGCAAATTTAATTCTTGATGCCTTTGCCACGGTAACTTAGAAGCTGGAACAAAAAGGTTTCTTGACGAGTTGCATTACGAATTAGGGCGCCTGCGAAAAGATAAATCGTGCATGACAATGACGAGGGTCGAAGCAAAAGGCCCAACTGCAAATTATTACTGCACTAGCTGCGCAGACGAAAGCGTTATCCTATATTTCATACCAATGAGGCATCCACCGTTGAAACGGAGGATGAATATATTGAAATGATTTTTGAGAGAAAATTCGATAAGCAATCGAGTAGTACCTACGTACCATGTAGTACCTATTATTAAAACCACGAGATCGGCAAAGTCTCCCGAAAAAGGTGGTGAGACTCACCGAAGAAATAAATTACACCACCCAGCGCCTCTGAATCGCGAATAGAGACGTGGATCTCTTCCTCTATAATGCATATCTTCCGTTTCAGAAAACTTCATCAAAATGATTATTGTAGGGGTAACAAAAAAGTGGCGAATTAAACTCTTAATATAAGTCTCCTGCAAAAAAAGGTTGAGTATGAATGAATGGTAACTGTTGATTTTTAAAGTTTTGCTCTAATAGCCATGGCAACTATTTTTTGTTATATATTTAGCAATAGACGTCACATTACGGAATGGATCAATATAATAATATTAAAATTCATCCTATTAGTAATACTGATAGATACATTCATATCGAGAGAAAAGGGAAAAATATAATCAGAAGTACTGAAGATGTCAAAAAGAATTCTTGTCCCAATATTAACCTCAACACCGTGACTCATTCAAGTGTGTTTGCTGATATTGACCAGGAAGGTCCCGAGTCTGAACCGAACACGTTTGATGGACGCTTGGACAGTGTGCGATCCGGAGAATCTTTAATTAAGGTAGATCAAGCTTTAAACGCCACGAATGCAGCTTTGTTGTTTAGTGCTACACATTTGAAAGCGAATGCAATAAGGACACAGACAAAATAATCGCATTTTGGAAAGCAATTGATGAGCACAAGGAAATACAGCCAGTGAGGTCCACCATCCGTGAGAGACAAAGCACAGTAGGGAGTGAAAGAAGCGAGTCTACCAATTCAGAACGATCTGAAGAATATGCTTGGTATAACGCATTAATGGAAATGAAAAAGCAGAAGATGGACCAAGTCGCAGTAATTTGGGAAAGATTAATATTTAAAATTCTATTGACACCTTACATTGATAGCTTGTTGCTAACGGACGCCAGTGCCATTTTTGCGATCTCACACAAACATGCGCATCAAAGTCAAAAAGAAGTCAAACCGCTCTTGATGGCACCGAAGAACTTGATGCAAAAGACCTAATAAAATTAAATGACTGGAAACCACAAACACCGAAGAAGCCTAAATCAGAAAGTACCGAAGTGCTTGACAAATTAAAACTCCATTCCAGTGAGTTGGGGCCTGGTGAAGGTTTAGGTATATTTTTTACGATTCAAACAAATTGTCCACAAGCAACGTATCTACCTCTTTTGATCTCTGCAATTGTGTTTTAGGTCAAATTCGTGGCACATCAAGAGAATTGAAAGGAGAGGAGCAAATACACGACGACAGTCCCCTATACCGCGAATCACAAGACATTCCCCAGAGAGAAACTGCCCACGTCGAAAAAGCCGAAGAAGAGTTCCAAGGTGACATTGCCATTGTCGAAAATCAACAGCAACCGAAAGATGCATCATCAGTAAATAAATAATCGTACCATTTTTGTGCAGTCCTAAACATTTTTCTTTTAGGATTACGGTCTATGCAGCGGATCTAAATCTCAAAGCTGCCAAATGGAGCCGCTTCTAGATCTATCACCGATAGAACAATGTCCAATTTGTTCGTACGAGCACTGCGTATGTAGAGAACGTCTAGACGAACAAACGAAAGAATTTATGGAAGAGTTACAAAATCGCCTTCACAAGACCGACCAACCGGAAGATAAACCGAATGACACTGAGAAAAGTGCGGCGATTTGCTGCGAGTTTTGTGATGATCCACACATCTGCTCGCTGATGAGCAAAGATCTTACTGGAGACACCAAACTACCATCAACCATGGAAGACGACTACCTAAAAATTATCTTTAAATTGAACTCGCTCACTCAGTCACTCAGCGATGTTATACCAGTGGAAACGGAGAAGGAAACGAAGGACAATTCTGGGCAGAAAGTCAAAAAGGTAACTTATGTCAAGGCGGAGGACTCGAATCTGTTCGATCCAGCAGAATCTACCATAATTACACCAAAAGCGTCACGAAGTGTTAGCATTGTTGGGGTAGAAAGATACGTGGAAAGTGACGATAGTCTAATAATTTATGTTGAACCATTGTCCTGGTACGCATCGGAATCTACGAAATGATCTGCGAATTGACTATATACACTTTTTTATGAACAAATTCATTTTGTAATTGATGTTTTGTTTTAAGTAAATGTTTTATGTATTTGACAATGTAGGCCACAAAATAAGGTAGGTCTTTTTTCCATCTCCGTTAGTTGCGAACCTAATTGCATAAAATTCAAACTTAGTATATAATCCAGTTGAGTCTAATCTATTCAACATTTACAGCGTCCTTTTGGCATCTCGGCCATTTATGAACTGAAATTTAAATTTGGCATAGCCAGTGCCATATCATATGTAATGTTACCACTTTTTAACACATTTTTGCAAATTTATTTGTAAAAAGTAGCTTTTAATCTCACTTTGGCTGACTGGCTGGCAGCAAATGTGGGCGCCTAGAAGAACTCTTGTAGAAAGGCAACGGGTGTACGTGTATCTACCAGGCCGTGTAATTTGTCAACCTTAGGGACAGGGCTACATGATGTGGGGTTGGCGACATCTGGGCGCCTTCCTCGAGCGTAGTTTACTAATGTGAAGGTTTTTCAGTTTTTTCCTAACTTCTACTACAGTTTTGGTCCGATTATTTTCAAATTGGTGTCGTTGGAAAAATCATGTAAACGCGCACAACTCCTGCGTGGCGGAATTTTGTTTTTTGTCCTAGGGGCGAAATTAACGACCTTTTCAAGGCGCGCGCGCGCGTCTTCAATAGGTAGTCAACTTCGGGCGCCTTTTACCGTCCGTTGCGAATTTTTTCACGCGGTTTAACGTTTCGTAAATCTCGAATCTCTGTCTCTCTTTCTCGTGTCGCCAACAAAAGCTCGAGCAATGAGAAGTGCCCCAAAAATTAAATAGTATCTTGTGGAAGGTTTTTAGCGAAATCCACCAAAATGTGGGTGTAATATAAGTATGCACCGAAGAAGGAAATGTGGTAGCCTCCGACACGATCTAACTGATGGTGGAGTGAAATCTTCAAACGCGAATTGCGGGTGAACGGGAAGTCGGAGGTGGGTACCGTCAAAGGGAATGTGGTAGCCCCCGACACTATCTTACAAAACTTCAAACGCGCATTGGAAGGGAACGGGACATCGGAAGTGGATACCGACAAAGGGAATATGGTAGCCCCTGCCAAGATTTTACTGATGGTGGAGTCAAAACTTTAAACGTGAATTGCGGGTGCACGAGGAAAGTGGGAAGCGGGTACCGACATAGTGAATGTAGTAGCCTTCAACAAGATCTTTTATTGATGGTTGAGTCAAAAGTGGCTAATAGAATACTGATCTGCCACACAAAAATGCGCTGAAGTCCCTTTGATCTCACACGAGGACTTTGAACATTTTTTGATTATGTATCGTCTGGGCTGGGTGGCTCGTGCATGTTCTAGTGTTAGCATATTGAAATAATGTCTTTATCCAAGAACAAACTCGCCAAAGTGCGGGCCTCCGCTACCAACTCGACGCTAGATCGCTAACCAAGATTCTGCCCACAGATGACACGGTCGGCATCCATTGAACTTAATCATGGTCTTTGTTGTAGGTACCTGTATTTAGCAGCATCGCACACGTTTTCTTAAATACAGTGCCATCTATGTATAAACTGTTTGGTTAATTCTTAAGCGATGCGACTTGGATGGCAGTCTCCGAGGCTTAGCCTTAGGTCGATGCTTACCCCTTTGCATCGACCCGTTCTAGTTTTTCTGATGATTATTGGTTGCTGTGGTACTATATATGAAAAATTCACTCGTTGCCGTTGATAATCCCCTTCTAACAACTCTTGGCAAACCTGGATTTTTTAGGGGTGAAACGATAAATCGTTTTTCAGGGTCCGACGTACTGTTGATTCTCGCATTCCCAGAAAGCGAGATCCAGGTTGAAGCCCATCATATTCTTCTTCTGTACAACTTCCTCCCGCCTGATTTCGGGCCAAGTCAAGTGAATGACCATACCGAACAAAAAAGAAGGCCGAGTGGCAGAACAAGCCTAATGTGAAGAGGAGGCGGCCGCAGCTGAAAAGGAAGACAGGTGGCAGCTGTACAGGAGAAGAATGGTGGGCTCACTTATCCCAGTGGTATGGGGACAGCAATGGGGCGTGATGTGGGAGCAACAGTAGCCGTTTCTGAAACTACAGCTTGCTGGCTCCCGGAACCAATTGAACTTCAACCCGGATGCCGCTTTGTCACAGCCGCGATCTGGAAACAACTGGCCTGTCTGCCGCTGATTACATTCTTCAGATTGCAGCAAAGTGTGGCGAAGAAGAATTCTCTGTGCATACATGATTATGCTTCTGCTGCAACTGGACTAAAGATCATCCGAGGGAAGGAATAAATTGGTCCACAATAACACTGCTCTTGAAACCTTGTCACCTCCTCCAGCTGCGCAGCAATTCCTGAAGGACTGTGGCAGCCAAGTTGTGCTCGTTGGGCACAATATACTTCATTCGGATTGATGCACCCAGGATTGTTCGCGTCATGAAAGAGCACAAAATTGTTGAGGAATTCTGCGACCTATATGGTCATGGCATGGTGGCAGTGGCGGAACAACTTAGCCACGGGCCTGTGTGCGAAATTTTTTGCTGGGCCCTAATTATTATACGACGTATTGATAACAATTTCGGTATGAATTTTGGCTACAAAAAAACCAATTGATAAGTATTTATGTTCCGGAACCTGAACATAGAAAAATACGAGGAAAAATATGTGGCAACCAGTCAGAGCGCGGATTCAGCGTTTACGTTTATCAATTTGTAAGGCACCGCAGCAAAGACTTGAAGGTGTGTGCAAATGAACGAACATCCAAGAGTCACAATTAACAGAAAATAATTGATCAAATAGAAGCCATTCCTGATTGAAAATAAAGCAAAAGCCCCACACGAAAATAATTCACAGAAACTGACCCTCAAAGCTCCACTCCAATTCATTGTTTTCTGTAATATAGGGTGTCAAAAGACGAATGTGCACATTTTAAGTGTTAACCAAGCGTCTCGCATCATGTTCTTTTGCTTCCTTTTTCACAGTTGGTTTCTTTAAACGTTGGCGCTACAAAAAAACTGCAGCCTATCTGACTCGTTTTGACGTAGATCAAAATTCAATCAAATGATAAGTATACTTTGCCTTATATCATTGGATTCCTAATTAAATAAGGAATGTTTAGAGGGCAGTCTCATCATGACAGGAATGTATTTTATCCCAATGTTTGTGGCTAGGCTAAGTTTCTTCATAAGCAGCGCCCATTTTTCAATAGAATATATCTTGAAAACTAATCCAATGACAGTATCATTTAACTTCACTATCGTATAGAACACACTTTCAACTTTCATCTAAATAATTGACAAAACACCTATAGTCCACACAGTCCAAAAACAATGTTCTGTTATATTTCATATATTTATGCACAAGTAGGTATAATTTATAGAGTACAATAATAAATTTGTGCTAGTAAAAATCTAGAATGCTTTAATTAAGAATATGTTGGATAGATTTTAATTTATGCTTAGAGTATTACAATCTTACAGAATTTTTGCATAATTAAATAACAGCACAATGGTATAACAATATAACATTTACATACATAATTAATACAGTAGTAACACTATTACATTAATCGCTCTGTTAGTTATAGCATGTGGTACAATTCGTATGCATGCCTAACAAGTCACCTCAAATAGAGGTCGTTATACAATAATCGAGTAGTTCCATTTGAATGAAACTTACGACTATAACAACTCTACTTGACAATTACCTGTGTAAATATAAGCTCGGTATCAAAACATAACAAATTAGTACAATAATGCATGCCCTTGACAAACTTAAAATTAAACAACTATTTTCATTACCTTTAATTGTTGCAATATGATGATTCAGGGAATCGTTTTTGTAGGTAACTACTGGCTGTGATACGATATATTAAACTACATATCACACCAGAAGTTCCTTCAAACCAGAAACCCTCTAATAGTTTGGAAACTTGCAGCCGCTGGCGAAGGTGCCCGTCAACCACCGTCGAGTTGTCAAATACATTCTGCTTTGCTGAACTAGCTTTATGATGGTCCGAATACTCATACAACTAGATCACCAAAGAAGAATAAATCCGACAGTTTGTGATACGAAGATTCGCTCTCTCGTGTCCGAGTTGGTGCTTAAAATTTAGGCGACGAATTGTCTCGCGTTACAGGCGAGTGTTCGATCTAGTCACAATAATGAAAGGAATGTGCAACAATAGACGGAACACGCGCTTACACCACGAGTTTTTTATAATTAATAAACATTGAGGTTAGGTTCAACACTGAAAGTTAAGAATTTGATTACAATTTTAGCGTGAGTAATAAATATTATTTATTATAATTCACATGCGATAAGAGATAATATTGTATACACAATTAAAAATTTATGCTAACAAAGCTTCAGATAAAACTTACCACGTGCGTATTCCGTCACGAGTTGCACAGCAAATGGAAGAAAATGGCGGGAAGTACGGAAAAACGCGTTTGTATGCGCAGATGCAGTATGCTGAATGAACGTTAACTTTTCAAAGATTTTTTAATCTACACCTATTTCGTTAACACTTAGGCGACTTTGTAAAGAATTTTGTTACAGGTAGATCGGAGTTCCCCTTGCGGTAAAGGTTGGTGATTTATGAAGGCGCATACCTGAAAGCCCGCTAGAAAGACGGGCGAGAGACTGCTAAACTCGAATCTAATTTTAAACGTACTAAAATTTATCTATTTCCAAATTGTGTTTTGGTAGATCAATTCAAATTAGAGTAAAGGCAATAGGCAATGAATCTATCAACAATGATATTCATGAGATTTATTGGAAGAGGAGAAAAAATAGAGCATAAAGTTTGATCCCATCCTAAACGCACAACATAAAAAGATGGGTAGGTAATAAATGTAGATAAATTTGAAAATACATAGGTATCATGACCTTTTGTAATTCTAGGAATTTATTAAATTGTATGGCAATTCCTTGTGTTAGAAAAGATGCCCAACTATCAGGCGCTATAAACCCAATAAGTTGTCGTTGACACTGAAACGGTGGACAAATTTTTTCGTGTTCTGACGCTCGAGAAGGTCTACCGGTCCTTGACAATTTTACCAATTACGTCATGGTATTCGTTATAGTTTTTAAGGAGTTTTCGTTACTTCCATTTGATTAGAAATGTTATATTAAAAAAGAAGATTTCTGGAAAAATATAATGCATCAACAGTTGTCAGTAAGATGACACTAGGTACTTGAATCGGGTAGTTTGGCCAAAAAGGTATCGTACTACAATATTTCCTCGCCATAATCCGTTTCACCTTGACTTTACAGCTTTTATGGTGAACAACGATGCCAAATGTCACTAGAATATCATTTGCAGAAAATGGGCGGCCCTGGTTCAGGCCCGTAGCCAGATTCGAAGTAGCAGGGGTGGCCGGTATTTTTCTAGAGGTGGCTAAGAAGTGTTTGATAAATATCTCCCCTGTAATTTTTGTAAAGGAACCATTAACCGTAATTTCCAGTGGGAGCAAGACCACGTTCTAGATGGGACTGAGTTCCACTCCACCTGGCCACTCTCTAGCTACGGTCCTGCCTTGGTTCGATTCCCGGCGATCATTTATTGAAATGTAAAACACACAATATTGTAATTCATATATCTCAAAAGGGGACAGGCCACCATGCTGGTTTTCACCGCCCCCAAAATTACAAGTTCTGTAACTCCATTAGTTTATCATATAGCTAAGTTTACACGTTAAGGAGACTTACATTAAACAAATAACTTTACATGTAGTGTACTGAAGCATTATATTCATTAAACTTCTCGTACAGTCGTACCTACTTAAAGGCAGGGATGGTTGTTTATACAATAATAACTTATAGACAACATTAAATAGACGATGAACAAATTTCCCGATATTTATTATAATACGGAGTAATGTGATGCCCCTTGGTACATAGAATGCAAATCTGAAACATGCATTCTGAAGAACTTGAATTCTGTTTTTAATTCTTGCTGTTAGGTATATATAGCTTGTTCTCTACAAATGTGTATCTCTTGTGCCTTCCTAATAGAATGGAATGCAGCTTTGGGAAATGGTTGGATGTATTCCCGCGAATTTCTGATTTAGCAAAACACTTTCCGAAATTTCCACGGGAACGAGAGTTTACGTTTCACAGTGGCAAATAGAGGGTTGACATTATTTAGAACGTAGGTTTCTTTGAAGGTGTAAAGGTGTACTTCGAAAGCACGAAATTACCACGGGAATAGGAAAAAAATTTTCAAAGTCCTCGTGTGAGATCGAAGGGACTTCAGCGCATTTTTGTGTGGCAGATCAGTATTCTATTAGCCACTTTCGACTCAACCATCAATAACAGATCTTGTCGAAGGCTACTACATTCACTAACCGTTTCCCACTTTCCGCGTGCACCCGCAATTCGCTTTTAAAGTTAAAATCGTGTCGGGGGCTACCACATTCCCTTTGACGGTAGCCACTTCCGACGTCCCGTTCACCCGCAATTCGCTTCTATTGGCGACACGAGAAAGAGAGACAGCGATTCGAGATTTACGAAACGTTAAACCGCGTGAGTTCGCAACGGAAGGTAAAAGGCGCCCGAAGTTGACTACTTCTCGAAGACGCGCGCGCGCGCCTCGCAAAAGGTCGTTAATTTCGCCCCTAGGACAAAAAACAAAATTCCGCCACGCAGGAGTTGTGCGCGTTTACAACATCTTTCCGACGACACCAATTTGAAAAGAATCGGACCAAAACTGTAGTAGAAGATAGGAAAAAACTGAAAAACCTTCACGTTAGTATACTACGCTCGAGGATGACGCCCAGATGTCGCCAACCCCACATCATGTAGCCATGTCCCTAAGGTTGACAAATTTCACGGCCTTGTAGATACACGTACACCCGTTGCCTTTCTACAAGAGTTCTTCTACGCGCCCACATTTGCAGCCAGCCAGCCAGCCAGCCAAAGTGAGATTAAAAGCTACTTTTTACAAATAAATTTGCAAAAATGCGCTAAAAAGCATGACTAGTATAATAATTATTCCTAATTGCTAAATCGATCGTAATAGTTTAAAAATTGCATTATCTAATGCACTCAATTGACTATTACGAATGATTAGTGCAGTAAGACGGTCGATTAATAACCGCGAATTTCCTTGTTGCAATTTCATTGTACATAATTTCATATGAGTTACCATGAAGATTATGTCCGATACGTTACTGTACCAAAACACTACCACTCAGCAAATCAATTCGAAGCGGAAGATATCGAGAAAGTGGGCGATATCGATTTTGACCCATTCGACACCACTGAGACTGGTGGCAGAAGCTTTTTGTACTTTGCGGCCACAATAGGTAAGGTGCTGCAGGTAAAATCCAGAGGAAATTATTCAACACTTTTGCACTAATATTAATAATTAGTTGTCGGAAATAACTAATTTAATAAATTTGCAGCCAATTTAACCGCATTTGTCAGCGGCGTTTCGGTAGGATGGAGCTCACCCGTCATACCAAAGTTAAGCGGAGACATTGAACCGGAAAATAATCCGCTACCGGAACCACTGACTCCCAACCAGCAATCGTGGTTGGGATCGCTACTGCCATTGGGAGCCGTCTTCGGACCGGTGATCGCCGGATTAATCGTAGATCGCATTGGACGAAAAAAATCGCTTCTAATTTCGACATTACCGTTCATAGCGGCGTTTATCATTGCGATATTCAGTCACAATGTAAACTTGTATTACGTCATGCGAGTGCTGTGTGGTTTAGGGCTGGGTGCCGTATTCACCGTCCTGCCAATGTACGTTGGGGAAATAGCGGAGGATTCGAATAGAGGCGCGTTGGGTTCCTTTTTGGCCCTGTTTATGTGTATGGGAATTTTATTTTCGTACTGCGTTGGGCCATTCGTCCCTCTAACTACATTTAATATAATTTGCGTGGTCCCACCAATCGTCTTCTTTCCAATTTTTTTAGTGTACATTCCTGACAGTTCCCACTCCCTCATCGCGCGCAACGACGAAGCCGGAGCCGAAAAAGCCTTGACGAAATTCCGTCAAAAGTCCAGCCGAGCTGTACACAATGAATTATTAGAAATCAGGGATAGCGTCCAGGAGTCATTGGCGAGTAAAGGGAGAATTATAGATCTCTTCAGATCAAAAGGACTGATTCGTGCGCTGATGATATCGCTCGGTTTGGTTTCCTTTCAGCAGCTCTCTGGTATCAACATAATCTTTTTCTACGCGCAAACAATTTTTTCCTTGGCCGGATCGTCAGTTCCTGCAGAAATCTCAACGATAATCGTCGGATGTGTGCAAGTTCTGGCCGGATTCCTAACTCCCATGGTCGTTGAAAGGACAGGAAAACGAGCGATCTTGATCTTCTCAGCGATTGGGATGGGAATATCAATGGCGTTGCTTGGATTTTACTTCTACGTGCAACACAATGCAACTATAACCACCTACTTCTTCTGGTTGCCAATATTGAGTCTTATTTGCTTTAACATCACGTATTCCGTCGGTTTCGGACCATTACCGTGGGCCGTGTTGGGCGAAGTGTTTCCTCCAAACATGAAATCGGTGGCCTCGACCATTACTGCAGCATTTTGTTGGTTTCTGGCGTTTATCATCACGAACATTTTCGGTACTGTTACCGCAGCAGTCGGGATTTATGGTTCATTTTGGTTGTTTTCCTGCTTTTGTGTAATTGCCTTCCTATTTGTTTATATGCTTGTTCCCGAAACGTCCAGGAAGACTTTACAAGAGATTCGAAAGATACTTGACGGAGCTTATTTCGTATAGGTTTTCAGATCACATTTGCTGTATGAATCATGATTGCAAATAAAAGAACTAAACAAAAAAATAGTTTTGTTTTTTTGTACAGCGAAAACGTGGCACATTGCACAATAGACACCGATTGCTGACTGAGCTCTAGAAGTAGATTTGCAATGAAAACTACGCTTACACAGGTGTTCATTAATCATGCAAAATTGATCAATCAACGCACTTGAAAGCAGAGCTGGGCAGAATACTTTTAAAAAGTATTTGAATACTAAATACTTTTACGTCCAGCACAAGCGAATACTAGATACAGATACATTGAAAAGTATTCAAATACTTAAAAAAAATAAGTATTCAAATACTTTAGAATGTATTCGAATACTTTGAAAAGTACTTCATTAACTTACTTTGAAAAGTATACGAATACAGTAAAAAGTATTCAAATACTTGTCACTCAAATACATTAAAAATTTAAAAGTCTTAATACTACTTAAAAAATCAAGTTATACTTTGTATGGGGTTAGCTTTTTTTATATTTCTATTGTTATATACAAATTTAAGGGGAGTACAAGCGTAATATTATTATTATATAGGAGGTACCAGGTACCAGTTATATCCTTAAGAATACGTGTACCAGTTTTCAAAGCGATTTTGTGACAATGGAAACTTTCCCTAAACATTATAAATTGTTCTCAAATATTTGAATAACTTAAAAGTACTGCCTTTCTTTGTGGCTCGAAAAAAAAATTGTCTCAGATCGACCCGGAAAAAATTTTTCTTATAGAATGGGGCCTGTAGAATAAATAATTTCAAACAGTTCCAAGATTGGGCTACTAGTTCAAAAGTTACAGCCCTTTGAATTTTCTTTCGAAATTGGATTCTAGTCGTTGATTGAGAAGTCTAATCGAAAAAGTACGAATTGTTTTGGATTCTACGCACCAAAATTAATAAGAAAAAGTGTTTTCCAGAGAAATTTTGGTGCAGTCGTGTTTTCCCGAGAAATTTTGGTGCAGTCGATTTTTGGTAAAAAAGGAAGGTTATACACTGCCTTTTTTTGAGCCCCGACAAAAAAATTGTCTCAGATCGACCCGGAAAAAAAAGTTTCCTTATAGAATGTGGCCTGTAGAATCCATAATTTCAAACAGTTCCAAGATTGGGCTACTAGTTCAAAAGTTACAGCCCTTTGAAATTTTTTTCGAAATTGGTTTCTAGTCTATAACTTTTGATTGAGAAGTCTGATCGAAAAAGTACGAATTGATTTGGATTCTACGCACCCAAATTAATAAGAAAAAGTGTTTTCCCGAGAAATTTTGTTGCAGTCGATTTTTGGTAAAAAAGGAAGGTAAAACACTGCCTTTTTTTGAGCACCGAAGAAAAAATTGTCTCAGATCGACCCGGAAAAAAAANCGGTTCAAAATGTACGGAGTCTTGCAAGATCTGTAGAGCAATTAGAGTTCAATGACTCGGTTTTTGAATAGTAAGTTTAAATCAGAGACATGTCTCTGGTTTAAATGCAATAAGTACAAGTGCGCCATCTCATTAGTAATCGATAGACTTTCGTTCATTTTATAGTTTTAAAAGTTTAGTTGAGATGTCGCCACGTACTTCGTTTAAAATTGCATTTGAATTTATGCCATTAATAGCCAAGTCGGACTTAATTTTACTTAAATGGCAGTTCAAAATGTACGGAGTCTTGCAAGATCTGTAGAGCAATTGGAGTTTAATGACCCGGTTTTTGAACAGATAATTTAAATGCAATAAGTACAAGTGCGCCATCTCATTGGTAATCGATACACTTTCCTTCATTTTATAGTTTTACAAGTTTAGTTGAGATGTCGCCACGTACGTAACTTCGTTTAAAATTGCATTTGAACTTAATTTTACTCAGAGCTGGGCAGAATACTTTCAAAAAGTGTTTTCCCGAGAAATTTTGGTGTTGTCGATTTTTGGTAAAAAAGGAAGGTTGTACACTGCCTTTTTTGAGGTCCGAAAAAAAAATTGTCTCAGAACGACCCGGAAAAAAATTTTCTTACAGAATGTGGCCTGTAGAATCCATAATTTCAAACAGTTCCAAGATTGGGCTACTAGTCCAAAAGTTACAGCCCTTTGAATTTTTTTTCGAAATTGGTTTCTAGTCTATAACTTTTGATTGAGAAGTCTGATCGAAAAAGTACGAATTGTTTTGGATTCTACGCACCAAAATTAATAGGAAAAAGTGTTTTCCCGAGAAATTTGGTGCAGTCGATTTTTGGTAAAAAAGGAAGGTTATACACTGCCTTTTTTTGAGCCCCGAAAAAAAATTGTCTCAGATCGACCCGGAAAAAAAATTTCTTATAGAATGTGGCCTGTAGAATCCATAATTTCAAACAGTTCCAAGATTGGGCTACGAGTTCAAAAGTTACAGCCCTTTGGATTTTTCCTTCGAAATTGGTTTCTAGTCTATAACTTGAGAAGTCTCATCGAAAAAGTACGAATTGTTTTGGATTCTATGCACCAAAATTAATAAGAAAAAGTGTTTTCCCGAGAAATTTTGGTGCAGTCGATTTTTGGTAAAAAAGGAAGGTTGTGCACTGCCTTTTTTTGAGGCTCGAAGAAAAAATTGTCTCAGATCGACCCGGAAAAACATTTTCTTATAGAATGTGGCCTGTAGAATCCATAATTTCAAACAGTTCCAAGATTGGGCTACTAGTTCAAAAGTTACAACCCTTTGAATTTCCTTTCGAAATTGGTTTCTAGTCCATAACTTGATTGAGAAGTCTAATCGAAGAAGTACGAATTGTTTTGGATTCTACGCACCAAAATTAATAAGAAAAAGTGTTTTCCAGAGAAATTTTGGTGCAGTCGATTTTTGGTAAAAAAGGAAGGTTATACACTGCCTTTTTTTGAAGCTCGAAGAAAAAATTGTGTCAGATCGACCCGGGAAAAATTTTTTCTTATAGAATGTGGCCTGTAGTATCCACAATTTCAAACAGTTCCAAGATTGGACTACTATTTCAAAAGTTACAGCCCTTTGAATTTTCTTTCGAAATTGGATTGTGGTCTATAACTTTTGATTGAGAAGTCTAATCGAAAAAGTACGAATTGTTTTGGATTCTACGCACCAAAATTAATAAGAAAAAGTGTTTTCCAGAGAAATTTTGGTGCAGTCGATTTTTGGTAAAAAAGGAAGGTTATACACTGCCTTTTTTTGAGGCTCGAAGAAAAAATTGTGTCAGATCGACCCGTAAAAAAAATTTTCTTATAGAAGGTGGCCTGTAGTATCCACAATTTCAAACAGTTCCAAGATTGGACTACTATTTCAAAAGTTATAGCCCTTTGAATTTTCTTTCGAAATTGGATTGTGGTCTATAACTTTTGATTGAGAAGTCTAATCGAAAAAGTACGAATTGTTTTGGATTCTACACACCAAAATTAATAAGAAAAGGTGTTTTCCCGAGAAATTTTGGTGTAGTCGATTTTTGGTAAAAAAGGAAGGTTATACACTGCCTTTTTTTGAGCCCCGAAAAAAAAATTGTCTCAGATCGACCCGGGAAAAAATTTTTCTTATAGAATGTGGCCTGTAGAATCCATAATTTCAAACAGTTCCAAGATTGGGCTACTAGTTCAAAAGTTACAGCCCTTTGAAATTTATTTCGAAATTGGTTTCTAGTTACTAGATTGGGCTACTAGTTTCAAAAGTTACAGCCCTTTGAATTTTCTTTCGAAATTGGTTTCTAGTCTATAACTTTTGATTGAGAAGTCTGATCGAAAAAGTACGAATTGTTTTGGATTCTATGCACCAAAATTAATAAGAAAAAGTGTTTTCCCGAGAAATTTTGGTGCAGTCGATTTTTGGTAAAAAAGGAAGGTTATACACTGCCTTTTTTTGAGCCCAAAAAAAAAATTGTCTCCGATCGATCCGGAAAAAAATGTTCTTATAGAATGTGGCCTGTAGAATCCATAATTTCAAACAGTTCCAAGATTGGGCACTAGTTCAAAAGTTACAGCCCTTTGAATTTTCTTTCGAAATTGGTTTCTAGTCTATAACTTTTGATTGAGAAGTCTGATCGAAAAAGTACGAATTGTTTTGGATTCTACGCACCAAATTAATAAGAAAAAGTGTTTTCCCGAGAAATTTTGGTGCAGTCGATTTTTGGTAAAAAAAGGAAGGATTTTAACTGTGCCTTTTTTTTTGAAGGCTCGGAAAAAATCTCGTCGACCCGGAAAAAAAATTTTCTTATATGTGGCCTGTAGAATCCATAATTTCAAACAGTTCCAAGATTGGGCTACTAGTTCAAAAAGTTACAGCCCTTTAAATTTTTTTTCGAAATTGGTTTCTAGTCTATAACTTTTGATTGAGAAGTCTAATCGAAAAAGTACGAATTGTTTTGGATTCTACGCACCAAAATTAATAAGAAAAAGTGTTTTCCCGAGAAATTTTGGTGCAGTCGATTTTTGGTAAAAAAGGAAGGTTATACACTGCCTTTTTTTGAGGCCCGAAAAAAAAATGTCTCAGATCGACCCGGAAAAAAAATTTTCTTATAGAATGTGGCCTGTAGAATCCATAATTTCAAACAGTTCCAAGATTGGGCTGCTAGTTCAAAGTTACAGCCCTTGAATTTTTTTTCGAAATTGGTTTCTAGTCTATAACTTTTGATTGAGAAGTCTGATCGAAAAAGTACGAATTGTTTTGGATTCTACGCACCAAAGTTAATAAGAAAAAGTGTTTTCCCGAGAAATTTTGGTGCAGTCGATTTTTGGTAAAAAAGGAAGGTTATACACTGCCTTTTTTTGAGCCCGAAAAAAAAATTGTCTCAGATCGACCCGGAAAAAAATTTTCTTATAGAATGTGGCCTGTAGAATCCATAATTTCAAACATTTCCAAAATTGGGCTACTAGTTCAAAAGTTACAGCCCTTTGAATTTTCTTTCGAAATTGGTTTCTAGTCTATAACTTTTGATTGAGAAATCTAATCGAAAAAGTACGAATTGTTTTGGATTCTACGCACCAAAATTAATAAGAAAAAGTGTTTTCCCGAGAAATTTTGGTGCAGTCGATTTTTGGTAAAAAAGGAAGGTTATAACACTGCCTTTTTTGAGGGCTCCAAAAGAAAAATTGTCTCAGATCGACCCGGAAAAAAAGTCTTATAGAATGTGGGCTGGTAGAAATCCATAAGATTTTAAACAGTTTTTCCCAAAGATTGGGCCTACTAGTTCAAAATTACGCTTGAATTTTTTCTTCGAAAATTGGTCTAATAAACTTTTGAGAGAAGTCTGATCGAAAAAAGTACGAATTGATTTGGATTCTACGCACCCAAATTAATAAGAAAAAGTGTTTTCCCGAGAAATTTTGGTGTAGTCGATTTTTGGTGAAAAGGGAAGGTTATACACTGCCTTTTTTGAGGCTCGAAAAATAAAATTGTCTCAGAACGACCCGGAAAAAAATGTTTTTATAGAATGTGGCCTGTAGAATCCATAATTTCAAACAGTTCCAAGATTGGGCTACTAGTTCAAAAGTTACAGCCCTTTGAATTTCTTTTCGAAATTGGTTTCTAGTCTATAACCTTTGATTGAGAAGTCTGATCGAAAAAGTACGAGTTGTTTTGGATTCTACGCACCAAAATTAATAAGAAAATGTGTTTTCCGAGAAATTTTAGTGCAGTCGATTTTTGGTAAAAAAGGAAGGTTATACACTGCCTTTTTTGAGGCCCGAAAAAAAATTGTCTCAGATCGATCCGGAAAAAAATTTTCTTATAGAATGTGGCCTGTAGAATCCTAATTCAAACAGTTCCAGATTGGGCTACTAGTTCAAAAGTTACAGCCTTTGAATTTTTTTCGAAATTGTTTCAGTCTATAACTTTGATTGAGAAGTCTATCGAAAAAAGTACGAATTGTTTGGACTTTACGCCCCAAAATTAATAAGAAAAAGTGTTTTCCCGGAAATTTGGTGCTGTCGATTTTTGAAAAAGGGAAGTTTATACACTGGCCTTTTTTTGAGCTCAAAAAAAATTGTTCAGATCGACCCGGAAAAAAAATTTTCTTATAAATGTGGCCTGTAGAATCCATAATTCCAAACAGTTCCAAATTGGGCTACTAGTTCAAAAGTTACAGCCCTTTGAATTTTCTTTCGAAATTGGTTTCTAGTAGGAAATGCAATCCGCAGCAAAATTCAATCCCGGTATTTGCGATTGTTCGATGATAATCTCTCCGCGGATCCGGAATTTGCGAGATCTCGCAAAATTTAAATAAATTGCAAATAAGCAATTCGTGCGGTTAACTCTGTTTAAAATAAATCGCTATTAATCAAATTTTTAATAAAAAAGTACCTTCGCCTAATTAGAACTCAAAACCTTACATGTAAGACAAATAGTCTTCTACACCAGTGCTCAAAAATCATAATACATGTTTAAACGAAAAAAGTTTAACAATTATTAAAAAAAATAATTCGCGTTATCGTTTCATACAAGTAACACAGTCGTCCCTTGTGGACGCGGAGGGAGTGTTCTCAATAGGGTTAATAAGATTTAGTTCATATTATCGTAACTTTTCTTCAGCAGGTATGAAATAAATAGCTTTAGAGCATAGTTACTATATAATATTCAATAAGAGCAGCCAAAAGAGGTCTCCGTCACGATTTTACTGCCCGCACTGTTAAAAGCGCCTTAAAAATATGTAAACCACGTAAAATACCCTACATAAATTCTCCCTGGGTATTTGACAATTCCCTTCAACCTTCCTAGATGTAAAAAGTATAAAACAAACCCTGGATATACATTTTTGACCCATTTTATGGGCGGGTATTGAAATGCTACCTTGCGTTTAAGAAACCCGCTATAGCAAGTGCTGTCCGGGGTTGCGGGGGTGGCGGCATAGCTGAAATTGGACCTTAGGGTGTCTAGAACATCCTCTGAAAGTTTCATAAAGTTATCACAAAATGCAAGGTTACCCCCGCACTACTCCTGTCATCATTGACAGATTGGCAATAATCAAAAGTTTTATATGAAAATTAAAATTTTATATAAAAATGCGATTTCGGGTAAAATTTAATACAAAACTCGTCAGTAAAATGACATTAATTGACTCGGAACTTCAATATTTCCTCGCCAGTAATGTGTCATTTTCCTGACTTTTATGTAAATAACTATTTCATCCGCCGTCCTGAAAAAATATGCAATTGTAGGGTTGCATGGAGTAATCGTAAATGAGGTAATAGTTTTCTGTTTATCCTCTTTCGGACTGGAACAAATCGTACACCCACCCCTTTGTTATTTAAGAAATCTATACTTTATTATTGGAAGCTACCTACTACTTTCTGCGTGGACGTAATTGGGTAACCCGATGTTTCCCGAAAAACTGGGACAAGGAAACTTCCGCACTTCCTTATAGACAAATTATCTCAAGCAGGAAGACATAAATGAAAAATAACATTCCTAATCGTAATCTACGATCTATAAAAAGGTCACATAAGCCAAAGTTTTACTACTCACGTACCATAAAGGAACTTAGAGCTTATCATCTGTAATAAATTCCGTTCCATAAACAAGAGAAACTGGCTCAATTTAGTTTATCAAAATCTATTTTATATTTTAGTCGAGAGGTTTTCTCTCCACAAAATGTTATCTGTAAGGAAAGCATCTTGTTTCTAGGCCGACACAATGACGTTCTCTTTGAAGTGTACCCATTTGACTTGTAAATTTGCATAGTGAGAACACTATCTACACTAACGGCAAATGGAGTAAATTTTCTGATACAAGATTGCAGCTATTTTGGTTGTGTCAACCACTAAGACATTTAATTTGTGGACACTCACGAGTCAATACGACAGGTGTAAACGGTTTGTTGTAATTGTACACATATCATCAAATGTTTACTTTTATTAGGCAACGTATTACTTTCAAAGCTAAACTGTATCGTCTCTTCTATCTGATATTGTGGCATAATTATCTTTCATTCCAGTTATCTACAAGGTACTCAAACTAGACAGATAAGGTAAACGAAAGAAGCTACACTACTGCACGTATATATAATTTAACATATCAGGCCGTAGGTTGAATTACATGGAAGGTGGCAAAAGCTCTTTGTAGGGGACGCTACGGGTGATTGCGTTGATTAACTGCACGGACATTCCTTCGGCTACCTGATTAATTGCGGGTAATACTTCTTGCAATATCACGTTAGCATTATCATCCAGTACTTGTGTAAATACTCTCTCTGAAATTGCAACAATTAGCTTCAATTTTATTCGATATAGAGTATGACACTTACTGAGGTCCGGATTGTCCTCAAACAGACCGGTGAAGTTGGAAACGTAATCGGAAACTTGTATATCAACGACAGCCTTGATTGGCTCATAATACTCGTCTCCATTCCGCTCAACAAGCTTTCCAGTTGTTTTTAACAGGACAGTGCATGGACCTAGATTACACTATCAAACATTGGCTTGATGGGAGATGATCTCTCACCTAACTTAGTAACATAGTTGCCAGATCCGTGAATCGGAATCGATAACAATCTCCCTTCTACGTCGAACTTAGTCTTCATACTCATGTTATTGAAGTTTCCCTTACCTGAAAAGGTAAGCTCATCCGGAATGTAGCTACAAAGATTGAATTAGCCTTTGAAGTCATACTGCGGCATGCGTACTTTAATTCCGAAAATTTATAGTCCGCGAGCCCGTAGATCGACATATTGGTAAATGAAACCTTGTAGTTGACCCTATCGGTGCCTTGTTGCATTTCAATTTTGGGTATGTAGAAGGGGTTGAAGGAGGGAATACCTAACTCTCGTATGCCATCCTTAATGCGCGGTTGTAATTGTTCGGCAGCCTTCAGTATGCAATCGTTGAGCTTTGGATCGTTGATGCTACAACGAGGGAAATAAGAAGCTGAAAAGATAAAGAGCATGTTTTACTGTGCTGAAAAGCAAAGAATTGACAATTAATTTTGCTCGTAATACTCATTTACACTGGAACTTTGAAGAATACCTACTGTAACGTATTTATTTACAATTAGTTAACAATGAGTTTACAACAGTATTAAAATAGATTAATTTATAACAGTAATTATTATTTATCACTCACAACGTATAATATAATAAGAACGCATCGATGTTGGAACTACACTAAAAACACAATTCGATGTGCTTATGTGGCAAACAATATTCTTTATAGTGTTCGAGTGTTTAAGAACGCTTCATAATGCTTTCGAACAAAGATAACATAATTTTGGGAAAGGTTACGTCACATCCACCTTCGTTCTTTATCGCCGATGACTAATGTTTCAGGAAGCCTCGATGTTTACCAGGATTTCTGGAATGTTCGCTGCATTACGTTGTCGATCCATGACATGATTGCTACGAATTTGAAACCCTTTTACCTAATGAAATTTAAGTTTAGTAAAATCACTTATTGCAACAATGGTGTCCATGCACGTTAAGATTCAACTTTAATTTGTCGATGCGAACGTCCATAAACTGCCTAAAATTTGCTAATCATTCCGGTACCGGTACGTAAATGGGTCAAAGGATCGAGCAATTTAAAAATGTATAGAATCATATACGCCATCATTAATCAGTTAGTTCCTAAATGCTAATTAGGAAACTTGTAGTATTACAATGTAAAAAGGCAAGGTCGGAGTTTTAATAGAGTGCAACTTTTAAACTAAGTGTTAGACACGTGCTGTTTTCTTGTTTCTTCTGACACTAATATCTTGTTAGAAATTATTAGAAGTATGAATTTTGAAGGATGAAACTGGTATTTGAGTAATTATTCTGGAAAATGAATCTATACCTTTTGAATGAACTATATTCTGAGATAATTCTAATTATCCAAAGAACTTTATTGCCTTTCTCTGTTTTGAAACAAAAGCAAATTGTTTCCTTACATTTTTAGAAATTTACGCGCTTTCCACTTCAACGACCATTTTGGCCCTCCATCTACCTACACTACATTTCCCGAATTTTACAGGAATGTGTAACGTATTTATTCATGATTCAAATAGCACTTTCAATGCCTTCTGCTAATATTGCGTTTTAACCCTCATTTAAAAAAATTAGTGCGGAGAATAAATAGTTAACTCGTAAACTTTCGATTTCACTTGTACCTAACTAATAACTAAATAATTCAATTTCACTTAGATCGTGGGGCTTCAGTTACATCCATCAAGTCTACGAGGAGATTATGATTGATTCCTTAAAATTGCCACATGTAACCTAATGCCCGCGATGAACATGCTTTAAGAATTTATTCAACAGAAATTGACACGTTTAATTCGGGCTGTAGTTTCTTTTAAAGTTGATGGATGACAGCTTTGCACCAACCCTCGATTGTAAGGGATAGTTTGATACCGTTTAAATGAAAATTCTCCGGATGCATTTCATAACTTTGGAAACCAAAAATAGTATATTAAGATACAAGTGTATAATCAAGTCTTTAAAGCACGCGCAACGAGTTTAAGGGCACGACGCAAAGCGGAGTGCCTTTAACGTTGCAAGTGCTTTAAAGACCAATTATACACGAGTATCTTATAGTATTTTTTATTATACCTGCAGTATAATTTAAAAATAGGGAATACAATGAAATCATATTGACGTTATACTCGAATACATGTCTAATTAAGTGGGCTGGGTGTTCGTAATTTCACGATTGCCATGGAAATGTCACTTGGCGTTTGATTATAAAAATCATCGTCTTTGTGAATTAAACGATTTCCGTTGAAAAAGATAATACACCGTCCATTAAATCGATTGTTGTAAAATCTAAACAAACGTTGGTAGGTGTAAAATCAAACTCCAGTAAAGCCTATTATAAAGAATATGAAAAGTTGTTTCCATGGATGAATAGGAAGTTACTTACGAATACAGTCTTAAATGCATCCATAATGCTGGCATAGATGAAGGAAATGTCAAAGGTATTTAAATCTTCTATATTTTGGTGCATTCATTCAAAACTTTAAAGCAATGCTGCGATTAAAAAGTGGAACAGATTTGGAAGCATATCCTAAATTACGCGCGTTTGTGAAAGCTTCAACCAAAGGATAGGTACAAAAGCCAAAGAAATGTTCTGCATTTACAGAAAGCGACCTAAGAGGAGTTTTTATTTCATTCAGATGACAGTTTCAAAAGTCATACTTGAAGTATCGTTACTTAGCAACTTTAAAGCACGTGTGTTTTAAAGGCCCTTTTTCGCACGCATTTGAGTGTTTAAAACGGAGATTGTGATTCAGGTATAATAAAAATAGTATATTAAGATACAAGTGTATAATCAAGTCTTTAAAGCACGCGCAACGAGTTTAAGGGCACGACGCAAAGCGGAGTGCCTTTAACGTTGCAAGTGCTTTAAAGATAAATTATACACGTGTATCATATAGTATTTTTTATTATACCTGCAGTATAATTTAAAAATAGGAAATACAATGAAATCATATTGACGTTATACTCGAATACATGTCTAATTAAGTGGGCTGGGTGTTCGTAATTTCACGATTGCCATGGAAATGTCACTTGACGTTTGCTTATAAAAATCATCGTCTTTGTGAATTAACCGATTTCCGTTGAAAAAGATAATACACCGTCCATTAAATCGATTGTTGTAAAATCTAAACAAACGTTGGTAGGTGTAAAATCCAACTCCAGTAAAGCCTTTTTTAAAGAATATGAAAAGTTGTTTCCATGGATGAATAGGAAGTTACGAATACAGTCTTAAATGCATCCATAATGCTGGTATATATGAAGGAAATGTCAAAGGTATTTAAATCTTCTATATTTTGGTGCATTCATTCAAAACTTTAAAGCAATGCTGCGATTAAAAAGTGGAACAGATTTGGAAGAATACCCTAAATTACGAGCGTTTGTGAAAGCTTCAACCAAAGGATAGGTACAAAAGCCAAAGAAATGTTCTGCATTTACAGAAAGCGACTTAAGAGGATTTTTTATTTCATCCAGATGACAGTTTCAAAAGTCATCTTGAAGTATCGCTACTTAGCAACTTTAAAGCACGTGTGTTTTAAAGGCCCTTTTTCGCACGCATTTGAGTGTTTAAAACGGAGATTGTGATTCAGGTATAATAAAAAATCACTTATTGCAACAATGATGTCCATGCACGTTAAGATTCAACTTTAATTTGTCGATGCGAACGTCCATAAACTGCCTAAAATTTGCTAATCATTCCGGTACCGGTACGTAAATGGGTCAAAGGATCGAGCAATTTAAAAATGTATAGAATCATATACGCCATCATTAATCAGTTAGTTCCTAAATGCTAATTAGGAAACTTGTTGTAAAAAGGCAAGGTCGGAGTTTTAATAGAGTGCAACTTTTAAACTAAGTGTTAGACACGTGCTGTTTTCCTTGTTTCTTCTGACACTAATATCTTGTTAGAAATTATTAGAATTATGAATTTTGAAGGATGAAACTGGTATCATCTGAGTCATTCTGGAAAATGAATTTATACCTTTTAAAAAAGTATCGTTACTTAGCAACTTTAAAGCACGTGTGTTTTAAAGGCCCTTTTTCGCACGCATTTGAGTGTTTAAAACGGAGATTGTGATTCAGGTATAATAAAAAAGCATTTTATATTTCTCTTCTCGTGCGAGTGTCAAACCAACACCAAATACTCATTAGATTTATATACATTTCGTGTCTATTATAATATATATTTCAACCAGTATTTAATTCAACATCTTCCACCCTATTGTTGGTAAAAAAGTTCTGCTTCCGCTGTTTTTATCTTTTTATAAGACTACATTTCGTATATTTCACGACCGTTTAGCAAAGAAAATGGAAGCGTTAATACTTCTGCTCTTTTAGCGAATTTATAGCTTGACAGAGTAATAAATTCCACATTATTCCGCTTGCGTTATCGATAGGCTAGGTTTACGACCTCATAGCACAAGTACCCTTCGTCAAAATTCTAAATAGAAAAACAGGGTGAATGATAAGAGTACCTATGTATTTTCTAGCACAAATTGTGCAATGGAGTAGGTAATTCTTCAAGATCTTTATTGTAAATCATTGACTTATTGTTGAACTAAGTGTTCTGTACAAACTTTGTGTAAAAGTATCAAGTAGTGAATGTTTTTAAAATAATTGCAGTTTTTGTATTCCATAAAATTAAAGCTTGTCAATTTGTATTATAATTTAATCTTTGATTTACAAAAATATAAGTAGCCGTTATGTATTTCTAGGTAAGATCCAGAGTACAATTTTCACACTTATGTACTTGCGAGGAAAATGATGGTCATCTGTGTACAATAAAACGTAATTGTACGTGTTTCTATTTTAAAAAACTTGATTTGCGCTGAACAGGTTTTCGAAAACGGTAGCTAACGTTAACATTGGTGGCGAAAATTTCAATTTTAGACCTATAATAATCGCAATTAATGTACTACTTATGAGTTATGACAATGTTTGCGGATTAATAATGCAACTAGGTCATTTTCTTGAAGCTTCATACAAGAACTTGCTCTATTTTCCTTTTGCAAACTGAAAAAATGGATTTCGACAAAATAAATTCGCAGTAAAAAGAAAATTCCATATTATTCTATCGAATAAAATAACAATTTGACTTACGTAAAGCTGCGATTGAGGAGTGGATTAGAAACGTGCTGCAGATAATGTACTTAAGCATCATTATTATAATGTTGCGTCTTGAAGTCTTGCACAAATATAAAGTACAAAAAACGCGGTAACTTATAAAATACGCTTGATAACCTTGAATTTTTGCACTTTTGTGGAATAAGTCGGTAAATAATTATGTTGGTCAAGTTAATTTAATGTCGTCTCGCAGCTGTAATTAAAATATCAATGCTAGGAGAGATGCCGTGCATTTTATTCTTATGGTCTACAAATGTAGATTAAGGACAAATGGGTTAGTTGTAACCAGTGTTCATACATTTATTGATGCAAAAACAAACATTGAAAGCTCACACTACCTACGGCTAAAGGACACATTCGCGCGTTTCAGAAAATATTTTTCTCCATTTTCGTTATATACTTATAGCATGCGGGTAAGTTGTTCTAAAATCGGTAACCAAATGTTTCCCGTGTGTAGACAATATTTTCAAACGGGGGATGTCCAAAAACGTATCTTTACAACAAAATTTGATGTGGCTAGTACAAATAGGTACCACCCGCACATTCCCTTCTATATCTAAGAATAAAGTGTACCAAGTTTGGTTCCAATCGGTTCAGCCGTTTAGCTGGAAGTGAGAATTTAACACACTTGCAATTCTGTCCAAAAGCTTTTCAGCTCTTCCTTTTATGTCTAAAAATATGTGTACTAAATTTGGTTCTAATTTGGTACCTAGTCGTTTAGCCGGAAATGAGAGTACAGACCCGGGTACAGACGGACCGATAGACCGACATCATCGAGAATTCTAGATGCTTCAAAACGTGTATTTTCGTCAAAAAATGGAGGGGGGAGGCTAATTTTTTACCCCAATACAATACCTCACTTATTAACGTGTAGCTTCGCGATAGTGATTGAACCAAAGTTATTCTCGTTCCCGAATTAAACATTACGCGACATTTTGACAATGTCGAGTTAGGAATCTGAACCACACTGTACACGATAGAAACCTACTATGAATTTTCAAATATTAAGCTAAAGAAACCTATGTGCTTTTTTGAAAGAATCGTATTCAAAATCACAAATGAGGTTAGGTTGGAATGGCCAAGTGTAAACAGGGGCGGACTGACCCGGGGGGGCGGGTGGCGGTTGCCACCTGGCCTGTAGATCATAATGGCCCGTTGGAAATTTATAAGTATGTGCTGTATTTAGTTTCTTGCACTATTAATAAATTATTAACACGTTTCTCTAATTGGGGTTGATATTAGGTTGTTAAAAAAATTCTGTTTTAATTGAAGTGTTTTACAATGAATTTATCATTTTTTGTCGTAGCATGAAAGTGCTGAAATACAATGATAGGCGACGCACCTCGTGTGGATTGTATATTTTGTTACTTTTAATTATCAGCTGCAATTTAAAAAAAAACTGTATGGTAATTTTCTATAAGAAAACTTTTTCCGGGTCGATCTGAGACAATTTTTTCTTCGGGGCTCAAAAAAAGGCAGTGTATTACCTTCCTTTTTTACCAAAAATCGACTACACCAAAATTCTCGGGAAAACACTTTTTCTTATTAATTTTGGGTGCGTAGAATCCAAAACAATTCGTACTTTTTCGATCAGACTTCTCAATCAAAAGTTATAGACTAGAAACCAATTTCGAAAGAAAATTCAAAGGGCTGTAACTTTTGAACTAGTAGCCCAATCTTGGAACTGTTTGAAATTATGGATTCTACAGGCCACATTCTATAAGAAAATTTTTTCCGGGTCGATCTGAGACAATTTTTTTTTCGGGGCTCAAAAAAGGCAGTGTATTACCTTCCTTTTTTACCAAAAATCGACTGCACCAAAATTTCTCGGGAAAACACTTTTTCTTATTAATTTTGGTGCGTAGAATCCAAAACAATTCGTACTTTTTCGATCAGACTTCTCAATCAAAAGTTATAGACTAGAAACCAATTTCGAAAAAAAATTCAAAGGGCTGTAACTTTTGAACTAGTAGCCCAATCTTGGAACTGTTTGAAATTATGGATTCTACAGGCCACATTCTATAAGAAAATTTTTTTTCCGGGTCGATCTGAGACAATTTTTTTTTCGGGGCTCAAAATTATTAACACGTTTCTCTAATTGGGGTTGATGTTAGGTTGTTAAAAAATTCTGTTTTAATTGAAGTGTTTTAGAATGAATTTATCATTTTTTGTCGTAGCATGAAAGTGCTGAAATACAATGATAGGCGACGCACCTCGTGTGGATTGTATATTTTGTTACTTTTAATTATCAGCTGCAATTTAAAAAAAACTGTATGGTAATTGATTTTCGAGAAAGGAGTACTTTAAAATGTTTTTGTGGTGCACCTCAGAGCTAACCCCCCCCCCCCCGCCACCTTCATTACTGCACTAATACTTTAATGGCCCGTAACCTATGCAATTCCACCTGACCCTTAAGTACCCAGTCCGCCCCTGAGTGTAAATCCCATAATATGCTTTCTCAAGTTTCTTAATTTGTGTGCAGATGTTGCAATAGGCTTTTGCAATAAATAGGGGTTGAACTTCTTTCCCTTTTCGAAATCAAAATGTTGTATTTCAAAGCAAATTCTTTATCAAAAATTTATTACTTTACCAATGGCTAGCTTTTTACATTACCCATTAGATACACCATCCCCATTTACTTCTAGAATTCCACAGTGCGAGAAAAAATTCACCGTACCCAGGTGCTCCCGATAGAGAGCAGACCCGCAGCGTTATTTAGGGGTGCGATTATGCCGTCTTTCAAGTTGACTCCCGCGTCTGGGCGCAGGGAAAAAATGCGTGTTATGACCAATTTTTAAGGGCTATAGTGAGCAAGAATAGGTCGAACGCCAGATGGCCAGACCTAAAGACGTCTAGCCGATTAGATTAGAATCGTTACATTCATCAAAGCACAGAAGAAAGAAATGGAGTCACCAATCTAACTAACTTTTCCTGATCAAAGGAGTGCTCTAATGCTGAGCTAGCAAGTGTAACCCAATAACACTAATTACAAAAAAACGAAATATGATATAAATGCCATTTCGGCTCGAGATGCTTCCGAAACCCATTAGGAAACAATGAGCCATTCAATTAAATGAAACGAAAAAAACGCCCTATTAGCACCGTGGTTGACTCGGTGAAATTTATATGATATGTAGTGACCAAATTGTTCTACTCTTAAAAGTCCCAAAATTAGTAACCTCATTGAATAAGTAATTATAGCAAGAAGTATTATTCTGTAGTATAAATCGTATAAAGATATTTGAGTTCGCCGCTAGACTTGGCTGCACCCTTAAAAAAATTCTAACATTTCTTGTACCTATACCTAAATGATATTCAAGAGTTTCATTGAATTAATAGATTCTTTGTTACAGGGCTTCTGGTTTCATCGACACTTGATACACAGTTTTGAGAGTCAAATGGATTTTTTAAAATGATTATTATTATTAAAACTACAGTATATTTGTCGCTATATTCCTTCTCCCTGACATTTTAATCGGCGTAATAGGACAAGTAACATAGTATTGAAAATCCTTCCCTTCTCAGAACTTAATCATCAACTTTGTAATGGGTCGTTTTAATAAAGCGGTTGAGAGATAACCATACGGTTTTAGAACAAGGAAGATTTTGGCCTCAAATTGGTCCCTGCATTTTACATACGACTTTAAACATACGCAATTCTTGTATCGAGTTAGAGATATCTCTTCTGTCATTAGACGACCAGGTTGGTTCTTTAGGCACATGTATGTGTGTTGCTTTCTGAACAATCTCAAACCCGAAAAGCAAGATAAAATGAATTTATCAAGAGTAAACTTATACATATATCATGGTTTCAAAAAGAATCGCAGCATTCCTGAGATTCCACTAGCCGTTACCAATTCTAAGGGCGTTTGTCTGCCAGAAGTGCTTGAGAGCGATGCATTAGCCTCTGTTAATCCCAGGATTTCGTGTCTCTTGTTGATAGCTGAACTGCATGCTGAGCTTAGCGTAGGAATATCTGCTCGTCCTAGTAATCTGAAGTTAAAAGACCGGGTATCCGAGAGCCCTGCTGGCTTTTTAGACACAGTGAGTGTGAAACGTGGCTGTGATTTTAACCATTGGATAAAACTTTTCAAAATACGAGCTACTGTCACCCGTTCATCAAAGAGTGCCTGTAAACGGCCCCTCCGTTGTTAACACATCTCAAATTCTTTAACATGAGTTGGCGTCTTGATTCCGGAAGGTTTTTGCATTTGGTTAAATAATAAAGTTTTAGGGGTTGTGATCGCAGCGCCAAGGAATGGAGATTAAACAAACTATAATAGGTATAGTTCTAGGAATGGGAAAGTAGTCAAAAGGATTTAGTTTGTTGTAGTAAATTACCTACGTATTAACAATAAATAAACGTAGTCAATTTTCAAGGCGTACGCTACACTATAAATTATTGTAGGTTTCACAAATATTTATTGATTTCAGACTTAAATCGGTAATTTGTTTTCTACGAGTATGTTAGGCTATTGGAGGAAATATTAACAAAACAGTAATTATTCATTTAATTCGTTGGATTCTCTTCAGCTTCATCAGGTTAAACGTATTTTAGATTCAGCCTCTCACAATTGTGGAAGGTTGCCAACCACCTCCTTCTACCACTAAAGGGAATAATTATCGCATTTAAGCGGACCAAAGAGGATTTATTATAAGAGACAAAAAATCAGCTTGGCAAAAATTATTGTTTGGATGTCCTAGTTTAGTGAGACAAATGAAATGTTGACTGTTCATTAATTATTGCGACGAAATTTGGCTCCAAATTAGTGGGAGACGTTCGCAAAACGCTCTCTAGATGTTCCTCAGTCATCCTGTTTGTTTTTACAAATGTAGATGACTGGTACTAACCGCGGGCCGGATCGAACTATGTCGCGGGCTGGATTTGGCCCGCGGGCCGCTATTTCCTCATCCCCCGGTTACAGTATACTACTTAGGTTAGGGGAGAAATCTTGTATCAGGAGAATACAATGTGAGAGGAGGTGATCAAAAGTTAGGATAAAGTATGAGTGAGGTTAGGTTAGAGTTCTCGTTAGGTTAGGTGAGAAATCTTGTATCAGGAGAATGTAATGTGCGAGAAGATTGTAGGTTAGGATAAAATATTAGTGAGGTTAGGCTAGAGTGCTAGTTAGGTTAGATCATAAATCTTGTATCAGGAGAATATAATGTGCGAGAAGATTGAAGTTTAGGTTAAAATTTGAGTGAGGTTAAGTTAGAGTGGTAGTTAGGTTAGGTCAGAAATCTTGTATCAGGAGAATATAATGTGCGAGAAGATTGAAGAGTAGGATAAGATATTAGTGAAGTTAGGTTAGAGTGATAGTTAGGTTAGGTCTAATTTTATTCTTCTGATACAAGATTTCTCTAACCTAACCTAACCTCACTCAAATTTTAACCTAAACTTCAATCTCCTCACCCATTATATTCTCCTGATACAAGATTTCTTACCTAACCTAACTATCACTAAAACCTAACCTCACTAACATTTTATCCTAACCTTCAATCTCCTCGCACATTATATTCTCCTGATACAAGATTTCTTACCCACCCTAACTACCACTCTAACCTAACCTCACTAAAACTTTAACCTAAATTTCAATCTCCTCACACGTTATGTTCTCCTGATATAAGATTTCTGACCTAACCTAACTATCACTCTAACCTAACCTCACTAATATTTTATCCTAACCTTCAATCACCTCCTTGGACATTATATTCTCCTGATACAAGTTTTTGACAAGTTTAAGACGAAGTAAGGCGTTGAAATATTTCTGTGAGAGTTGGGTTTACATCGTGAGCACCGTGTCGTTTGAAAAGGTGATGGACGAGCACGGTACGGCCTCGGTGAACTATTTGAGGAGCTCTTCATTGACCGCTAAGCTTTGAAATTTCTTCGACGCGTGTAGAGTGCGTGCGTGGATGTGTAGGTGCGTGCGTGCGTGAGTGTGTATCCGCCAACCCCATTCTCAGCGTCCATCTACGCCTTTGCCACCTCTCACACTCAAATACTGCGTGCTGAAGTGTCTATATGCTCGAGGTCCCCACAAGTGTCGTCCCGTCGTGTCTGTAGGTAGCCAGAGCATATTTTAGATAATAGTCAGGGAGACATTTCTGAAAAGTGCATGGTCTAACGGCGTTTTGTGCTACAAACTGGCAACAGGCGGTTCTAGACTAATTGGTCCCCGCTGAAAACGATGCGCCCTGTTGCCAGACCCGATTTTGGCATTTAAGCCCTTAAATCCAAGATGGCGGGCGAAATTACCGTTTTTCGGTTATTTCGAGCCCACAAGGCACGCCACTGAACGTTTTGGGTAGTTTAAGGGTAGAATATCATCTAGTCGACATCGTTTAGGCACACTTTCGTATTCATATTAGGGGCCTAAATGCCAAAACTCCGCTTAAAAACGTCAAAAATGCAAAAATTCGTCATTTTTTTTTCTGGCCGGTTGTCGGCGGCCAATATGTATTCATATTACAATTATATTCTATTACAATTTAAGTATGTGGAGACCTCCAGCAGCGCCATATGCCTGGGGCCTAAATATCAAGATGGCGCCTGGAAAGTCCAAAAAACCGTGAAAAAGTCGTATTTTTACTACACTGGCCACAAATTCCCCATTTCGATGACCTGGAGCCATAATATGAGAATTGCGAATGTCATTCTGGATGTTACACAACTGAAGGGCTTAACTGCGGAAGTGGGGACTCGTCTCCTATAAACTTTAACTATGGAACCAAGAGGCAGAAGTTGGTTTGGCGGCGTAATTTGAGGGTAAATATATTAAAACATGGTTCCCAAGTTTTCTTTGATTTTTTTAAATTAAAACGTAACACTTGGCAGTCGAAACTGTTTAGAATATTGAGCACTAATACTATGAAAAACAAGAAGGTATTATGCAAGAATAAGAACGTTACAGAGTTAAACGTTGTCTCTTGAAGCACTGACGTTTTCTCTCTGGATTGTTTTTGGCATATTACACATAGACTAGGTACTGTTAAAATCACCACCAGAGGATGATTCATGCTGCATGGCCTAGGGAAAACTGAAACAGTCAAATGGAAGTCATCACCGCGAAAGAAGACATGAGCACCATTCTACGATCAATAGAGATGTGGCCTAACGTTTGAATAGAGCATCTTCATGCGTTAGAATGTAATGTGACATCATGTTAAATTAGTATGAACGAGCTTAATGTTAATGTAAAATATGTTAGAGTGAGTCGTTAAATCCCAGGTTAAATCCCAAAAAGACACAAAACCTTCCCCATACTATTTTAATCTCGATTTTAATAAACAAATTGTAAAAGCTGCGACTAGTTTCGACCAACGGTCATCTTCTGGCTTAAGGAAATTACAGAATAAAACTTGTTAAAATATTTTAGAAGTACACATTGCAAAATTTGAAGGTTGCCAGTGTAGTAAAACTACGGCAAAAAGAACGACTTTTTCACTGTTTTTGGACTTTCCAGGCGCCATCTTGATATTTAGGCCCCAGGCATATGGCGCTGCTGGAGGTCCCCACATACTTAAATGTTAACTTGACCATATGAATGCATATTGGACGCCGACAACCGGCCAGAAAAAAAAATGATGAAGTTTTGCATTTTTGACGTTTTTAAGCGGAGTTTAGGCATTTACGCCCTTAATATGAATACGAAAGTGTGCCTAAACGGTGTTGTCGTGCGTGTACTAGATGTTATTCTACCCTTAAACTACCCAAAACGTTCAGTGGCTGTCTTGTGGGCTCGAAATAACCGAAAAAGCGGCAATTTTGGCCGCCATCTTGGATTTAAGGGCTTAAATGTCAAAATCGGGTCTGGCAACAGGGCGCATCGTTTTCAGCGGGGGCAAATTAGTCTAGAACCGCCTGTTGCCAGTTTGTAGCACAAAACGCCGTTTGACATGATTTAGAGAGCCTTTTTCAGAAATGTCTCCCTGACTATAACTTCCACTAGGCGCTCCACACTCCAGTGTAAAATTTTTTGGGGCCTCAGTCGCCGCACTAGGATACCTTTCGGGCAGACCACCAACTTGCATTTGAAAGATAACTGAAAAGTTTTTGCCACTGGTATCCTTACACACTACTGGGCGACAAGAAGTCTTTATTAGGCGACACTTTATAGCTTAAAATATGCTCTGGTTTAATATGAAAGCATCCGCGTAATACGGGAAGTAGTTTTAAATACTCTTCGTTATCTTCATTTACGTTACGTTATTCACATCTTTATGTGGAAAAAAAAGTACGAAATTACCCTCCAATTCTCTAAATCCTGAAGCTGCAGCACCAGAACAGGTGTTATTTAGAAAAATAAGTGATGCAATGAAATGAGAAATTGTTTGCATTTTGCATTGCATTTACAATTACATTGTTCGCTACTAGTTCTATTCTCCTAAAAAAACGCTCAACGCCAAGTCTTTTTTAGTTTTTCTAAAGGCGTACTCTTTTTTTCTATACAAAACACCTCAATTCCCTTTGCCTGTAAAAAAATTACACTAACCAATATCTTAGAACGATATTGTTAATATTGACTAATTTAATTTATAAACATGGATCATTTGGTATTTACAAATCAAAACCTATATACATACTAAGATAAGCTTGTTGGTACAAAAATAATAGTAGGTACTCACTAGGGGGAACTGGATGATTGTGCATATTAATAAGTAACAATTACAAATATGATTGAAGGTATACCGTTTCGTTCTGACTGGTTTGAAACTAATTATTTACATTATAAAAAATCATCGACATATATTTGCATAACTGTGAAATTACGCCATCCACTTGCACTTTCAATCGAATATATTGTGGTAACTAGCAAGTGGAAGACACCCATCCGTCTAGACCGAATGCAAATATTGCATTGTAATTGACTTACGCATTGTACGCTAAACGAATGGGTCCAGTTTCAGTACTTCTAATGCTAAGTGGGGTAACTTTACTTTTGTGACTTTTATTGCGGAAGTAGATCTTCAGCGGGTGTGGCAGCCAACCCTTTCTCGACTACTACTTTGAAGAAGTTAGTCAAGGTTTCAACATACAGTGGGTTCACCAAATCCATAGTTCTTCGTGGATTCTCGTTGTAAAAGTTCGAAATTATGTCAACTAAAAGGCGATCCTTATCTTTGACATTAAAGCGAGGAATAATACTCACCGGCAAATTGATCTTGAGGATTTGTTGAGGTCATTTTAATGTGCCCGTCGGCAATCGTGCTTTTCGCTTTAAATTTATCGAGAGCGAAGTATTTTACTCCATTTCTTACAACCGTTTTTAAGCTTCCCTTAAAATGGCTCACTGTATCGCCTATAAAACAACAGGTTCAACTCGTTTCCGCAATAGTCGCGTTTCTTACTGAAGTTTCCTCGGAAGAATCCTTCATTCTTCAGCGGAATTGCGAAAAGCTGCCCTACCACCTTAAAGTCCATTTCCAAATGCGTTAGCGGAATTGTAAATTTAATTTCGCCCGCCATTTTTTCCAAGTCCATTCTTTAATCAGAGGTTATAGTACGGGGGTGGTGCAATAAATGGTTACTTACTTAAAATCGTTGACATAAGTGGAAGAGAGGCCGGTAACTTTGATGTTTTTCATTACCGCTTCGACGCTGAAAAATTCGTTGAGGGTTCTGTTAACCACCATTAAGGGTATTTCAATAGGATCCAGTTTGGGAACTCCATATTTTGGAATTCCTTTCGACAGGTGCACTCCTACCTTGTTGAAACTCTTAAGCACGCATCCCCTAAAGTCTTTGTCGGATCTTTTACATGGCTCGGGAAGAGGATCCGCTGAAAATAGGAAATTGCCGAAATTTGAATTATGTGTGTGTGTAGATTTCGCAACGTTCATAAATAAATTCGGTAAGTATGTTGTCATTTTGTAATATGTTTGTAGAGTAATTTGGAACCATACAAATAATTACTCAAGTTGCCCCATAAAAGTGTTCGAAGTGCGCGGACGTGTTTTAAGCATTTAAGTTAATTTAAATAGAAATCCTGCACAAAAGTAAAATTTTGTTAATGCGAAAGTGTGGAAACCTGAACGGTGTAGATTGGAATTTGTCGTCAAAAACGAAATCCTAAAACCACTTCAAATGGAGCTCAATACAACCACGATGCAAAATGACAATTAAGCAAATAGAACACTCGCATCAACAAATTGAATGGATTTATAACTTTCGTTTAATCAAGACGCAAAACAGTTTTGATTACATCATTATAAATATGAATAATTATGCCCCATTAAATATTAAGGCTTTACCTTTTCAAACTAAAAGCAAAGGCATCCCTGATTTCCTAATAAGGTGTTGCCAATAAAAATTAGCATAAAAAAGAACTAATATATGCAGCTATTTCAAATAATTGATACGATATACTTTTAATCTTGCTGTAAGATCCCGTGTTCACACCCATTCACCCAGTTTCGATAATTGAACAAGGTGACCAACTGTCAATTGTGGGTTAAAAGGGCCTTCATGTACTTGAGAAGGTTTATAAATGTTCACATTATAGTCAAATCAAAGAATGAGGATAAGCAGAGTATCAAAGGATATCATTACTTACGTAACGTCTTCGAATGTGCACCCAAAAATTGAGTAACAACACATATAACTACTACGAACAACTTCATTTTATGCAATATTGGATTAAAGATTTAAAGCACCTTGTATTTATAAGTTAGCAGAAGCCTGGTGGTGGTAGTTAACCTTAAGCCTAAATTCATATACCTATTTGTAATCGAACTTCAAAATCGTGAAAGCACAATTAGGTACAATGGAAATAATAAAACTTTGTTGTGTGTATACATTTATTCCCATTTCTCATTTTAACGACTGCGTTCGATAATTATTATTCTTGTTTCTTTTATTAGCACAATCACTTATAGTGTAATGTAAGAGTGTGTTGACCTTTTACTTGCAATTGTGTGTTACTCTCACTTTCTTCCACCTAATAAGCGGCTTTCTTATTTAACTATCGCTTAAGGATCTGTGGTATAGGCATGTAGTGCAATTCCTCATTCTATTACACTTTCATCAATTGAAATCGTCATTCGCTTTTATTTTGTTTCCGGAAGAATTTGATTGTTTACATTTGCATCATTCAAAAGGGTTGTTTCCATGCATCTTCATTTTGACTTTTATTTTATTCGAAGCGTTTTTATACGCAATACAATAATGCCATTTTGCTCCTGTGAAAATAAAGAATTTGGACCCGGGACCTTCGATAAGATGCCACCTTTGCTCTGACTGCAGTCGACGACATCAACAAACAAGGATCAAACGATTCGCCCTCGTACTGCCTCCGCTGCGTTCACCTCCATCTCAACTGCCGTCCCAAATTGACTCCATCAACTAAGAATGCTCGAGAGGCCCTGGAGGTCTAAAGCGGCACAGGTCCTCCGCACACCCTTCTCCGCCTTGGACCGAAATCGTATCCTTCTTTGGGAAGAACCACTAGGAAGTCAGAATCACACCCCTTAAAAAAATTACACCTGTCTTGAAGCGAAGAGGAGCAAGAATTACAGCCGCCCACAAACTTACAAGCATAACCGAAGACGTGATAAGAGAGAATGACCAAACTTCCCGGGGGAGTCTACACACTCTCGCCTTCTTTGTCAAGAAGCATTTTACAATGAAAATTTGAATGCGGAAAGATATTTGGACACTCTTACTCGAAAATCTTCCATTAGAAGAATTGGCGAGTGCTTTTTACCAACAAGATTTCGGATTATCTGGAGCGAACCTGAATCAGTTATTTAGGTCTGGCTCGATCTTTCGCCCGCAGACATTTGTCTTTGGAGAACTATCAAAGATATGGGCATGTTTAAACCAAGAGGGAGGAATATTTGAACACATTTTAAAACGTCAAATCTAGATATTCGATACTTTTGTTACTTTTATTTGATATCTTTTCAATTATTGAGTTTCTTCATTAAATCGGTAAATTAAAATTTTATGAAATATTAGTGCAGGGGTTAAGAGCCAAAATAGGTTTCAACCTTGCATTTCGTGATAACTTTATGAAACTTTCAGAGGATGCTCTAGACACCCTAAGGTTTAATTTCAGCTATGCCGCCACCCCCGAAACCCCGGACGGCAACCTGTAAAGCACAAAAAGTCTTCTAAAGTGCCTCAAAAATCATAGTACATTTTTAACGAAAAAAGTTTAACAATTATTTAAAAAATAATTCGCCGTTATCAGTTTCATTAACAAAGTAAACAGAGTCGTCCCCTTGGTCGACAAATTCCTCAGTTCCGCAAATCCCGCGGGATCCCGCTCCATTTATGTGCGGGATTAATCTCGCAAAAATGCTGCGGGATCCCGGTATTTCGGGATCCCGCAATCCCGGTATTGCATTCCCTAGTTTCTAGTCTATAACTTTTGATTGAGAAGTCTGATCGAAAAAGTACGAATTGTTTTGGATTCTACGCACCAAAATTAATAAGAAAAAGTGTTTTCCCGAGAAATTTTGGTGTAGTCGATTTTTGGTAAAAAAGGAAGGTTATACACTGCCTTTTTTTGAGCCCCGAAAAAAAAATTGTCTCAAATCAACCCAGAAAAAAATTTTCTTACAGAATGTGGCCTGTAGAATCCATAATTTATACCTAGACTAGAAACCAATTTCGAAAGAAAATTCAAAGAGCTGTAACTTTTGAACTAGCAGCCCCAATCTTGGGACTGTTTGAAATTATGGATTCTACAGGCCCCATTCTATAAAAACAATTTTTTTCCGGGTCGACCTGAGACAATTTTTTCTTCGGGCCTCAAAAAAAGGCAGTGTATAACCTTCCAAGATTGGGCTACTATTTCAAAAGTTACAGCCCTTTGAGTTTTCTTTCGAAATTGGTTTCTAGTCTATAACTTTTGATTGAGAAGTCTGATCGAAAAAGTACGAATTGTTTTGGATTCTACGCACCAAAATTAATATGAAAAGGTGTTTTCCCGAGAAATTTTGGTGCAGTCGATCTTTGGTAAAACAGGAAGGTTATACACTGCCTTTTTTGAGGCCCTCAAAAAAAATTGTCTCAGACACTTTGATTGAGAAGTCTGATCGCAAAAGTACGAATTGTACAAAACAAACCCTGGATATACATTTTTGACCCATTTTATGGGCGGGTATTGAAATGCTACCTTGCACTTAAGAAACCCGCTATAGCAAGTGCCGTCCGGGGTTGCGGGGGTGGCGGCATAGCTGAAATTGAACCTTAGGGTGTCTAGAACATCCTCTGAAAGTTTCATAAAGTTATCACAAAATGCAAGCTTGAAACCTATAACCCCCGCACCATATGTTGTGAATTTTATTTTGAACGATTCTTCATTGAGTGGTTTTGTCTTCTCATATGAAATTCAAATAAAAAGTCACCTATGGGGTATCGTTGTACTCCTTGCTGAAATTCGGAATGCAATGCTGCGGCTCTAAACTACTTTCGGATCACGAGAAAGCTCTTATTTTGACAGAGAACCTAATTTTTTCGTAAATTTTAAGGACTTCTTAAGTCTGAAAGTTGCGGGAATGAGGCTACGTTGAAATCAATTCCTACTGTACTCAAAGTAATCTTTAAATTGGGGCATGTAACTCCATCCCAGTGACTTTCTGGCGTGAAAATTTAACACAACATCTAATCGAAACGATACGAAGTATCAGCTCAGTTATAACTGAAAAGTAACGTAACATTCCTTCCCTTTTCGAGAAAGTGTTGTGTGAAATGTGTTTATTCCTGTAATAATCGATTTTAAAGCTTTAAAAGGGCGATTCATAGGTACTATATTCATGATTACAACTTCCAATTAAAGTTGACAACGAGACATTAACGCGAACATTCCCAATGCGTATAGTTTTTAAGCAGATTTAAGATTTTCATTGTAGGTAACAAGGTCAAAATAAACAAGGGTATAAAAATACATCACAAATGGGAAATGCTATATGATTACAAATAATTATAGTAACGACTCTTTAATTGTTTAATATTCACCAAGAGTAGATCAACTTTTCCAGAAAAAAAGTTAAATAACAAGCACTTGACAGTGACACATTGTGTCCTCATTCATCTAAGTTACGCAAGTCATTCATTTTCCATCAACAATTACCTCAGCAGCTACGCTAAATTTTAAGGTACCTACATAATTTAGTATAATGTTGATTTAATACGGGAATAATTCTTTATGAGTGAACCTAAGCGTAATTTTATTAGCAATGTTCGTGAATTTTTCCGATAGCGCCTGCTGCAAGTTAGGTAAAATTTCGCTAATGAACAGGTTAGAGTTTTCGTTAACAACGTCGCTTGTCGCCTTTCCCAGAACGGGATCGCCGTTGAATAGGTTTTCCAGTCGGATGCTTGATGTGCCCACTTCGATTTTCAATCGCATCTTCTCGAATTCGAGAAACTCCTCTCCTCCCTTCGATATTTTATTTCCCTTCAACTTGCACTCGAATTTGTAGTTGGCTAAAATTGCATTGCTTGGTTCAACTAGGGGTAACGTGCAGGGTACTTACTTATGTTAATGAATGCGGGCCCTTCCCCTTTCAGGTTAAAGAACAGGACTCGAGCGTCCGCTTTGTAACGCCCAACTACGTTTAACTCGGGCAGAAGAACTTTGAATTTAAACACGTTCTTGTTCAGATTTGGCCTGAAATAGAGACCGGTAAGCAACCTCAGGTTACATCAATCGACCATCTTACTTCAATTCCAGAATGATAAAAGACGTGGGCCCCCAAATTTCCAAATTTGATAAAGTTGCTTCAATACGAGTCGCGTCATTTCCACTTTTAAGGTCGACGGCATCCAACAGCAGTGGCTCTAACGGGGGTACGTCCAATTCCGGGATGCCTTTTTTGAGGTACGGTTTAAGAATGGTAATTGAGTCGTTGATGCAATTGCTTAATTTGGGATCATCGCGATGACAAACTTTGATATATGAAGCTAAAAGAAAAGGAAAGTAAGTAGAAAGTGAAGAACTGACCGTGAAAGTATTAAAATAAATATCGATTTATAAAATTGATTTCTTTCTCTCTCTAGCTTTCTGTTACATAAAGTTTAGTGGATAATGCCAGTTGTAACATATTGTTATCCATTTATTCAGCACTACTGATGCATATACAATTAGCCACATGTTTCTGACTAATTAACCAAGCGAGGAAGTGCATACAAGTGGATTGCAAGTGACATAATGCAGTTAGATAAGAGTGAAACAAAGGAATGAAAACCGTAGTGTGCAACATGCATACTTTTTCACAAACGTCTTCCTGCGAAGTTATGCAATGTAGAAGTCCCAATTTAAAATAACATACGTAACAAAATCAAGAATCAAATTCTTCGCAAATGGAATTATATAAAATATTAATTTTATATTCATTTCGTAATAACAACAAATATTTGCGTAAATTTGCAATCTTAATGCAATAGTTGGTGATGGATTGTCACATACCTACATTAGGCAACCAAAGGCACTAAATATAAATCATGAAACTTACGTATCGTACAATTAGTCCACAAAACAGCAATACTTAAAAGCACAAGCACGTGCGTTAACAAAGTTACCGAACTCATCTGGAACCAACGTTTGTGACGTGCACGCTCTTTGACAAAATAACTCAATTTCTTGTAAACTTATTTATATAGGTAAGGTGGTGCACACTGTAGAGATGGAGGTCTCGATTAAAAACTAACCCACAAAGGCTAACTATTGGTTTTAATGCGTTTTCAAAGGTACCTCTACTTTCCAAAGTCAAAACTGTAAACGCATTTAAAATCGTTTAGGGTTTAATTTGCCTGCCATTTTAATGAGACAATCGATTTCACTTTTCGCATATCTGTTAAGGTACCTACGCTGTAATTCAATACGCATAATTTCCTTGAACTAAAACGGCCATTTCCTGACACTAATTTCCTAATTATATACGATATACCTACCTATCCCTGGAATGTGGAAAACGTCTTCATTTTTTGAGAACTCCACGAGTTCTTTGGTAAACGCGCAAACGAAGATGCGTTTCGTTGTTTCTTGACAATTATTTACTGCAACGGAATGTAAACACTAATGACCAATGTAGAGTTTTGCATAATGACTTTCTACCGAAATTGCATAAGAGACCTTGGCTTGAATACTCAATAAGAATGTTGAGAAGCTTCTGGTACAGTTAATGAGCTACTGTGTGTGACAAAATGCTGAAGCGCAAACCGTGACAGTAGGATTCATCTCCCTAACACCAGGTAAGGTACCTACTAGTCCTTGGCAGTAAAAATGTTAGATACTCTTTTATGCCAATAATATTTCATTGGTCGTGTTGGTAATTTTACATCTGCTACTACGAAAATGTGCAATAGTACATTTTTTAAAGTAGGTATGTACTGCTACAGGCTACAGCTACCATGATATAAAATTACGCTAACACACACAAACCTATCAGATCACTCTTTTAATTCAAACCTGAGTTCTTGTTTTATGGATGAAATTGCTAAGAAAATTTACCACCCTATAACGGAATATGAGAAATTAATTCTTTTCAATGTGGTCCGGGAAGAAAGCTGGAGATTTGTTTCGGATAAATCTATATAGATTCGAGTATCGAAATCCAAATGCTCATCGATAACATCTATGATGAGTATGTGAATAGAAAAGAAATATACAGGTAAAGCTTCCACACTACATTATGGTCGTTTGTTCACTCCACAATTAGAGAAAATGCATGTAAGCAAAATCCTACAGTTTCTACAAAACTCTAATTACGCAAATACAAAGCCATGTACAAAACTGAATTCCACAAATAAAATTCTTCTTCCTCAGTTCGTTTCTGGTACATGTTCAATCCTTCTCTTTATAATCTTTAAAATACATCTTTCCTCTCCAATTCTACTTAATACCTCTACATTACTCATCTCATCAGTCCATTTGATGTTCATCATTCTTTTCCATATCCACATTTCAAAAGCTTCTGTAATGTATTGGGTTTTTCCCAAAATTGATATTCGACTTCGCCGTACAATTAAGTATGGAATAAACTAAAATAAATAAATAAAGTACTGCGACTATTCTTGTCATCGTTGCAACAAGAAAGGACATCTGGCATCCGTTTGTCCAGTAAAATCATCTTCGCAACATCCACCAGGGTCGTCTCACCGCAAGTCTAAAAGTAAGGTACCGTCGAATGTTAATCATTTTATGGACGAGGAAAATGCTAGTGAGTTTGAAAAAATGTCATTGTTTTCAATTACTTCTAAGCAAAATGTGCCTATAATGATAAGCGTATTGGTCGAAGGTGTAGAACTGGAATTTCAATTAGATACTGGGTCTAGTATATCTGCAATTTCGTATCAATTGTACAGAGAACTTTTCTTTAAGTTTGCGCTTATCGAAACCGATAAGTCATTGTATTTTTATAATGGTGTCAAAATACGACCATTAGGATATCTTAAGTTAAAAATTACCTACAAAAATAAGGTTAATTATTTAAACTTTTTTGTTATTGAAGATGGTAGCTGTCCTATTTTAGGCAGAGATTTTTTGTATTCTTATAATTTAAATATTTGCGATAAGAATGCGAGCGTAAATTTTGTTAATGCAGATTTGGAACAAATAATTTCCAAATATTCTAACGTTTTTGCACCAGGTCTTGGTAAATTTAATAAAGGGGTGTTTACGTTGCAATTAAAAGAGACCACTGTAACACCAAAGTTTCACAAACCTAGACCACTGCCATATGCGTTAAGAGATAAGGTAGAAAAGGAATTAGATAACTTAGAAAAGTTAGGTGTGATATCGTCTGTAGATTATAGTGAATGGGCTGCACCCATTGTGTGTGTGTTAAAAAAAGACGGTAATGTACGTATTTGTGGAGACTTTAAAGTTACCTGCAATCCATATTTGATAGCGGATTTTCCTTGTATTCCACGAATCGAAGATTTGTTTAGTACGTTACAAGGTGGAGAATTTTTCTCTAAATTAGATTTATCACAGGCATACCAGCAAGTGGAATTAGACGTAGCTTCTAAACAATATGTTACTATATCTACTCATAAGGGTCTTTATAGATATAATAGGCTTCCATATGGAATAGTTTGCGCACCAGCAAAATTTCAAAAATTAATTAATAGCATTTTACAAGGGCTACCTGGAGTCATAGCATTTTTAGATGACATCCTTATTACTGGGAGCAATGTAAATGAGCATTTGAATCGATTAAAATCAGTCTTAAGTAAATTACAAGATTGTGGTTTAATATTAAGTCGTAATAAATGCTGTTTTTTTTTCAAAAATCAGTTCAATATTTAGGATTCGTAATTGATAAGGATGGTTTACATCCTACTGAAGATAAAATCCTAGCGATTAAGAATGCACCAATTCCAACTAATGTAACACAGCTAAAATCTTTTTTGGGACTTGTAAATTTTTATGGTAAATTTGTTCCTAATTTAGCAACGCTGTTATACCCTTTATATTGTTTACTTAAAAAAACTGTAACTGGAGTTGGACTTCAAATTGTCAAAGGTCATTCGAAAAAGTAAAACTTATTTTGTTGTCTGCTGATGTGTTGGTTCACTTCAATCCAGAATTGAAAATTAATTTGTCTGTGGATGCATCACAATACGGTATAGGTGCAATCCTTTCTCACACGTTTGAGAATGGAAGTGAAAAACCTATTGCCTATGCATCCCGTTCCTTGAATGAAGCAGAGAAAAAATATAGTCAAATAGAAAAGGAAGGTTTAGCGATAATTTTTGGGCTTCGAAAATTTCATCAATATCTTTATGATAAAAGATTTACTTTGGTCACTGATCATAAACCTTTAATTTCTATTTTCAATCCGAAGAAAGGTATACCTCAATTTTGTGCAAATCGTTTAAAACGATGGGCAGTAATATTATCGAATTATAATTATGAGATCGAATTTGTTCGTTCTGAACATAATATGGCGGATAGTTTATCTCGATTACCTTCTCCGTCACAGGAAACTGGGGAATCTGATTTTGATTATTGTAATTTTTTTGAAACGAACAATGATTTTCCTATCGATTTTAAGTTAGTTAAAGATAAAACTCAACAAGATAAACTTTAACAGAAATTATAAAACGGGTTAGGTATGGTTGGCCTGAAAATGTTAGTTTGAAACATGATAATAGTGATCTTAAATGCTACTTCATTCGTAGAAATGAATTGACCATTGTAGATGATTGCCTTTTGTGGACAGATAGGTTAGTTATTCCCACGGAATTAAGGAGCATTCTCTTAAATCAATTACATTTAACCCATATGGGTGTAGTAAAAATGAAAAGTATGGCTAGATCGTATTTTTGGTGGCCAAATATTGATAAGGACATAGAGAATACTGCTAAATTTTGCCAATCCTGTATATTACATAAAAAGTCACCTTCAAAAGCAAAATTATCTCCATGGAACTGGCCAAATTCTCCTTGGGAGAGACTACATGTTGACTTTATGGGACCATTTCTTGGCAAACACCTTTTCATAATTCTAGACGCTCATAGTAAGTGCATCGAAGTATTTCCATTGACTACAATTACCAGTAGTTCCACAATTCAGGTACTGCGTACCACCTTTGCAAGATATGGCCTTCCTAAACTGTTAGTTTCAGACAACGGTACCGAATTTGAATCTCTCGAATTTAAACAATTTTTAAGTAAAAATGGAATCAAATTTATGACCTCGCCTCCATATTCCCCTCATTGTAATGGAGCCGCAGAAAATGCGGTAAAGACTATTAAGAATGCACTTAAAAATGCACTAGGTAAAAACACCAAACTTGATTTAAATATAATTTTAACTAATTTCTTGTTTGACTATAGAAACACTAACCATTGTACAACAGGAGTATCCCCCGCATATTTAATGTTAGGTAGGAATGTAAGAAATAGATTTAGTTTAATTAAGCCAAACGAAATTGTAACAAGTAGGGTTAAAGCTAGTCAGGTTAAGCAGTGCAAACATTATAAGGGAAAAAGTGCAGTGCGTTATGAACCGGGCGAAGAAGTGTTGGTGAAAGATTATCGTGTACCCAATAAACCAGTTCAGGGATTAGTTTTAAAGCGCCGTGGTAATTGTACTTATATAGTTAGAGTTCCTGAAATTGATAAAATTTGGAAACGTCATTGTAATCAGCTGCTGAAATTTAAACCAGCTTGTAGTCAGCCAGCAATTCCTATGTCAAATTCAGAGACTTCATCTATAACCAACCAGATACCTACCACAGGATGTAATTAGTGATAGTGATATTGACAATGTAGGTACCATTAGCATTAAGTAGGGAGAGAAGACCGATCAAACCACCGGATAGGTTTATGTCATAAATTTAAGCTGGACGAGTGTAATGTATTGGGTTTTTCCCAAAATTGATATTCGACTTCGCTGTACATTGTACAATTAAGTATGGAATAAACGCTGTGTAAAGTAACATGCTTGTTTCCTTCTCCGGCCCCGTGCAAATACAACAGCTTCCAATATTTCCTGATCTTTTTTCATTGCTGTCCACGTTTCACGACAGTAAATTAGAACAATCCATACAAAACTCGCATCAAGGGCTCCTTCAAATCTCTGATTTCATTTATTTACTGCATCGATGTTACGATTCGGGCATGGATTTTTGTAAATCTATAAATGGGTTGGGTTGGCAGAGCAACCTTGGCTG